GTGCTGTTATGAATGCTATGAAAGATAAAATGATAAGCAGTAGAGGGTGGTGTCTATAGATGAAATAACAACAAATAAGTCTAAGTTAAATATTTGAAATGTCACTAAAATCTGCTCTCAAAAGCCAAGACAGTTTCAGGAGTCATTTCAGAGACACATATCCCAGCAGGCTCTGTGCTATGAATTTTGATTCTTCAGTAAAAAGTGAGGAGCGCACTCACTTGTTTCCATAACATTTTTCTCATGCTGACAAGCTTTACAATTTCAAAAACAATTTCGACAAACAGAGCAGAGAAAAGGTGGAAGGGGTGGAGATGGAGCTATTCTTTCTTCAGTCACATTTTCAGTCTTTCAATACCTGCGGCTTTTCAGAGAGCACTGGTAACTCCCTGTGGAGCCCACTCAGGCCGCTGTGCACAGGAAGCCTCTGATTGTACACCCACCAAAACTGCTCCTGACATTTGCCTGGATGTGACATAGGCTCTATCAGCTTCTGCCATGCACTGGTCATACAAGCACTGGAACAATACACTACTACTCAAGTACTCATTCTCCTGTCAGGCAACATGTGCTGGGACTACTGTATTGTTACTTTACATTCCCCGGGGATGTGATGCTAACTGTAGGCTCTGCTTCTGCCGTCTGAAGCTTTGTTACTTTACTTAACACTTAAATTGTGTTTAAGTTAACAAAATCTGACCATAAAGAACTGACTTACCTGCGACTGCAACAGGTGAGGTGATTTGTGATGTTAAACAAATCCTTCACAAATAACATTATAGCCACAAGCTAACGGTTACACCCTTATCATCAGAAGGCCCCCTAGTCAGAAAGCCCACTATTCAGAAGGCCCTTTATTCAGAAGGCCCACTAGTCAGAAAATCATTCTCTCTTCTATTGGTCTGTCAGCAACATATCTCTTGAACAATTGAATGTATATTTGATGAAAGCAACAGGAAATAATCCCTGGATATCAGGGAAGAATTAGTAAACATTTGGATGTATACCAATTAAAAATGGATGCAACATCAAAATTTTTAGAGATATTGACAGGAAAATGCATAATCATGCATAACAGCATTAGCTAAGGCCAGCATTACTTAATTTGTTGGTTTACAAACCCACCAATGCTATATTAAAAGAAAAGATTTAAAATAAAATTGAAATGAAGGTTGTTGCCTCAAAATCAGACAATTATTAACCCTGTTACACTTAAGGCAGCCATTTCCACCCAAATCATTATTTCCTCAAACATTTTTGCTATATTTTAAGGGTTTAATATATTTATTACTTTTAATATTTACTTGTAACACTACCTGAACATGGACTTTCTGACTAGAGGGTCTTCTGAGTAGAGGGTCTTCTGATGATAAAGGCTGACCCCCAGGCTAACTAGCATTAGCCAAACGTTTTTCAGTTAGTCACTTAGTTCCAGCATTTTTGTATAAAACTGAACTCCCAAACTAACCCTAAAAATGTGCTTAAATCCATTCATGTATTTTTTCTGGAGTTTTTAAACAGTCTTAAAACTTTCTTGGCATGTTTGCTAATATGTGCACTGATGTCACTGCAAAATATCAATAATGGTCAAAGTGCTAGATATTTCAGTAAATGAAAACTTGTTGTAAAGTTTTAAGTTTTAGTTTTGTAGTTCTTCACATTTCGCATTTGACATTTCAAGTTGGCTTCTTCATGTAATAGTGCACTTGAAAGTTGATTATACTGTAGCACATATCACATTATCTTAGATTTCTTCAAAGGCAGTCTCTGGAACACTAACCATCTTCGAGTGATTTTTTATTATAGTGTTGAATTATTATATTCTTGTGTTCCATTGTTTTACAGTTCTATATAAACCTACTTTCCTATTTTAATCAAGCAGTTGTTATTACCATGTTAATTTCAGAAGAAATGTACACTGGGGCTGAGCAATTTAATAGGTGTTTTTCTGACTAAAGTTGCAATTAGATTTACAATTTATGTGTTAAAATCACGAGTCTATTCACATTTTAAGTATGTCCAAGAGCATTCACATTTGAGAACAGGCTGAAACATAATAGCTTAACTAATAAAAAAAAAATCGTCTTCCATCTCGAGGACAAGTATTTAAAGTGGAACAGAGCCATTAGAAACTTTGTCAAGTCAATGTAAAGTTTATGTAAATCACCTTAGAATGTGAAAGCAGCACAGGTCTGTGTATGAAGTGAAGCCTGGAATGAAGTAAAAGCCTCAGGTAATTGTGTGAATTCCTCTCCACCGCTGTGTGACGCAAGTACCTTTTTGGCCATACCGTTCATTGTGAGAAGAGAAAGCTTTTTATCACCTCAGAGACCAGTCTTTATGTGTGTGGGCAGACACTGAGTTTAAAAGACAATTGCTCAATTCCGTGAAAATCTAAATGATGTATTCCTTAGTCAGAGATTAGGAAATAAATTATAGTGCGTATGACACTTTGTAGTCATTTCACTAAAACATTGTTAACACTTATTTATACAATCCGCAATCTAAAAATCTTGCCCAGTTTTTCCTTTATTTTCATTTTGGTGAAGTTTATCATTTTACTTTTACGATGACATATGTAATATCAACAGCATCCATTCCTTAACTGTTACCCAATACCCAGCAACTGAAATGTTAGGGGTTAGGGTTAAAGCCAAAATGTGTCTAAGTAGCTATAAAAATAAATCATGACTTTATTTTGTTAAATTATGGTTGGAACTGTTTTAGAATTCACCACTTCCTGTATTTTTGTACTTTTCTTCTCAACTTTTTTCCCCACAAACTGACAGTTGACTAATATAAAACTATGATAAATACTCACCACAGGTACTATCCCACCAAATCAAGTCATAATTAGAAAAACACATGAAAATCTGTCATATGGATTTAAAAATTGACCTGAGGAGTGACAAAACAAGTTGAAGTGCATGTGTGGCCCTAGCCTGGGTGTGAGGATCCAGATGGAGGAGCAGGGGATAAGGTGATCCGTGCGGCCTGGGAAGGTTCCTGTGTTTGTTCAGACTGTTTGCTGCTGAACACTGCGGCGCTTGTGAGAATTCACACTGTCTCGCTGTCACTTATTCCCAGCACTCACAAAATGACTGTCAAAAAAGTTCAAGAATGGGCTTCTTTTTACTCACAGCTTTTTCACAAAACTACTACATTCTATAGTAGTGTCCAAGTATGTTAGAATGGGAGATATTGGGAGGGAAACAGTGCTGGCCAATGCCTAGGGTTGTCAAAAGTATCAAAAATTAGATATTAATCAGTATTAAAACTACTATCAAAACTAGATACTCATTTGAGCATATATCGATATTGAAAGAAAAAAATCGCATAAACTTCTTGAACAGTTTACTGTGAAAACTTTTCAGCTCTAATTTTAAGCAAGATCAATATTCATTCATGTCTAACTGTCAAAGATATGTTTAATAAAGATGTCTACAGCCAATCCTCTGTCCGTAAAAGTATTTCGTTTGGACCAGAATTCAGACTTTGGAGGAAGAAAGTTAACTATAGCTTGTATTGAATTAAAAACTGTTAAAATTATTTTTTCTTTATGTTGAAGAAAAGAAAGTAAAATTCAAAACTCAAGATCGAAAGGAACTAAATATAGCATCAGTGTTTTTGCATAACCAGGAATGCCCCCAAATAAAAGTGTAATATTATTTAATTACTGGCCATGTTAAGGTGTGGCTGGACTGACAAGATCCTCATTCACCAGTCACAATAACAAACCAAGTATGGGAAGCTTCTACACTAACTTTAAACATTCTCCAATGCCTAAACATAACCTCACTTAAAAACTATAATGCCTATAATGACTATAATTGCATTTTAGCAGGTAAGAACATTCCATTTCAGAAAACTGCTCGTTGATTTATATAGCTGCAAAAAGTGAGTCTGGCGCAATAATAAAATCTGTGTTTTCATAAGCTTTGCCATAGTCATTTTATTCAAGCCCAATGGGATGAACTTGGCTTGTGAATTGTCACAGAAATGACTCCTCCAACACCTGCTCTGACATTTAATCAAATTCTGTTTATTGTGTTTACTAAGTTTTTCAGTCCCTTATCCATGAGTGAAAATGGAAACCTGTCAAGTTAAAATTGGCTTTTTTCTGACATCTGACAGTGAATAGAAGAGCGTTATGCTGCTTTGATTACCCGCTGTACGGACAATTTATAAAAAAGCTGCTTTTCACGGCAGACTGTGAACTGTGAGTGAACTGGAAAAAAGGATGTTGATGAAGCAAAATTGGGAGAAATTTTGGTCAAAATATAGCCGCTTAGATTTTTGGCGGTAATATAATAACTGGAGATGAGTCATAGCTTGAACGAGAAACAACCTGGACAACCCTGATGGTGGGAGGAGACGAGAGTAATTCTGGGTAAGAGCAGGCAGTGGAAAATATCACATCAAACCATCTTATTTACAGGTATATTGTAGTAAATACCACTATACCAGAATAAAAAATGTGTGTCCAAAGGTTGATGTTTTGCTTTGTTTTGGTGTGAAATTGCTATTCAGGTGTAAATATATAATTTTAAAGGTTCTATATTACATAAAATTAACTCTTTTGAGCTTTAAGCAATGTTATAATGTTGTTGGCTCATGCAAAGCATATCTGGAGTTGTGTTTTGTTTTGTTCACACGTGTTTGAGTAGTCATGCATTAGTGTGTCTACATTGCCAAACCTCAAATCACTCTGCTCCACCTTATGATGTCAGAGTGAAGCAGTATAGTTTTCAAGTGGTCACCATTTACCCTTTGTTTAGTAGAGATTGACAATTCCAGGGTTGAAAGGCTGAAATTATCCAAATGATTCTAGTGAAGGTGTAGGGAGCATTTCCTGTATTACCACATTATTTTCTGTTTGAGAGAATAACAGCCTATGTGAATGAAACAAAACACAACCCCAGGTATGTTTTTGATGAAGAAACAACATTATTAGAGGTAAGAAAATTATGTAATATGGGACCTTTAAACAGAAAACTCACCAAGGTCTCTGGAGGCTGGAGACTTATGGGCGTTCTCTCCGATCTTTGAAACAGCATCAAAATAAGTCTTTCCAGCGATGGTCATTGCTACACAAAAGGACAAAAGTTTCAACAACTTGCAACATCAACAAAGCATTGTTTGATTTTCTTTTTCGTAGTTCACTTACCTGTGACAGACTTTTCATAGCTCTTGCCAAGGTTCACCAGGTTTCTTAGACCTGGGTTAAACTGTTCCATAACATTCTGAAAATATTGAACAACTTGTTTAGATAAATGCACTTTTATATGTTTCTCTTACTTCTTTGGTGCTTATGTAAACCTGTACTTCCAAAAATTATAACATTAGTGCAGGGATGGGTAGTATCAGTTACATTTATTTGAAAAACGTTTTAATGAGATTGTACTTCTTGGAGTAGTTATGTGACATACAAGCATACTTTTACAACTCCTAACAGTACTCATAAACGAGTAAAACTTTACTCTTGAGTAAATCAACAAATGACAAAAGTTGTATGTTGTGAATCTTAAATGATTTGAACATTTGTGTTTCTTGGAACGCTCCTTCAGATAAGATTTATTATTGTACTTTGAAAATATTGCTTTATCATTTCTGCATTATTTACGGTTTGTCAGACGTTACATTCAGACAACTACACATACACTTACTCTTTCTTGAGTAGTAGGAAAATACTTTTTTACTTTACTTGTCTTAGACCTGCTACTGTACTTCTATTTCAGTAATATTATTTTAAAGCAACACAACTCTTATTTAAGGAGTATTTTTGGCTACTCTACCCTCCTCTGTAGCAATGCATCTAGCCACTTTTATTGGGAGTGTATGGAGGAAATGAAAACACAAAAAACAAATAATTGTTCCCCTTGCGCTGCTAATAATATCTCCATGTTAGAACAATAAAACTTTCAATCTTTAACTTGACCCTTTCATATGTTAAACAAAGGCCAAAGTCCCTCTCAGTTCTTTATAAAGTTGCAGTTATTTGCGGTATGGGCAGTCCTAGCACACATAACTCACCCCAGCCCCTCTGTGTGTGTGTGTCTCGTTCCCTCTCTCTCTTTCCCTGTCACTATTGAAATGCCTCAACAATCAAGTGCTGTTCAACCTCCCTGTCTCTATTCCCCTGGCACGCCCTCAATAGAACAATGGTCAGGTATGATTCGCCTGCACAGAAAAAGACCTGGACAGAGGTAATAAAGGGGGGAAACGGGTTTGGAGTATAGCTAAAAAGCCAGCATCAACTGTATGTGTCAAATTAATACAAATAAAAACTTCAATTTCAACATTTTCATTGGGCTCAAAGTTCTCGAAACTCGAAACTCCTTCCTTGCTCTTATCTTAATTCTGTCATTAAGTGTGCTTTCACTCACTTATCACACCTACGAGGTATCATGGGCGTGAAACTGATTAGATTAACATCAACAAAACACATTGCTATGACAACAAATGAAACCAGCTGTTTAAAATACACTGCATGGGTTGTGAACTGTTGACAACTTTCCTCCCACATTACATGCTATACTTATGTATGCTGTAACGCGTAAATCATAGGGTATTGACATTGGGTACATTGTGTTTTAAGTACTAGAAACTACACAAAGCAATAAAGTTTTAGTAGTTCAATTAAGCTACGTCATATTTACAGTGGGGAAATAAAATTAACTAATGAGGTACAATCTAGCGATAGATTTTAGGTTGTGCAAGTGTGATGTAAACTGCCTAACATCAAAAGTTGTAACAAGATTTGACAAAATTGGTAGGTGCCATAAATTGCATTAAAGTCTAATAAATTATGTTATTACATTGGACTCACCTTGTATGTACTTTCGGTGAGCTTGCTGACATCTTCTGGACCGCGAGACATGCTGACAGGTGAATTGGCTGCTCCAACAAGTAGAATGGTGAAAATGGTAAAAAATATATATATTGTCTATTGTATAATCCACTAGGTTTTCACTCAAAGTATTTCCCCGGAGCGCCGGTACTCCTCGTGTGCAGCCTCCCTCCGTGCATGTGGACAGCCTGCCGGACTCTCTCAGACTGGGACTCCCCGGGTGTCTCCGCCACCAGCGCGGGTTTCCAGCAGGTTTAACTGAGAGAGACGCGCGGAGGAGCGGCCATAAAGACGAGTGAGGGAGGGGGAGGAGAGAGGGGTGCGCCGGTCTCACGTCACCGAGGTCAGGTTACGTACGAATCACAGGTGCCTCATTTGAGCGCAATTCAAAAGTCTTTTACAGTGATGTGGAGTATAAATGATTAAACATATGGAAATACTTTGAAATAGATTTAGTACTTCTGATTTAATCTTTAACAGAGACATTATGGCGCCACGCCTATGACCATAAGAGGGAGCTGTTTAAAGGGATTTGTGCTATTTGAAAGTTATAAATGATTGCCCAAAGCATTACAGTCAAGTCGTTATGTATTTATTTTTTATAGTATAGGAACCATATTACCTGCAAAAATATCCATCCTCTAAGACCTATAACTAATGCATGAGATGAGATGAGAGATATCGTTCTTGATTTTCATGCAAGGAAATATATGAAACGACAATTCTAAATCAATAGATAAAACCATAGATAATCATTATACATTTTAAAAGGGAACAGTAATAAAATAAAATCCTTTCAACCATGTGGACAGCTCAACAGAACTGTTTTGAGCCAGTATTTTAACATTGTCTTATAAAAATTAATAAGGTGAGCTATTGTAAATGGATAAGATAATGTCTTACACATAAACGTTTAGATTATTCATTCCATACATGGCCAGATTGAAAAAAAATAAAAAATAAAAAAATACCACCCCTGTCGTTCCAAAAGGTATTCATGAGACATTTGCGTCCCCTTGTGGATAATGTCAGTACCACTATCCCCTTCTATACCAAGTGAATTCTGTAAATAGTGTAAACTTTTACTTGCGTATTTCTATCTCTGTAAATGTCCCATATCAGTTTGTTTAGGAATGTGACCCAGTATAAAGCACAAGACTCAAAAGCTGATTGTTGCTTCTTGACCACATGATTGAAACGCATGGTGACAATTTCAAGCCTTTTGAGCCCAGTTTCTCCCAGACCAATAGGAAGGTCTCATCACCAATTACTCCCATGTTCTGTCTCTCGGCTTGTTCAAGATTGATTTTACTTTATTTCTACTTTGGTTTGAGGAGAAGCAGATATGGCAAGGTAAATATATGTTTTCAACCATGCTAGCTTATCTGTAGAATTATTATTAACTTGCTTTTAAATTTTCAGAAATGTTGTTTGGACCCTGATGCCTGTTTTGCTTTTGATGGGTGTGGCAGATGCAATGGATCCTTTGACAGAACTGAGTATGTAAATATATGAGAAATACCATATAGTGATTTTCAAGTAAAATGCAGATGTTTAACTTTACATATCATCTCTCATCAAAACAGAAAACATTGCAGGAAAGTTGGTCTTCTATCAAATGGATGGGAATGCCACTTATGTGAGAAACACAGGAGAGCTTGCTTCATATATTCCCACTGAAACCATGTTTGAACTGTTTGATCCTCAGAAGAATTTTACTAACGCCAAGTTCTCCTACACATGGGACTTAGGAAATGGGTAAAGTGATGTTTTGTAAATTTAAGTTACAGTATTTCAATGTAAACATTTATTATGGTTCTGTTGCAGAGAGGTGATTCAGGGGACAGAGCCAGTAGTGAGGTATCATTATGCAGCATCAGGAAACTACACACTCAAGCTTAAAGTCGGAGTCAGTGCGAACCAAACTGGGCCACAAGTGACTGGGGTTTATTCAATGGATGTGACAGTGCTTGGTATGTAGTGTTTCCTTATGCCTTTTCATCAGTCTTATGTATTGAAGCCATTTAGACTCTAGGTATATTGTATAGGCAATGTTTATGCCAGATTTAAAGTACCATGAAGTCTGTGAATTACACAAAGTGCAACTGGTCCACTGCTCAGTGCTCAAGACTGAAACTAGGCCTTCTGCAATTGTTCACATGTGACATTATTAAGACTTATTAAGAAATATTTAAAATGTGTCTATTTTTCTAAAAACAACAAACTCAATTTAAAGGTTTTACATTTACAAAAGACATTTGACAATGATTTTCTTTTTATTATAGTTGCCAAAATGCACTTTTTATTTGTTTCTTTAGATGCCATCAAACATATTGAGCTGAAGGGGCCTTCAGACTATGAAGTTTCTCAGAACAGCAGTTTGGCTGTTCATGTCGATGGAAGGTAGGCAGCAATATTTACTTATTTTCTATAAAACACTATTCACAGTCCTGGAATCCTTTTCAAATCTTTTGCAAAAATGCAGTAATTCTTTATAATTATATAAGGCAGAAATAAAAAAAAATCTAATTGAGTGACCTGTCTAATACTGAATGTGATTGCTTGCTCTAGTCCCCCTATGTGGGTGTGTTGGCGCTTCCTGCCTAACTGCGTCCCTGATCCAAATGGTGGCTGCACTCTGACCATGCTGTATGAGAACACTCTCTGGCTCAACCACACCTTCACCTCTACTGGGGTGCACTGCCTGGACATCAGTGTCCGCAATGATATCAGCAAACTGCAGACCTCCTTCAGCTTGTTTGTCAAGAGAAACAGTGAGTGGGACACACATCTGCCATACAGCACACCCCAGAAAGCACATGATGGCTACTGCATTCACACCGTATTAATAGTTTTAAATGCTACATTAGGATAATTGACCCGAGCAACCACATTTCTTTGAGGGATAATCAGAATGAAACTATTTTGAAAATAAGTTGTACATAAAAACTAAATAGTTTAATAGATAGCTCTTGACTGATGACCATGTGTTATGTGATAGCTTTAATCATCCTAAAATGTAGAAGATTCAAACTAGACATTTCTCTGAAAACAACCTGGTTTAATTTTAAGAAAATATAACTATTTTTAGAGATCACCAGAACAGGAAGAATTCACATCTACAGCATGACATAATGTGACCGTATCAAAGCTTATTCGAAGTTGTTAAGTGACAACAGTAGACTTAATAGATTGTTTGTGTTATATATTGTATCCATAAAAGTGACTATGCTAGTTTCAATGTAACATTTAGAAATGTTAGTTCCACTTCAGTCTGAGTGAACAGTGAAAATCAAGGAATTCAGCCATGTCTGAGACCAGGAGGCTGACTGGGCTGGGTGTTGCTGTGCTCAATTGATTGCACTCAGCTCATGTAAGATATAGCACAACACTTTAAACACTTTGAACATGGGTTACTTTTATTAACCCATATAAGAAAGACTTTATAAGACTTTTATAAGAAAATTATTTGTTCAGTTATGGTGTAAAATGGCTTTAATAGTAAAATTAATAAATAAATTACTTGGAACAAGCCTCAAATTGAGATTTATAAATGGTAAAATTGTATTTATTTGTGGTTGAAGTACACAAATAATAGTAATAATAAATTATAACAATAACAAATTTAGTCAGTGTCATTTACAACTACTACAAGTCATGTGATGTGTGTCACATGGCATCCAAAATAAACCTTCACTGAAGATTTGACTGGGATGAACCGATGACCTCCTTAACCCACATCACCTTTTATGTACAGGGCTAATTCTTCCCTTTAGGAGCTGTGCCCACACAAGAGAAAATCCAATCAGCTATCACAATAGAACACAAAGCCTCTTTGTGCAGACTGTGGTTTCAAATGTTGTCATAGTACAAACAAAGGCTCCATATGTTCATTGTGTGTTTGCAGGTAATGCTCACATGATATTTATCATGGCCTGTGCTGCGGTCCTCGTGGCCACTTTCTCTTTCATCACAGTCATTGCCTGTCGCCCTCGAAGTCTCACCAGAACACCGGTACCATTTACAAACTGTATAAATCTGTGTTAGCCTTTTACAGCGCAGTTTAGCTTCATCTAATGTAGTTGTTGCTATGATAATTTACATTATTCAAATGAGAGAAAGAGATAATTTTAAATGTTGTAAAATACAAAATAATACGTATTTATGAAATCAAAATAAGAATAAACTATTTATTTATAAGTACTAAGTTCTGATCTACAGATAATGTACATGAGGATATTATATCAAATTTATTCTATTCCATACAATTTAGATTTGTTTGTGTGTCTTTTGTAGCTGGCATCCTCCAGTAATGCCATCTTCCTGAAGAGCCAGGACTCTGAGACTCACAGCCGGGTCATGTTTAACTTCTTCAACACGGGCAAAGAAGAGAAACAACCTTTGCTTTTCCAGTGTGGATCCCAGTATACCTCATAGGTTTAAGATACACTAGTAAGGACCATTCTAAGTTATATTATAGTAGTATCATAATATGTCTTCCAAATATTAGAATATTATATCTATTTAGAGCTTAAAGGTTCATTATGTAACTTTTATAGTGGAGGATCTGTCACTTTCCTGTCTCTTAGTGTGGAATGTTAAAACTTATCTCTATGAGGACACGCAGGAAATGTCATCAACTTGCATCTCAGATCTGTGGAGACCACTCACAGTAAGAGTACATCAACACCTGTAATTGAAAGAAAATTACATTGATTATGAAATGATTGATAAGTTTAACGCCATACTGTGGAACATTCCAGGCAAAGCAATGACATCTCACAGAGTCAAGCAGGATATGTGTCTACTCACATACTGCACCTTTAACCGAGCAAGCATCACCTGTGTATGCCTCAAGAAAACATGTGACTGCAATCAATAAATAAATCACTAAGCTCCGTCTGACATTCAAATGCACTCATAATAAATTCATTGTCTTGGTGAAGGTCAGGTTAAAAACAATGACAACACAAGCGCACTGTGACTAGAGGAGGCTGTTGACTTATTTATGATTATTAACAATCATATGGCAACTCAGGTCAAGGAGCCGTGGCTTAACTGAACTTTAAGGTACACTGCATATCTTTTCTAGTGGAGGATCTGAAAGATCAGCTGTTGCCTGGTATTACTTTGTCTGAAATGTTGCACAGTATAGCATTAAATGTGCAAGGCTTTGGAGGCAGGAGTGCTACTTGGATATGCAAAAAATGTGAAGAAATGTGCTTTTGGTGCTCTTCAGTGTAGGGACCAGTCTCAAATACAAAGTGGGAAAAAAACTGAGGCACTCAAAAAGTACAAAATAATTAAAAGCCTTTAATACAACATGGCAGATAAAGTTAAAATACGCCAACGCGTTTCGGCCCTTCGGCCTTCATCAGGGCAAACTCGAGATGGTTATCACAGTGCAGATTAAAAGTAATAGGTGTAGGTCACATGTTCACAGTGGGCTGGCCCACAGTCCCCTAGATGCATGATGGGACATGTAGGCCTAACAAACCTTAATTATAGGCTAAACAAATTCAAATACAATAATACAAGACATAAATGGTGCAAATCCCAACAACCAATACATAGATAGATACATTATATTAATAGTATAAAATAGTATACAAAGATACATAATGTAAGGATATATATATAGTGCGATAACTCAAAAGTGCTTCAGCTATAGTTTGTATAATATAGTTAAGGGCTAGTCTTAAATATCTGCACTGTGATAACCATCTCGAGTTTGCCCTGATGAAGGCCGAGGGCCGAAACGCGTTGGCGTATTTTAACTTTATCTGCCATGTGGTATTAAAGGCTTTTAATTATTTTGTACTTTTTGAGTGCCTCAGTTTTTTTCCCACTTTGTATAGCATTAAATGTATCTATCTCCATGGAGACCAGTTTTTCATGGCATTTCTTTTAACAATACAAGACACCTGTATATTGAAGATAAGCTACCGTAAAACATATGCAAAAATAACCACCTAAAGTTACATGCACCTTTATTATGTTTATCAATTACATTTGTTTTTTGTGTTTCACTTTTTTTTTCAAATATGACAACAGTCTATGAATATTTGCTCACTATTTGTACTTTGTAATTCTGTACAACTATGATAAATACTTTTACCTTTATTTTTACTTTCAATCAAACCAAATCAAAATGATTTTATGCATTCTTGATGGGAACATAGAGCAGTAAAATTTAATAATAACAGAAAAGCTCAAACAAAAGTTTCAGTGCTGCTCAACAGGTCAGATCACCAGAGAAGAGTAGCAGCCCTCAGGACAAAAGTGTCCCTCCTCTGTGTGCTGAAGCATCACAGCAGTATCCAGGGGGAGCCAGGTGAACTCTGGAGACATAATCATTGTTGTAACGTCTGTAGCATTACAGAGCTATAGCTGGGTAGTATAACTATCTCCAAGCAGGGTCGCCATGGATACAGGAAAAACAAGCTATAGCTGCACAAGCTGCATTTCTTAGCTTGGTTGAAATCCCCAAAAATTAAGTTAAAATCTAACAGAAAATATAAAAGCTTAAAAACTGTCGGTCACAAGAGCAGCCATCCATGACCATGGCAACCACCAGACCTTTTAGGAGCCTTTACTTGAATACAGACAATATTATGATTTTTTTCTCTGCAAAGCACAAAGTTAAATTTATACTTTTCAAGTTAGACACGTCTTTTTAATTCATATCTTACCTGACAAACTTTAAACAGCCCACAATGTCTTTGAGCTGTCACCTTGGATTTCTCACCAGTGCATGTGTATGTGGTGCGTGTAGCAGATAGTCAGTCTGTGCTCTGTTTGAGATGCCATAGTGTTATTAATATTGGTTTGTCACGACTTGGTTGATGAATAGCAGCTGTCGCATAGGCAGTGGGGAGTGGGCTCTGCTAAAGGAACAGCAATGACCTTGGACTCTATCTTAAGAGTTACCTCGTTGTATCATGTTCTGTACTGGAACTGAATGCAGACATAGCCTTGAGAATGTTGAAATGGTGTTTTATACTGTTTAATGTATATATTTTATTTAAATTTGAACAAGAAACACAATTGTTCTGTATACCTAAACAGCACTAAACAGCACTTCTCAGTTTCTGACATTTTACTATAACTTGAGTAATGTATTTTACACTGTAAGAGTATACTTTTCCCACTTTTTGGCTACTTTTCCCACTGTGAGTAAGTCTAAATAAAAGTGGCAAAAACACTGACAATACTTAATGATTTGAACATTTGTGTTTCCTTCAGATAAGATTTATAATTTCTGTGGTTTGTCCTTTGAATACCAGATTATGTTTATTAATATTTTGTCCTTCAAATTACATTAACTGCAGATTATAAATCAGATGCCATTCCCAGACAGTTGAGTAGTTTCCCAAAATACTTTTTCACTCTTACTTTTTCATTTCTTGTGCCAAGACTTTAGTTGTGGGTATTATTATTAGTATTATTCTGAAGTAACTTAACTCTTGAATACTTAGCCACTCTATCCATCTCTGTCTACACATAATGAAAGGGTTTCTTTCATGTATACCTGTACTTATAGGTTTTATGCATTGCCTATATTACAAGCCTTACTTTTTGTCTTCTGAAAATAAATAATGTTGAAAACCTTGTAGAAATGTGTGTTCAGAAAAGTGATGTGTTATTACTGATGGTACAATGCTTCGTGTTGGTTGACATGGGAGAGCAGCAGCAGACCAAGGTTTTATTTCCACATTGAATTGGTTTCTTCTGTGTCAGGTCTACAGTCCAAAACACTTCCGTTCCATTTATAACCTTCAAATATAAAATGTGTACTAAAATTTGTATCCATCCTTTTTACATTTTAGCGTTGTGAGAATTACATTTCAGACAGGTTAGGCTTGTTGCTGAGGTTATACAATACACTTTCAAATAAAAATGTATATTTCACTATATTAAACTGAGCCTTCACTTCAGTATACTTGGTTTTACAGCAATGAAATACACTAGCAATCTAACTGAATGCACTGGATGAATAATTTGCACCAGTGTTTTTTTCTCTTAATGTTAAGAGGTGTCAGTCTGAAGGCGTATGTGTGATGTCACGGGTGACCTTTGACCTCTCAGATGTGCTAAGCATCGCTAATGCTGCCCTGGACACCTGTTGTGTTGCCCTGAACCGTGTCCAGTCTGACCGCTTCTGTCACTCATCTTAGCACCCCTATGATTGTGAGATGGTCCGCCATATGCCCACAGCCAGGGCAGCTATGGTAATTCTCCATCTCTGAAATCCAGTATAAAATGAATAAATCAGAACACATTGCAGCACATGTTGTTTATTGGCGGTACATTTTATTCACATTTCAGGGCACTTAAATATATATAAGAAGGCCACAAAAAAGACATTTGTGTTAAAAAAAAAAGATCACATAAAAGTTAAGACAAACCTTGTCAAATTCACACAATTTACACCAATATGCTATAAAGGGAATGCTATGTTTGTCTAACTATATACAAAAATAAGATATAGCTATGTGGCTGCATATACAGTATTGCTTTATGCACTGAATATTCTGCATTAACTTCTTCAGCAATTAGACCCCACCATACAAGCTGTCCTTCTCTCCCCACTAGCTCGCTGCAATTAAACAGAAATGCAATGCCCCATCCAGTCAATTGATGTGCATCACAATTGGTCCATTATCACACTTTCTCTTTTGAGCTGCTACCACTGTATAGTATAATCTGTTTTATTTGCTTTCACATTCTGTGGCCATGGCCTATCTATGTACATTTGTATTTCTATGTCTCTCATTAATATCAAGCTATTTGGTACTGAGACGATTTGCAAGCCACGGCTTTAAGCAGTATCACCACAATGTTACACTGTGTTCATAAAGGCAATGCATAATGCACATTCACTTTAATATATAATATGCTGTGCTAATGTACCAGCTGAGATAAATGGATGTTTAGCTCCCTCAAAGGTACACTGTGTAACTTTTCTGGTGGATGTCCTGCTATCTGCTTTTCTCCATGGAGATGTTACTGCTTTGCCTTGAATGCTCCACAGCACGGCATTAAAAAAATAGGTGACATTACCATGTAACAGGTCCGACCTATGGAGAACGGACCCCACTCACTGTAAGAATGCATGTTGATAAGACTTTGTTGTTGTGTTCAATACAAAGATATAACATCTCCATGGAGACAAGTGGGCAAACGCAAACCCTTCTCCCTTCTTTACACTGTGGACCTTTAAAGAGTTATTTGCCATTTATTGATATTGGCATTAAGCCCATTTACCATTAAGACCCATAGAGCCATAGCCATAACATTAGTGCAGACCTATAATCTTTTCATCCCACACAGCACGCTTTAGCTCATCACGTGTCCACTACTATCTGAGGAGGAACATGCAGACAGACAGAGGGCCTAAGAGTGGGTGGGCTTTTGAATAAGGTGAATACTTTATCCTTGAGGGGCTTAAAGGATAGCTCTTTTCTCAAGTAAAAGCTATTATAATTGTCAACCTTCGTCTGACAGTTTGCACTTGGGTGTCCAGATTCTCCTACGCAAGGCAGTTTAAAACTAAAGCAACATTTTTGAATAACACAAAGAAGATAGAATTAACAACTGCTGCGCAATCTGCTAATATTAGAACCTATTCATATGAACATAAGGGTTTCTTGTTATTATTTTAAATTCTCTAATTGATTTACAAAATTTTGATATTGGAGAAAAATTTTGTTTTACAGAATAAAGTGGTGAAATTGTGAAAAATTAGGACTGTTGCCACACTTACCAATAAAAAAACAAAAAACTAGAATGCTTTTGAAGGGTGAAAAGTCCTCAAAATGTCACCTATAACAAGAAGCTGAAGAGAATGGTTCTAGTGACCAAACACTTGACTATAGATTGAGTAGTACCAATATTAGCGGAGTGTACTGTACCACTTTAAGCATTGGGAAGTCTCTCCTGACACATCTCCAGAGGTCTTTTGAACGCCCCTCTCCCAAACACCTCCACATTACTGGCCAGCCACGAGATGATGTTCCCAGGAAGGTAGGTGCTGCAATTGGCCATAGACTGGATCTCAGATGATTTGAGAACGCGGTCCCAGATGTTGACCTGACTCAGCTCCCCCACGAAGGCCTGTCCAGCATCGAACCGGCCCCCCACCACATCCTGTAAGTGGAGTGTGAGTGGAGAAATGGTTACATGATATAATATTAAAAGATAGTAAACAAAGTAAACAAATACTGATAGAGGCATCTCCGTGTTTTATCATTGCCTCTATCATCTTATATTACATTTATGGTCATGTAGATGGGGGTGGAGAGGTTACATGTACAATCTGCCACATTGCATATTTAGTTCTATATAATATGTACTGGAAGTTATATTTTACTCATTGTATCTAAAGGGTCTTATATTACACAAAATTTTCTCTTGTGAGCTTTAAACCATGTTAGAATATTGTCAAGTCCTCAGAAACAAACCTGGAGTTATGTTTTGTTTCATTCACACATGTTTAAGTAATCCTTTATTATGAGTCTGTCTAAATCTCCTAAGCTCAAAATGCTTTGTTCCACCTTGTGATGTCATGAAGCGGTAGTTTTTTACTTTTAGTTCAGTAAAGATTGGAAATTCCAGGGCAGGAATCATACAAATGATTCTAGTGAAGGTGTGTTTTCAGTTTGAGAGAAGAACTCAGCCTAAATATGCAGAGTTTGTGTGTTAAACATGTGAGAATGAAACAAAACACAACTCCAGGTCATAGACTGTAAATATATATATATATATATATACACAGTCTATGCTCCAGGTATGTTTGTGAAGTGAAAAACATTATAGTATAGATAAGAAAATTGTGATGAAGGGCCCTTTAGGTATGCACTGTTATAAGAACATGCTTGCCATACAAACAATTTAATGGAAGTAGTAAGATTGTTTTTAATAAGGCTCTTATCCAGTCAGTTATCATGATAGGCTGTCACCCTCTTATTACTGTTCTAGTTGAATTTCTCATCTGGATATCAAAGTGTTCCATAAATAACATGACTTATTACAGGAAGGAACTACTTGACATGGCAGTCTGAAGTGTTGAGCTTCAGAACAAGTCAACACAGTCTGTTCAGAGCTGGAACAGATTTACATTTGTACTGCATTCTAATACTCAATACTCAATATATTTATGCACTGTTACTAACAAATACATTAAATGTTGAAGTTGAGGTAAATCATTTGCTGCTATTACTACAACAAATATTCTAAAAGCTGGCACATCAACTGCAAATACTTTTATATTTTACAACTGCTATTATACTGCTATTACTACTACTGTGAAGTACTTGCTGCTACTACTTCTACTTCTACAAATGTAATATCTATTGTTGATACCTCTATCCTTATGATTGCTACAACCAATCATATCTTAACATTAATTTTATTACTTAGGTATACTATGTACAGCACCATAGCCATTAATACCACTTTACCACTTTTAACAATACTACTACCTTTATACATTCATCTACTCAAACTTCTACTACTATTACTACTACTACTACTATTGCTACTACTAATGCAGCAAAAGAGGTAAGCATATAGAATAGTAGGATTTTGTTTTGACAGACCTGCTCTTGCCCCAGGATGATGACTCCTCCAGGTTTGATGGGGTGCCAGGCTGCCAGGTTGTCCCCGCTCCCGAGCTTCTCTCCGTCCTGGTAAGCGTCCCACTGACCATCCCGCGTGGTCCAGGACACACAGATGTGGTGCCATCTTCCATCCCTCACCTCTATGGGCAACTGGGCAACCTGCAGTCAAATAAGATTAAAATATGATATTGTAAGTATTGTTACTGATTTGGAAGTAAAAGTTAATTTATCTGCCAATTTTTTCAGGATCTGCCCTTGTGCAACTGTAAGCGATGATGATTTGAGGTGAAAAAATTACTGAAATTGCTTATAGGACTGGGCAAAATGAACCAAAATAAATAAATACATACAATTAAATGAAATACTTTTTAAAGTTAAAAATAATTACTTTCAATACTAACTTTCTAAAATAAACAAAACTCAAAACAGTTAAAAAAAAGTCTGAATTCCAAACCCTTGCTTTTACTGGCAATTGCTGCTGACTTCTTGCTTAAAAAGCCCCAAGCTGATAATTCATTAAAATGTGATTTACTGCACAGTCCTATAAAACAGTGTAGGCTGTACTTGCCTTGTCATTTATCAATAGCTCTATGGGGTTGTTGCCCCACTCGATCAGCACTATCTCGTTGGCCTGCCCGGGTACACCGTAGGAGAAGGGCGTGCCAATGCCCGGACTGGCGCTGGACTTGATCCACATGCACAGAGTGAAAGCGTACATCTCCGGAAGGCTTTTGGTAATGCGTCCGTACAGGTAGTTGGTGCGCTGGGGGAGGGACAACTTAAACTGTTCTGGGGACTTGAACTCACCACCTCCTGGGGAAAACAATTTATATGTTATGGAGCTGTTAAAGTGTTCAAATTAAACAATTAAACAGTTGAACACGTAAACTAAAATGAAAAATAAAATGTTCTAATATACAAACATAATGAATAGATACACATTTGGATTCACTCCTGAATTGGAAAATATTCCAACATTTAAGGTGTTCTATTTAAGTTTTCTGATAGACGGTTGGCCACCTGGTTATATCATGAAAACGCTTTCCCTGCACATTACGCAGTGTGGAATAAACTGATCAATCTTTTATTTATTCAAAACATACAAGCTCTAAGACTATCCATTTCGTCCAATGTATTTTCATCCATTGTATTTTATTTAATTTTTGTGAGTGCTTTTCACACATCCTGTCCATTATAGAATGTTCTACTTATAGTATATGCATCTTATACAGTCATAAGCCACTTTTATTTTTCTGAATGAACTCCTCTCTTGAGACCAACCTTTCATCTTTCCTTGCCACTCTGATGATGTCAACCCTATCAGAGACACACTTCACAATCACTCTTGCGCTCCAACCTCTTCCTGTACCTTTCTCTAGCTCGCTGATCCTCTCCACCAGAGCGTTAAGGGTGCTTTCTGTCTTCTGTCTGTATGCAGCCGTAGCATTGGATAACATGCTCTTCTCTTGCTCCAGACTGCTCACTTTTTTCAGCAGCTGTTTCTCTAGCTCTCCAAGTCTTCTCTGCAACAGGTCCCGCAGTTCACTAGGGAAAGAGGCTCCGGAAATGTTGGCCCGCTGCTGCTGTTGCTATGGGGAATAGAGATAGGAACAGTGTTGTGAATTTGAAGAAATCATTTGTAATGAAAAAAATAAATAAGTAAATAAGTAAATAAATAAAAATGTAAAACTAAAAATGGGGCATGTAATGGTTTCACAGATTCTGTGTAAGTTGACTGCACAAGAGAAAATACATGTTTAGTACAGTACAAAAACAGGTTTCAATTTCTTTTGATAACAAAGAAATGATGTTACTTTATTCTATGTTAATGATGTTATATTATAAACAGATTATTCTTATGATTGATAGTAGATATATAATATAATATCTCATCTAATATAATAGATTTAGGCTAATTATTTTTTGTTTGAATCACAATCTAATTTGTACAATAGTGGGCAAATGATCAAACAAATAGGCAAATAAGTTCCCATTTGTTTATCAGTCGCGCATCCAGGTCATGCGTAACAGGAATGTTCTACCTTGGACAAACATTTAATCCTTTTCTAACATACTAAACTACAACCTGACGTGTGGCTGTATTTAATCATTTTCACAACTGTCTCTGAGTCAGTGATAAAGCCGTTTGTGCGAAGAAATTCTATTCATTTAGAATCAGTTTGACTTTTACGCACAGAGGCGCCACTTTACGCACTCACCTCTAAGTTTTCCAGCCTGTCTTTGAGTCCTTGCATGGTTTTCCCCAGATTATCTATGGTGTCATTTGGATCTCTAGGAACATCCCCCATAGTATTTTGCTTTTCTTTGCCCCATGCTCCTCCTTTCGAGTTCTTTCTCTCATCTGTCGCGGTGCCACAAAGCGACAGTTTGGTGTTTAACTCGTTTATCGTGCCGACCTGTTTGGTAATAGTTTCTTTTTGTTGAAGTATAGTCTCTCGCAGTTGCATGACCGTGTTTCTTAGCTCTTCTTCTTGACTTCCCGCGCTTAACTCCGGCAACAGTGTCACCGGACAGGTGCTATCGCCAGTAAGAGGTACGGCTCGGCAAATGTACCGCTTCCCATCATCTGGCTGTCCAACAGTCAAATATCTACTCCAGAAAACGGACAAGCAAAGAATCCTACAAAGTAAAAACATTTTCCTCTCACTTTCAACACGTCAATCCAGAAAACAGAATTGCTGCGTAAATGTGTGCAATGCGTGGCCAAAAGAGAGGCACATATTTATGCGTAAAAATGAAAAGCAGCAATCCCGTCCGGTGCCACTCTGCCTAAGCCTGGTTAATGTGACTATTCCTGTCACAGCAGAGGAAAGAAGACCTCACCGGACAGCTCCACTCAGTAAAGAGGATTACCAAAAAAGGTATCTGTACGCCGCCCCTGACTGGCTGTAGTAAACCTGCGTCATATGTCACCTGCACGTTTTTAAGGATAACGGCTCTCAAAAACACCAAAACGTTTTTCGCTTTATGTTTTTCAGTTATTGGGAATTTTGCCACCCTTACTATTTAGTTGTACTTTAAGCAACATAGAAAAAATAACGCACAATAGAATTACAAAATTCTGCATAATTCTATTTGCAGTTAAAAACACATTTGAGAGTCTGGTAAATGCATTGAACGAGGAAAGAATTGGAGAAGATAAACTATTACCTGAGCTACAGCTGCTGAAGCTGTAATGAAAGGTCAATAAAGCCCGGTGTGACTTACCACTGCGCTGTTAACATGGCATCCTCCAGGCAGTCACATCAGGCAGGTAAAATGTACATACATAGACATCTGTTTTCTATTGACTGACTTAAATGTGAAAATAAAGTGCAAGGCTGAGCCTTTCGTTTTGCCAAAAACTAGATTCTGCTTTACATTATGACATAAAGCATGGCATTGTTATCCCAAGTGGTGAAATTAGTGATCGCCTCTGCTTTTAATCACGATTAAAGCATCTTCGGCACAATTACTGATTGTGTGACAGCTTTAAAGAGGTACTCAAATTAAGCAATGGGAAGAAGAAACACAATCTAATGTGTTTTTAATGAGATTTCAGTTATATTTTTTGTGTCACTGTGAATATGAGTGCAATTAAAAGTGATAGCCTATCAACAAAGCAAGGCAATGTAATATCAACATGTGTGGTTGAAGATAAGCATTTCTGAATTAGATTTTTTATTAACATTTATTTATTGTTCATAATTCATTGTGAATGATTTGAATGATTAGTGTACTATTTCTATCTGCAGTGACAAAACAATCACTGAGCAAACATCTGAGGACAATAAAAGGGGGAATCTTGTAAAAGGTGTTTCTGGCACGAAATCACAAACAATCCATTTGCAGCCTGGGTGGCAGTTTTCCCGGCACACTCCCTGAAAATAGGTGTGATGTCAGGAGAGATTTTCCTAAGAAAGCTATCTGCCAGACAGGTCTTAAAACACAGTGGAATTGTTGAGGGAGAAAACTGTCAGAAAGTGTGGAAAGTATCAGGAACTGTATCTTCTGTTTACATATTAAAAATTGTAGTGTAATGAGTTGTAGAAGTGATGGTAATAGTATTAGTTGATTATTATCAGTACGGTACAAATTGGGGGATTTTGTGACGGCCTGTCCAGTGTTTGCCAGCTTGGCTCATGTTAACCCCTCACTCTCATTTTACATAAGCTCAAAATGGCAGATGTTTTTTAATCCATTGCATGAATAGATTTTTCACTGCATTGTGGGGATTCAGAGTCTCAAGGAAAGTGCACTCCTCTTTTTTCTCTCTCTCTCTCCCATATGAGAAATATAATGCAGGGTTCTCATCATGAGGCCAGCCTGCACTGAAAAAGACAAATCTAATGGACACATGAGTGGTTGTGTGAAGCAGCACCAGCGTGTGTCATCTGGGGGTATAAAAAATAAATAAAACCTGGTCAGAAAAGAGAAGCACTAATGAAACGGACAGGGCAATAAGCATGAGACAAACATCTTTTAGCACATCATTATTACTGTGGGAACAAAATGCACCGAGGAGAATGAGAATGTCATTTTGTGCGTCGAATTATGTATTGAGCTCAATGTGACACCAAGTGAAAAGAAAAAGCTCATTTGAACCAGCAAGTTTACATTCTGTGAAGGCTGAAAAAAGAGAAAGATTATTATGAATTACAGGTTATTAGGCGTGCATGTGGCTAGCAGACTGGCTGATAAATGTAGGCAGATAAATTAGATTACATAATTACATTAGTTTTATAGCCATTTAAATACACACTAACTCTTTGGAGCATTCGGCAAACATGCATCTTTACAGTGGTGTCATTCAAGCACATGCAATCAGTGCAGTTATATCATCAGTTACAGGCCTATTTAGTGCTGACATGTGAAACAAAGCAGCTTAACTAAATATCCAACATAATTCTACAGACACACAGTAGGCTGTGTCAATGCAATTTCAATACATCTCCATATAATGATGAACTTAGGAAGATTGTAGTTAAAAGAAACTGTGTAGGCTTGGTAGGCTATTGAAGGATGTAGTGAGGCAGACGAAGAATAACATGAAAACAGTTTGATACTGGACAAATTCTTAGTCATGGAAAATTTACAATTTGAAGATATTTATTTAATTATTATATAAAAAACAAACAAACATGCAGTCCACCCCTATTTTATTTATTTTAGTTTGCAATATAAAATGAATAAATTAAATATTCAGGTTACGCTGCTGTTCACTTGGACTACTTACATTGGCATAAAATGAACCAGTTTTCGAAAGGGCGGTGTTACACTAAATCAACCCCGCCAGACCAACAAGACCATCGAAATGGATGGTCTTAGAGCTCACTGTGTATTTTCAATATTCATCCGCGATAACTAGAATTTATATTTTGCATCAAAGAAGATAGGAATAATTTTCAAATCCAGATGTATTTTTATGTTTACACAAAATATATATTTTAAAAAGTTAGTAAACAATCATATATTTTTGTATTTAATATTTAAAACCCAGTGCGCGGATGAATATTACACCCCTTGTGTCGGCCGCTGCTCAGAGAGTAGCGCGGCGGATACAGGTTGGCTGTTTCCTGTCTGGCGGTAGGTGAGCATACTTTACCGTTAATAATATTTTACTACATTTAATGCACTTTTCATGGCCAGTTGTCAGAAGGAATTCTTGTATAACCAATCAAGAGTATTAATGGATTAGTAAAGTGCCAGCGATGTGTTCTATATAATGCATTAAGTTTACTGATGGGGATGTGCGGTTCTTTCTTTCTTTGAGAAAGCTAGCGTGGTTAGCTCACCCGGAGCTAAAGATGTGATGTGATTTACAAATTGAAATTGATTTATCCGAGCTTAATGTTTCAATATGGCTGTGTATTCGTGCAAATAGTTTGAATAAAAACCGTACAGATGCATAGATATGTTGTATTACATACATTTGTGTTTTTAGTTTTGGTTTTCTTGCCATCTGATGCTGAAAAGTGACGTAGTATTTGTGCGCCCGTGTGGTTTGTTTTGGGATGTTGGTACATTTAAATTTTTTTTAGGGTTCAAAACGAGTCTTGCTGATCACATGTAAACTAGAGCATTTGTTAATGTATTATTACAACGCCACAGTTTCCACCATCTTTTTCTTTCTATTGTTTTTATTTTTTGCAGTGTGTGTGAACTCACACTAGGAGCTGGGCAGACCACTGTCTGCGCTCTTTCTTGCTTAGTGGCTGATCCCAGCCACAGCCATGGCCTTCGTACCTGCCCCTAGCCCCACAGTGGTGGACCAGACCACTCTGATGAAAAAGTACTTGCAGTTTGTTGCAGCACTCACAGACACCAACACCCGTAAGTTTTTTTCTTTAATTTATCATATGTTTCCTGTAATACTGTTGTGTTCTGACCTGAGCGATGTGATGAGAGCGATCTGCTTTAGTTCAGTCAAAGGTACTTGTGTGCATGCCTGTGTGTGCGTGTGTGTGTGTGTGTGTGTGTGTGTGTGTGTGTGTGTGTGAAAGAGTTTGTATGAATGTTTTATCTGAGTACCTGTTGAGCACACTGGACGCTGAAAGTAAAACTGATAAGATCTGAGAACCTCTCCTGAGCACAACTGATGTGAGCAAATAATATATGGAAGCATGTATTCTCTCTTAAAATATTCTTTGATCATTTAGCGGATGAAACAAAGCTGAAGATGATGCAGGAGGTCAGCGAGAACTTTGAGGTATGTTTGCATCTGTACATTTATTGATATTATGGTATGGATATTTTGAAGCCATAGTATTTCTGTTTCAGAATGTGACATCTTCGCCTCAGTATTCTACTTTCTTGGAGCACATCATCCCTCGCTTTCTCACGTTTCTTCAGGATGGAGAAGTGCAATTCCTCCAAGAAAAACCTACTCAGGTACAAGGAAATGCTGTGTTATGTTTTTTTTGGTGTTTAGCAGAGTAATAAACAAAATGTGAAAATATGTTAGCAATATCATAAACATGTAATATTATTTGCCAGCCCAGTATTAGATAACTATGGATCATTCCACTGCACTAACATCAGTTACCCATTTCTCTTTTCTGTTTAGCAATTAAGAAAATTGGTGTTAGAAATAATTCACCGCATTCCAACAAACGAACATCTTCGTCCCCACATCAAAAACATTCTGTCAGTGATGTTCCGGTTTTTAGAGGTTTGAGTCTTTAGAAAACATACAAACATACTCCAGAATAATGATTTGTAATGTTGCATGGTTTCACAATGTATTTCTTTGCAGATTGAAAGTGAGGAGAATGTGTTGATCTGTCTTCGCATTATAATTGAGCTGCATAAACAGTTTCGTCCTCCAATCTCTCAGGAGGTTATTATTATTATTATTATTATTATTAGTAGTAGTAGTAGTAGTAGTAGTAGTAGTAGTAGTAGTATTAGTATTATTATTATTTGCAAGTGTAAATTAAATAAACTAAATGAAATTTAATGAACAGTAAAAAATTTAATGTTTTTTCTCTACACAGATTCATCACTTTTTGGACTTTGTAAAACAGATTTACAAAGACCTTCCGAAAGTGGTGGTATGTACATTCACCTTAAGTAGAGACACGCATTGTGAAATCTACTCCCACCTGCTGGCTTATAAAAGAAAAAATTGTCTGCTTCCCCAAGGCTCGCTATTTTGAGAATCCTCAAGTGATAGCTGAAAACACAGTTCCCTCTCCAGAGATGGTGGGAATGATCACATCTGTGTTGGTTAAAACAGCTCCAGACAGAGAGGACAGTGAAACAAGAACAGTAAGTCAACCACAGGGTTCTAATACATCTTGTATACTGTTTGTCTTTTGGATTGAATATCTTGCAGGACTTACTGAAACCACTTGATGGCAGTAGTGCACTCTGTTATTAATACACACTTTTTACATGTCATATATTACCAAGTGTCCTTTTTAGGTCTATTTCACTTTCGGATTATCTACCTTGAATGTTCCCCATAATTTTTTTTCCAATGTTTTAGTACTCCACCTTGTAATGTACTAATGTTATAAAAATGAATATAACCATGCTCTTTGTCTGCCTCTTTTGTCCTTAGCACACCATCATACCCCGGGGCTCACTGTCTCTGAAGGTGTTAGCAGAGCTGCCCATTATAGTGGTGCTGATGTATCAGGTGAGTGAACAACTTTGATGTGAAAGAAATGCAATATTTTGGTTATGTTGGCCATTTTAAAGAAAATACTATACATATGTTACCCGTGTTATTTGTTACTGTATTATGTTGTGGACTAGAATTTGATTATGGCAAACAGGCTCTCTATCTTGCAATTTCAATAATTCTCATTCTTTGCCCAAATATTTGCATACCAGAGTGCATCAGAATTTCCATAACATTTTGTTTTGTCCCTATAGTTGTACAAACTCAACATTCACAATGTGGTGTCAGAGTTTGTGCCTCTCATCATGAACACCATCATGCTGCAGGTGTCTCCACAAGCCAGGTAAAAACAAGTTTATTTTAAAACGACAACAACAACAACAAAGTAGCACAATGCCTCAATTAAACTAGTGAGAGAAGCCAGCCCATTTAATCCAGTGATAATATGTCAGGATTCTCTGGAACTGTAACTGTTCTTCCTAATATGCTGTAACAGCTGTATCTCAAACAAGTCACCCATGTAGAACTCTCTCCTATATGTAGACCAACAATCTTTGTCTCTAATTACCACACTCTGCAGGTATACAACATCATTAATGTCACTGATGACGCCCACTTAATGTTTTTTGTATGTTAATTGTGCTATTTCTATTTCAGGCAACACAAACTCTTTAACAAGGAGCTCTATGCAGACTTCATTGCAGCACAGATCAAGACTCTGTCATTTCTTGCCTACATCATCCGCATCTACCAGGTACACTCCATCTGTTTAATGGCTCAGCCTGACACCAGGGCACACTGCAGTTTAATAGCTGTGCATCAGTATCTAAATTTTTACAAGTGTGTCCATCACTAAAATTTCACTGATATTTGTTGCCGGTAAAACTATTTTGGGATTAATATGTCTTCACTGTTCATGTGATTTACTAAGCGGTGTTTTGGAATTAGTCCCAGAAAGGTAAGCATTAGTCAATCTTACAGTATCGGCAACTAATGGTTAGAGCATGGCCCCACTATACTGCAAATTGTTTGTGATAGATAAGGCCGTATTCTGTTGATATTGTTAAAATTATGATTAATAGATGATGACTTATAAATTTCCTAAATGTAACCCTGATTTTGCAATTTTAGGACCTTGTGGGGAAATACTCTCAGCAGATGGTAAAGGGTATGCTGCAGCTGTTGACGAACTGCCCCTCCGAGACGGCACACCTCCGCAAAGAGCTTCTTATAGCAGCCAAGCATATCCTCACCACCGACCTGCGGAGCCGTACGTACCACATACCATTATTTTACTGTGATTATTTTAAGATGAGATGCCTTAGATGTTGCACTTGGATGGTGTTTAAATCAAATTTAATCTCAAGAATGCTCAGACATCAATAAAAGCTTGTGACACATTTAGAGTGATTTTCCACAGTATCCCATGTTACTTCTGCTCATATCATTTGCAGTTAATGTTCTGAAAGAAACATTTTCTGATGAACTGTACTGACAAACTGATTCTTGCATTTCAGAGTTCATTCCATGTATGGACAAACTTTTCGATGAGTCCATCTTGATTGGCTCTGGCTACACTGCCCGTGAGACTCTGAGGTGAGTGTGTACTGTGATTTGATCTTTCATTGTCAGCACCCTCTCTGCTGCGGTGCTCTGCTCATCCAGGTGCACACAGGACGTCTAAGCATATTAATCAGACTGGTCTCAAAGGCTGCAGAGATTCTCGGGTTAACAGCCTGCAACACTGCCCTGTCAAACTGTCATGTACACCTGCATCTCCAGAGGGCACGCTGCCTACAATCCCTCCCCTAGGTCCGTTTCAATACCTCTTTGACCCTCTCAGTTGCCAAGGCGGCTCACCTCATCAACAAAATGGCTGTCGGTTCACATTAGAAGTGTGCAGGAAACGCAGAGCTGGATAAGAACTGGCAGGGCTATCAGTGTCACTCATTAGCTCCTCTGTCTTCCTCCTCTTGCATATGTCAAGCTCTGTTGCATGATCACCTATTCTGAATTCTAACAACAGAGGACACTAATTAGATACTGTCCAAAAGTCTTTTAGCTTTTGTTTCTGGTCGTTACCCTGTTCAATTTACCCCGCTTACAAGAGGAATGTCATTTATTCAGTTTCAGATACTTGGTCCTCTCTGATTATCACTTTTTTACAGTTGCACAAAATGTCAGGTAGTTGAGCATAGCCTTTTTAGCATTCACTACAAATCAGCCCTGGAATGTTGCTTGAATTCTTCTCCAAATGTCACACTTTGCCTTTTTCCTTCTCAGACCCCTGGCTTACAGCACACTGGCAGACCTGGTGCACCACGTTCGTCAAAATCTACCCCTGACAGATTTGTCCCTGGCTGTCCAACTGTTCGCTAAGAACATTGATGACGAGTCGCTCCCCAGTAACATACAGACCATGTCCTGTAAGCTGCTCCTGAACCTGGTTGACTGCATTCGCTCCAAGTCTGAACAGGAGAACGGCAATGGAAGAGACATTCTCATGAGGATGTTGGAGGTTAGCAAGTGATAACTGGTGGTTTACAACTGGTTATGAGAATATATGTGGAGAGTGAACTTAATGTGGGTTTGTTGCTAGTAAAATCAATGTTAAGTCCTTGTATCTGCATTGTGTTTGACTTAAAGGTACACTATGTAACTTATACGGTGGAGGGTCTCCTACTTGATTGTCTTCATGGAGATATTATTTCTTTGGAATGTTCCACAGTAGGGCATTAAACATATCTCCTTTGCACTTGTTCAATTACAGATGTTTTATAGCTCAAAAATATGTTAAAAACCTGAATTCTTCTGTTGTGCAGGCTAGCTTGTCCATATATTTGTCCATTGACCTGTCTGCATTGTGATTATCAAGTTTATTTTCATAATGTGGAATAACTGATGCAAAACTGTAAAATCTCCACGATGACAAGCAGGCGGCAGACCCTCCACCAGCAAAGTTACACAGTGCACCTTTAAACATAGAAGTCGGAGGAAAGTTGTTAATATAATTAACTTTTTGCCTTCTAAATCAGGTATTTGTGCTGAAGTTCCACACCATTGCACGTTACCAGCTTGTGTCAATATTCAAAAAGTGCAAGCCTCAGTCTGAAATGGGAGTGGTTGATCCTGGCGCCTTACCCGGAGTACCAGCCACCCCTACCCCATCCACTACTCCCGCACTCCCCCCGCCAGCGCCCCCCACCCCAGTCGCTGCCCCTCCTCAGCCTCCCGTTACCCCCTTCGACAGGGCCGGGGACAAGGAAGACAAGCAGACGTTTCAGGTGTCCGACTGTCGCAGTTTGGTCAAGACTCTGGTGTGCGGAGTCAAGACCATTACTTGGGGCATCACTTCTTGTAAAGCCCCAGGAGGTGTGAGATGAAATATGTTTTTTAAATTAGACTACGTGGCGATGCAAACTATAATTTTCTTTGTCCACAGAGGCTCAGTTCATTCCTAACAAGCAACTTCAGCCAAAAGAGACGCAAATCTATATCAAGCTGGTGAAATATGCCATGCAAGCCTTGGATATCTACCAGGTGCAAGTAGCCAATAATCAGCAGACATATATCAGAGTGGCCAACTGTCAAACTGTTCGAATGAAGGAGGAGAAGGAGGTCCTGGAGCACTTTGCTGGAGTCTTTACCATGATGAATCCACTCACTTTTAAAGAGATCTTCCAGACTACCGTGCCCTATATGGTGGAAAGGATATCAAAGAACTATGCCCTTCAGGTATGGGCCTAAAGACATTTTGCAGACTAAAAACTTCAATTACAAATAATTCTATGTTCTACTACCTATGTGTTTTTCAGATTGTGGCAAACTCTTTCCTCGCCAACCTGTCCACATCCGCCCTGTTTGCCACCATCTTAGTGGAGTATCTTTTGGAAAGACTTCCAGAAATGGGATCCAATGTTGAGCTCTCAAATCTCTACCTTAAACTCTTCAAGCTGGTTTTTGGATCAGTGTCACTCTTTGCTGCTGAGAATGAGCAAATGCTTAAGGTAAGTTTAGAAACCATCATTTGTGGTGCAGTATTTATAATATTTAAAATCTATTTGATTGTTGGATGCTTGTCTCTTTCTTAGCCTCACCTCCACAAAATAGTTAACAGTTCAATGGAGCTGGCCCAGTCAGCAAAAGAACCATACAACTACTTCCTGCTTCTGCGTGCCCTTTTTCGGTCCATTGGTGGAGGTAGCCATGACCTGCTCTACCAGGAATTTCTACCGTTGTTACCAAATCTTCTGCAAGGTAAACCCTCATAAAGTATTGACTAATGAAATTTACATAGTTGGAATAATTTACTATGAAAGCAGGCACACCAAAAATCTAAATTCTAAGCAGCAAACACTGATTCTATCCAAAACAACATTTAGAAATATTACTCAGATGCAGGACAATGCAAGATTATTCAAACATGCATGAATCAATCAATATCAATCAGCGGTTTTGGCTAGGCTCACGATGACTGAACATCATTATAACAGTAAAAGTTGATTTTATGTAAGATGTCCCCATTTAACCATGTCTAAACCAGGAAAAAAAACCATTTCCCAGGTCACTGTTCAAACTGCTGTTCCACATCATTCCCTATTAATTCTTTCTCTCCAGGTCTGAACATGCTGCAGAGTGGCCTTCACAAGCAGCACATGAAGGACCTGTTTGTGGAGCTGTGTTTGACAGTGCCAGTGCGCCTGAGCTCGCTGCTGCCCTACCTGCCCATGCTCATGGACCCATTAGTGTCTGCCCTCAATGGCTCCCAGACTCTGGTCAGCCAAGGCCTTCGCACCCTGGAGTTATGTGTGGACAATCTGCAGCCCGACTTTCTGTACGACCACATTCAACCTGTTAGAGCAGAGCTAATGCAGGTAAAAACAATAGCTGCATGTGTCTTTTGAAGCTCTTTCCTTTTGTTTAAATGTAATCATATGTTGTTTTATAATCTCAGGCTTTGTGGCGTACTCTTCGCAACCCAGCTGAAAGTATATCACATGTGGCTTATCGAGTTCTGGGCAAGTTTGGAGGCAGCAACAGGAAGATGCTGAAAGAATCACAAAGACTACTCTATATTGTCACTGAAGTCCAAGGTCCCAGTATTAAGGCAGAGTTTACTGACTGCAAAGCATCTATACAGCTGCCTATGGAAAAGGTAAGACCAGAACCATGTACTATTTTGTTGGAATTTCAATTGGCAGAGTCCATTGTTTTTTTTAAACTTCTGAAAGAATGGATGAAACTTAAAAGAGACCTTTGTAATCCTCATTATTACTCTGCACAGTGGGCAATATGTCCTTGTCAGAGGTGTGTGTGTGAGTTTGTGTGTGTGAGTGATAAGATGTATGTGTCCTCCAGGTAATTAAATTCATCTCCTTTTCTCCTCCTCATCCTCAGTCAGTAATCATCCATCTAGCGCTGGCCACCATGACGGCATTATTTACTCTCTCTAATGGCCAGTACTTCTCCTCTCTAAGCTGTTCACTGCATACACAACCTAATGCAAAACAGTCTGGGTAGTGGTTTAAAGGAGAAATGGAGTAACAACTTAATATTATAAATGTAGTAGCCTAAAGAATGACCAGTTTTAATATATGATGATTAAATGTGTAATCAGTGACCTATACACATCCATATATGACAGGCTGATCCAGTTTGTTTATCTATATCTGTATTTACCTAACTAGTAAATCCAATTACACGACTGGAATCTTAATAAAACCTTTTTTTTCCAATTGCTACTACCTTGTTTTAATTATATTGTAAGACACTGGCTAACCAAATATTTTTTTAAATTCTCAATCATTCATCTCTGCTGTTAATGTCCCTCTGTCTTTAATTAAATTCCCTCTGTTTTCTCAAAATATTTACTTTTAAAATTACTCCTCTCAGTTGTTGAATTTAGAAGGCCACTTCAGTTTCAGTTTTGACAGGAATATGCTGATATCCCAATATTCTGACAGGCCTACAATTCAATTAAGCGGCACCCTCTTCTCTCTTTCAACCTCTATTTTTTTCCACAGTCATCACTTCCTGGTTTTGTGTTCTGAGTGGCATTAATTAGTTTAATTTTCCCCCTCTTTCAATCCCTGGCCGCAGTGGCATGTCTGCTCATAATGTAGAAAATTGCATTGACCTTTACAGCGGCCAGATGGCTGTCCGTGTTTCTTTGTAAGTTAAACTCATAAAACCACACATAGGTTTTTTTGTATCAAAGTAATACATTTGTACCAGAAAATATAATACATGTAGTCTTAGGGGCTGCTTAATGTCATGTTTTGTTTTTACTCCTTTCTCAGGCAATTGAAACAGCTCTGGACTGCTTGAAGAGCGCCAACACAGAACCATACTATCGTCGACAAGCTTGGGAGGTCATCAAGTGTTTCCTGGTGGCCATGACCAGTTTGGATGACAATAAGCTTACTCTCTACCAGCTGTTATCTCACCCCAAGTAGGTTTTGTCTATTTACTTGTTGATATTTTTGTCACAGAAAGCTGACTCACATAGCATTGCCTCTTTTAACTTGCCACATCTTTCATTCCTTCATTTTAACCTGCACCAGTTCTGACCTGTGCCCCAGCCATCGCATTAACCCTGTCTGCATTATCTCCCGCACCTCTGTCACAAGCCCATATACCCCGTTATCACTGTCCCAACACATCGGCCCGATAAGCTCTGATACCAGCATAGCATTTGCTAATTACAGTGGCCTTTCCTCCTCCCCCGGTGGGCTCCTTTCTGAGGTGGAGACGTTTACATGAACAGACAAACAGGAAGGAGGTGACTTGTTGGAAGGCTAGTCACATTACCATCATTGATCCCCAGGCATGAGTTAATTGACTTTCAACTGTCTGTTTATGCAGCACTATGTCCCATACACTTAGCTGTCATCTGGCACTAATATAGACACACATGTGCTTAGTCTGATGGTGTTGCTGCCTCTCATATCATACCTGCCAAAGTGAAGTCAGTACCAGCTAGTTATTATTTTCAATTTTTATCTCATGGATATTTAAATTGCCATTGTTTTAATCTGTTATCTAAACCCCTCTTTTTCCTTCCCTTTGGTCACTGTAAATATAGCTTCTCAGGGAATAGGAAAAGACACCTAGAGCGATTCTCAAAATGCCAAGTGAGGAGAATGGTGCAGCCCAGAGTGACAGGCCCCTGAATCAGTAAAGGGCAATTAATCTGACATTCTGTCAACTGTCAGCCCTGCCCACCTTCTCCGCTAGATCCCCGCTTGCTTCTTCCCTCGCCAGCATTCCCTCCCCCCCTCCCCCTTCCTCCTTGTTCAAAGAGCAGTCTTTTAAATGGCAATAATGAAATGAAGCGATCCATCAGGTCTGCCCCTGGCGTGTGGCATTATAAAACACAAGCTCAAGCATGGAGAAAACAGCTGCTCGATCACCGTGTGGCCCAGTTGCCTTGAGCTGCAGTAAATAACAAAAATACCAACAGGGCACGACGAGGGAGGCACTGCTGTTTTAGTCTGGAGAAAGTATTGAGCATGAATAGAAAAATGAGATAAACGGAGAGGGCTGGCTACATTTTAATCCCGATGTTGTGAAATGTTAATATGGTCAAATCTGTGTTCTCCATCAGCTTCACAGAGAAGTGGATCCCCAATGTCATCATCTCTCACCGCTACAAAGCACAAGACACACCGGCCCGCAGGACGTTTGAGCAGGCCCTGACCGGGGCGTTCATGTCAGCTGTGATAAAGGACCTGAGGCCCAGCGCATTGCCCTTCGTGGCCAGCCTCATACGGCATTACACTATGGTCGCTGTGGCCCAACAGTGTGGTAAGGGGCTCTACAGCTAATATTAGCATAAGGTTTAACCAAGGGATTAGTCTTTAATGTAACAAAAACATTCAAATGTGACTCATGTTTGCATTAAAAATGTATTAACAAGAAGGAGGAGACACATCGTTAATAAAAATGAATAATATAGTAATAGGGTCTTGTTGATTTAAGTGTTTTCCCCTGCTGCAGGTCCGTTCCTGCTGCCTTGCTACCAGCTTGGCAGTCAGCCCAGCACAGCCATGTTCCATAGTGAGGAGAATGGATCAAAGGGCATGGACCCACTGGTTCTCATTGATGCCATAGCCATCTGTATGGCCTATGAAGAGAAGGAGCTCTGTAAGATCGGAGAGGTGGCTCTTGCGGTCATCTTTGATGTGGCCAGCATCATCCTGGGCTCCAAAGAAAGGGTACCTCATTTTTAATAAAACGTGCTTTTCTATGAAGTTCTTTCTCTAGTAGTCAAACTAGTTGTTTTTGGTTAATATCAAATATTCACCATGTACTCATTCCTATCCATAGGCTTGCCAGCTGCCCCTGTTCTCTTACATAGTGGAGCGTCTGTGTGCCTGCTGCTATGAGCAGGCCTGGTATGCCAAGCTTGGAGGTGTGGTGTCTATCAAGTTCCTGATGGAGAGACTGCCTCTGGTCTGGGTCTTACAGAATCAGCTGACTTTCCTCAAAGCTTTGCTCTTTGTCATGATGGACCTCACAGGAGAGGTAAGAGTGCATTATAGGACACCTATATCTTCACCACTGTTTTGACAGTAAGCATGACACAACTATAAGTCTCCTTTGCTGTTCCACTTTAAGTCTACTTCATACCACTGTACTTTGTAACTTATTGATTTTCGTGCAGGTCTCAAATGGTGCTGTAGCTATGGCCAAAACCACTCTGGAGCAGCTGCTGGTGCGCTGTGCCACCCCTCTAAAGGATGAGGAGAAGAGTGAGGAGCTGCTAGCTGCTCAGGACAAGTCCTTCCACATGGTGACCCATGACCTGGTGCGGGAGGTCACTTCCCCCAACTCCACTGTGAGGAAACAGGCCATGCACTCGCTGCAGGTGTTGGCCCAGGTCACCGGGAAGAGTGTGACTGTCATCATGGAGCCACATAAAGAGGTAATTAACCAACAACAATTTTCATGACAATGACATTCATGTTATTAATATTCTCATGTGAATCCTTTTCTTCAGGTTTTGCAAGACATGGTTCCTCCAAAGAAACATCTCCTCCGTCACCAGCCTGCCAATGCTCAAATCGGTTTGATGGAAGGCAACACGTTCTGCACCACTCTTCAGCCACGCCTTTTTACTATGGACTTAAATGTCATGGAGCACAAGGTCTTTTATACTGAGGTATGGATTACAAATGCTTTGATTTAAACAATTATATGTGTTTGTGAAGAAGTTTAATCAAGTTCTGTATAAATTTTTCTTAGCTGTTAAACTTGTGTGAAGCTGAGGACGCTGCTTTGATGAAACTTCCCTGTTACAAGAGCCTTCCATCTCTGGTTCCTTTGCGCATTGCTGCTCTTAGTGAGTTGGGCTAGTTTAATAATAAGCACATCTTCCATGTACTTTTTTTTTCAGCAGAAATGTAATAAAATTCTTATTGTTTCCCCCATTTTAGATGCCTTGGCTGCTTGTAATTACCTGCCACAGTCCAGAGAAAAGATCATTGCGGCTCTGTTCAAGGCCCTCAACTCCACAAATAATGAGCTGCAGGAAGCTGGAGAGGCATGCATGAGGAAGGTCAGGGTAACATCTACTGGTATTTCCCACTGTCATTGCCTGTGAATATATACAGTGTTATTAGACGCTAAGACCTTTACATTTGAACAAAATTAGGTTCTGTACCGTTATTTTCATGTAAAAACATAACATGTGTTTTGCGCCAGTACAGATGTATTGCAAAAGAAGCCCTTAGGGTCAAAATAAGACTGCTGTGTGCTGTCTGCATCTAATTATAGAGCATTTTCTTACTAAAGTCTCCATAAATTAGGAAGTGCATTGTTGGCATGCTAGTTGTTAGTATTACGGTGACCTCCAAACTCCCGACTTGGCCTCTGAAGTTGTAAATTGCAAATTAAATTCATCATACTGAATGAACATTAATGCAGATGCTAGGAATGAGTCAGGAAAGTTAGTCCAATAAAAATTACATACACCACCTTTTTAAAATGTAAATTTCTTATGTTGAGCCGAAATATTAATCCTTACACTTTCTTTCCCATTTATCTTTTCGTACCTTTTTCTCTGTACTTAATCATAGCCATCCCGAACCAGCCTTGTATCTAATGACCAGAGCATCCATATTTTCTTCAGCCAATACCAATCCACCTCGAGCTCTTTATTCACCTCCTATTTTTGTGTCCTTCATTTTCTTTCTTTAGCGCCATTACTCCTCCTCACTATTCTATCCTAAGCCATTTTTTTCCCTTTCCTTTCTCCCATTCTCTCTGTCTCTGCCCTGCTAGCACTAATGAGCATTGCCACGGCCCGATCGATACAGGATGGAGTGTTTGTTCCCGGCGTTGAGAGGAAAATGAATGTGGCTGCCATGCATCATTCGCTCCTGTCTGTGAGGGGGGCGTGCTCCTGTGTCAGCTGTGTTTTGGTCCAGGCATATATGTGCTCGCTTGTTTACACTGTACACTACCTCCTGACCATGCTCCCGTTTTAACTGGCCTTTAGTTTCTTAATAGAGATGCCCATGTAAGAACTAGGACACTGCCAAGTACAGGTCTTGTAGAGTTCTGTGTAGACATAATTTGTTTATCAATGCACACTGGAGATTCGAGCCGATTGTTCAGTTCATAGCAGTAAAGTGATTGCACCTAAAATAACATTTCTTTGTATTTCGTTAGTAATGTATGGATTTGAAATGGTGCTATAATGGCTGCACGATGATGATAGTCAGAGAGGGTAGTTTGGTTAGGATACTGGATATCATATTGAGCAGAAGAGGAATGATGATTACATGGTGAGAGTGGTGCTGTAGCAGATGGCTCAAAGGTAGAAAGAAGGAGATATTTTATGCAGTGAAATAGGACCTGACGTTTAGAATTTGGAATGAGCAAAAAGGATTCAAGGAATTGGATTTAGTGGAGAAAGGTAAATTGGATCGGTCAGTTTCTGTCCTTGTAACAGTATTGCTGAGCACACTACACTTGGCAGCTGGCAATCTAAAATGTACCTTTTCTTCATCAAAATTAACATATTATCTTTTGCACTATTGTAGTTCCTTGAAGGTGCCACCATTGAAGTGGACCAGATCCACACTCACATGCGCCCCCTGCTGATGATGCTGGGAGATTATCGCAGCCTGACCCTCAATGTGGTGAACCGTCTGACTTCTGTGACACGCCTTTTCCCCAACTCATTTAATGACAAATTCTGTGACCAGATGATGGTAAGTGATGTGTTATTTAATTGCATTTGTTAGTTATAAGAGTCTTGACTAATCAAATTATTGTTTTGTCAGCAACACCTGAGGAAGTGGATGGAGGTGGTGGTAATAACGCACAAGGGAGGCCAGCGCAGTGATGGCAGTGTGAGTATAAACATTAATTCTGTTTAATTAGCAGTTTACATTCTGATGTTTCTGAATCTGGCAAAAAGTAGAGAACAGAACAGTTTATACACTTCTGTGAAACTCTGATGGCCCTCTAGCAATCAGTATGGATGAAATGGAACTAACTTTGAATACTCCAGGCCATAGATATGTTGCTTTAATTTAGAAAATGTAAATTCCTCTTACATTTTCTAATTAAAAATAACATTGTACAGTATCCCCCTAAGTTCCTCCCTATATTCCAGACTTGTTTAATAACTCAAACTTTGTACAAAGAAGTGACATAAGGAGACTGTATTTTCTACCTGGTCTCTGTTCTGCTGACACCTCACCAGAGGGACAGAACGGCCTTCTATGCACACAAAACCACAATCACATGTAGTCCACACCTCTGTTCTGCTGTGTGGTCCCCTCCCAAAAGATTTGAGCGGCCATATTACAATCAATGATTAATTAGGCGCCGGACAGACGGTGCTGGGCCCTGTGCTGCTTCTCCTCATTATACCCCGACGGATAACCTTGTGAAGATGCACAAAAAGGTGATGGAAGGGAAAAATTGGATAGCTTCTGCTTATGGAAGAGCTCCCTGTTTACAAGTTTATCCCATTTCACATTAAATTATCTGTTGAAAAAGATGTATTTTGACCCTCTTTCAAGCCTTTTCTGCTGTTTTGGAGAAATATTATTACTATTATTCAGATAATTTCAGTCATATTGTCTAGCTTGACCCAAGTTTCAAAAGCAGCAAACGGCATTTAAATTTTTTGTTTGGTTTCGCCTCCCTCAAACCACTAATACAATAAAATTCAGTCTTGATTCAGTGTTATGAAATATCAACACAAAAAGGAAATTGAAGAACTAAAAGAACTGGAAGTTACAAATGTCACAGTCTGTATTCAGCACTTTATCTATTGTGAAGTTATCAAAAAGACTTTCTCCTCTAAATGTCAAGGATGCCGCGGCTAACATTTCTGAACACACTACATCCTGGTTATCAAACACTTCAGCAAAACTCCCAAAATAACTCCTCTCTAAAGTTCTGTTGTCATTTGGCCCTGTTTTATCTTCTCGTCTTTCCCATGAAACTACACACCTCCACACAACCACACAAAATGCTGTGCTGACTCTGCTCATTGTCTCCCCATTCTGGTATAGCCTGCGATGGAGGGCGTTGAGGTGAGATGTAACCTGGTGTTGCGCCCTCTGTTGGTGATTCTGTCAGTGAAGTAAAGCTTAATCAAGCCAATGTCGTGCTGTTCAATCAGACTAATGTTGTGAAGTTGCCCCATATTTTCCTGTCCTTGTGTCTGTGAATGTTTTTGAGAAAGTTGGTCTCACATTCTGTTATCAATGTTTTGTCTACAATCTCCTAAAAAGAGACAACATATGTATTTCTGTAAAATGTTTGTAGCTTTGCTGTCAAAAGTTTTATCTACTAGTTGTCAGTTCTCGTCATGTCTTTTCACAGTGGCTGCCCATCAAAACAGTTTTAGATTATGTCCGTTCCGTGTCATTTGCTCTGTCCATGTCTCACCTGGTGTCCTCTTCCCTGTTTTGCCGCTTGTGTTCATAGGAGATGAAGATCTGCTCGGCAATCATTAACCTCTTCCACCTGATCCCAGCCGCTCCCCAGACCCTGGTGAAGCCACTGCTCGAGGTGGTGATGAAGACAGAGCGAGCCATGCTTATAGAGGTGCCACTCAAATACTTTAAGCTTAACTTTTCTGATACTGGCAAAGCTGGATAATGTTGGTATTAATGTGAATCTTTATTCTCATAATATTCAGATTGTAAGCTTCTGGACCTAAATGCTTGAACTTGCAGCTTTCTTTTAATGCAAGCAACAAACTGCACTTTTATTAAGACAGACTGGCATTTAAGTGAAAATGTATTCTAATCTTTGCAAATTTAAATGCAGTTTCAAAGTAATACAATTTCTACAATAGTTTGTACAGTATCAGTTATTATTAACACATATAATACCAATATTACATCACATTGAAGTTATGAAAGATTTTTATAATGTCACACCACAGCTTTCATACTTTGAAATCAAATTCTTTTTGTCTTTTTTTTTTTCCTTCCAAATAATCTAGTAGTGTTCACATCATTATTTCCTTATCTCATATTATTATAATGCTATTTGGCTTGTGTACCATAATTTTGAGGTATGCGCTGCCTCCCCTCACCCCTGTGCTGCTGTTTGTCTTTGCCGTAGGCTGGCAGTCCGTTCAGGGAGCCTTTGATCAAGTTCCTGACGCGGCACCCATCTCAGACCGTGGAGCTCTTCATGATGGAGGCCACTCTCAACGACCCTCAATGGAGCCGCATGTTTATGGTCAGCACACATGCCTGCCCAATGAGCTCATAATCAGGAGCTATGGCTTTGTACTACTATTCTTATTGTCCTGTCTTATCCAGAGTTTCCTCAAACACAAAGATGCCAAGCCACTAAGAGATGTGTTGGCATCTAATGCAAATCGTTTTGTCCCCCTCCTGGTTCCTGCTGGTACTGCAGCCACCGTTCGTCCTGGATCCCCTTCCACCACCACTGCCCGATTGGATCTACAGTTCCAGGCCATCAAGGTAGTTTTTGATAAGTAGCTTGACTGATGCATATGTGTTTGCATCATTGAACCCTTTGTTGTGAACTCTTTGTTCAGATCATCAGCATCATTGTAAAGAATGATGAAGGGTGGCTGGCAGGCCAACACTCTCTGGTCAGCCAGCTCAGACGGGTCTGGGTGAGCGAGGCCTTTCAGGAAAGACACCGCAAAGACAATATGGCTGCCACCAACTGGAAAGAGCCAAAGCTTCTGGCCTATTGCCTTCTTAGTTATTGCAAGTATGTATTCAGATAAATATATGATATTCAGTTACCTGTTGAGTTTTGAACATTTGTCATGTTAATGAAAATTGTTGTTCTTATTTGAAGAAGGAACTACTCTGAGATTGAGCTGCTATTCCAGCTGCTGCGGGCCTTCACAGGGCGTTTCTTGTGCAACATGACTTTCCTAAAGGAATACATGGAAGAGGAAATTCCCAAGAACTACTCCATTGCCCAGAAACGAGCCCTCTTCTTCCGCTTTGTTGAATTCAGTGACCCTCACTTCAATGATGAGCTCAAAGCAAAGGTATCCTCTATGCACTCAAATAATCAGAGCAGAGAAATTAAATTAAAACACTGCACCACAGGGACTTGGAAATTTGACAATGACTTTCATAGTTTAGCCTTTAGAGTTGACACTTCTGGGCTTGCTGTTCTGCCAAATATAGTCTGTGTTTTAGGTGAGCAGGCATAAATACAGTGGCTTTTCTCTGGCATTCTCTGTGAGTTTGTCAAGCTGAGCCTGTGATGAGTTGATTATTAAGTATATGTAAGTGCATATGCTCAGGGAGCTGTCTGGTTGCTGTGTTTTGTAGCAGAAGTTATTTGATGGAGCCTAGAAGGTCATGGGTTTCAGGTTGTAGCCCCTTGGAGGCTCACAGATGAATGCCTCTGTCCTCTCTACCTGACCTGCTGTAGTAAGCATTACAATCATTCAGGCTGCTTTTTAATTAAGCTCACGGTCCCATATGCTTACACACTTTCACACCCACACTCACATTTAAAAACATACTCTGTGCACAGCTGTACCAGGACCAGCACCTGGCTCAGAGCAGCAGCTGCACTCATGCTGAACACAATGGGTCAGTGGGGGAGGCCTGGCCCAGCACTGGAGCACATCACCAAATGGCATTGTGGCAAATACTCCCAATTACTCACACATAGGCACACATAGAGAAGGCACTGGCAGCTCACCAACACCACCTAACAGAGGACAGTCACTGTGTTAAAACCACTGCTCCAACCTCAGGAACACACTGCAAAATATACAGTAGACTCTAAATAATGTATAAATCTGCAGAGAGTTGTAAATGTATAGCTCTTTTTCTAACATTTTATTTTTCACCACACATATCCCCCATCATTGTTTTAGTCCTAATGAACTCCTCCGCGCATACTGGTTCTGCTTGTTAGGCTGTGTGCCGGATAAGATAATGCACTGTGCTATTGTCTGTGACATTATTTATTTTACCAGTTGTAACAAAATCATCCTGGAGGTGTTTGTGTTTCCAATAATGATCTTTGCAGTCAGAGTAAACATAATGTAGAATTGTAATCAGTCAGACATCTGCATAAAATTCATACGCAGCACAATGTCTGCTCTGGAGGTTATCTTTTTCCTCCCACAGTTTTCTTTTTAAGCATCTGTGAGCTGCCCCCTCACTCTATCATCTGGTCTGAGTAGATATCTATCTTTATAATATTCATATTTTATTATCTTGCTGTTCCAGATCTGTGTTTCTGTACGTTTTCGCCAAAAAATCCGCTCGCTTTGGTTTAAGTCCCAATGCTTGTATGGCACAAAAGTGGGACTATTTCACATTGAAAAGAGGAAGATGGAGAAGGAGAGGGACTGTGTAGGAAAGCGGCAATAAATCACTGCCTGACCTCATGCTGCTCCACAACAGCTTTCGCACAAAACTCTTCTGGTGCGGCTAAAGCATTTCACTATTGGCAGGATTATATTTCAGGCGGATAAACAAACAAACCAGCGGATGGAACTTACGAGGCACGCAGCATGGCGATTTCCCATTCTGCCCCACTTCCTCCTTTGTTCCCGACATGACACGGAGCGAGACGGAGCGCTCCAACACGCTGTGCTAGCATCATTTTCTCTGAGGTGGCACGAATCAAACTACTGTGTTAAACTAAAACAAGCAAATGTATTTCAGTCAGATTGTGAACCTGCCAGATTCCACTGCAGGGGTACACGTGTAAACAAAACTTCTCCACAGGATCTCTGACTGCCGCTTTGAATGGGGTTTCTATTTTGTTCTGAAATTATTTCAGTGTACAGAAAAAGATCTAGTAAAATATGTTGGCATGCAGGAGAAACAAAATTTAAAAAATGATATAAATGTGTGCTGCCTTCAATGGCCTCTACAATTTTCAGTAGTTGGTGACATCACAAAAGACTTCCCCAATTACTGCTAGGAGTTTCTGATTAAAAACATCTGGCTGCAAGGGTGGCGTTTGATGTGTTTATACCTGTTAGACATATCACACTGCTCCCTGTACCTTCAGACCCCACATCTTTCTCTCTCCTTCTTTTTTATCCAGCAGCACTGTTTAGCAGTTCTATTTGAAATGAATATGAACTTTGGTTGTGGGCTGAGTTTAGGTTTTTAGTCCTGTTTAATTACATAAGACTATAGTAGGTAATAGTAAATAGAAAATATTTTTGTATGCATCGTTTGGCTGTATGCTAAAAAATACTAAATCTTACTCAACAAGTTTCAATTGCTTAGTCAATGGATATTCTTCCATATTAAGAATAGTATTTTGATCAAAAGACACTTTGCTATGCTGTTGCTGGATAATGTTCTATGCTTATATGAAAATATTATGACTCAGTCAAGTCTTTAAGCTTCCTTTACTCTTGCCCTCTCCTTATGTAATCTAAAGTTGTTATCAGCCGAACGCAAGGACTGTCCAATTCAGAAAATCTAACCACTTCATCACATAATTACTCTCATGAAGGTGCCAGACTGCAGGTTCCTTTAATGTACCTTTTTGAAAGACCACACCTGGTGATTGTTCTGATTAGTGCCTTCACAAAAGTGCCGTCAGGTATTCTTTGTAGGAACTTAAAGAAGGAAAAGTTGTGTGCCCGGCCTAAATTGACTTCTTATCCAAAGACTAATTGAAGATTTAAACATTTTTTTCTGTCTTCAGGTTTTGCAGCACATCCTGAACCCTGCCTTCCTGCATAGTTTTGAGAAAGGTGAAGGCGAGCAGCTGCTTGGACCGCCCAACCCCGAAGGAGACAATCCCGAGAGCATTACCAGTGTCTTCATCACAAAGGTACACTGAATTAAAATATGTACAAAAACATTGTGTATTTGTATAATACATACTACTCAATCAGAAGACGTTTTGTTGGTGCAATTATTACATCACAAAAGCTGGAATTATTTAGATAATAGAATTTCCTCTGCAAAGAAAAAATATCCTGTCTTTTATAATGTTTGTTGTACCAAGACAATAGTACACATTTGGACTCTGAAATGTAAAGGATTCTTGTTTGTCAGTTCATATTTCAGTCTTCTCCGAAAGGTCAATGCTCCTGGAGTTATTTACACTCTGAACAGAATGATATTTAAATCATATATTGCAGATCTAATCAAAGTGTCAATTTGATTTTTTCCCCCCCCAAAGCCTGTAGTCTTAATAGTTTCTTTGCAGTAAGTTGAGATGTTACTGAGAACATGTAGCCTCCTTCCTGGTTTGGTTTCCGCTTCTGTTCATTAGTCAACAGCTTTGTCCCCGAGTCTATGTGATTTCATTACCTGCTGCATTTCCTCTCATAATATCCTATCAGACCGCCATCTCTCCCTGTCAATCTTCATCAGACACAATGCACACAGCATGGTGCCATTTCCCCAACAGTACCTAACCATTTCTACATGATTTAATTGTTGTCATTCACATTGCTTCGTTCATCCACCCACTCCTAGCCTTTTCCTCCATCGCGCCGCATCTATCAGACAGAGTAATGTCTGGTGTAAATGTCGCTGTGTGACCATGCGAAAGGTCAGCGTGTTTGTTTGCTGTGGCAGATCTCATCACTGACTAACAGCAGTACTAATGGCTGCTAATGGCTCTTCTACTCTCGGGTTAAAACCTATTTCCTCACACACTCTCTGCTGTCCTCTCTCTCCTATGGTCTATGTTGTCTCTGAAATATGTTACTACTATTTCTTTGAGAAATTCTTTAATTGTTTTGAAGATTAATCTTTCATACTTGTTTTTTTTTTTTTTTTTTTTTGCAAACAGACAGGGCAGAACACACCTAAATATGCTACTATACTAAAATTATTTTTGATAATCTTTTGATAATCTATTTTTGAATTTCTTTTAGACAATAGACATTTTCAGCTCAAAATAATAATTCATACTGCATGCATGTGGTCTCATAATAGTTTTTGTAAAGCTCAGTCATTCTAAAACTGTTCAAGAAAGGTGATATTTTATTCTATCCTATTTTTTCAGTCCAATGTAATAGTGTATGTCTTGCCTAACTGTGAATAAAATCAATATATGTTTAAATGTTATCGAAAATTACCTTTTGTCTAGTTCAGATAAGCATTTATTTGGTAGAGTATGTTTTGTGTAACTTGAGCATGCTAGCAAGCTAACCATATCATCTTCTCTCAGGTTTTGGATCCAGAGAAGCAGGCCGATCTGCTGGACTCGCTCCGGATTTGCCTGCTGCAGTTCTCCACTCTGCTGGTGGAGCATGCACCGCACCACATCCATGACAATAACAAGTCACGCAACAGCAAACTGCGTCGCCTCATGACCTTCGCTTGGCCCTGTCTGCTGCCCAAAGCCTGTGTGGACCCAGCTTGCAAATACAGTGGCCACTTACTACTGGCCCATATCATCGCCAAGTTCGCCATTCATAAGAAAATTGTTCTACAGGTATGAACTATATCGCTTTAAATCCATTTTTACCATCTGCCATGTTATATTAACTCACAAATTTTGTTATTTTCTCAGGTCTTCCACAGCCTGTTGAAGGCTCATACCATGGAGGCTCGGGCCATTGTCCGTCAGGCCATGGCCATTTTGACTCCGGCTGTGCCTGCTCGGATGGAGGATGGACACCAAATGTTGACCCACTGGACACGCAAAATCATAGTGGAAGGACACACTGTACCACAGCTGGTGCACATTCTTCACCTCATAGTGCAGCACTTCAGGGTAAGGATCAGTACCTCATCTCGGCATTAACATTTCTGTTTTTGGATGGTTGGTGTAATTGTTGGTTTAGTTGGTCTGCTAGTCAAATTTGGATATAATTTTTCAGAAATGGTCCAGTGTGTAATGCTGAGTACAGTTAAATCCAGAGAAATTTCTATACTATTGGTGGTTTTCAGATTCTTGAATATGATGTTGCCGTACTCTTTGATGGAAGTTTTCCCTGTGGTCACATAGTATTTTACCATGAAATATCCAAAAGGTACATTCACAAATCTTGAATCTGCTGATTTCTATTAGTGATTACATCCATTAACTTCTTGTATTACAACAAGAAAACTGCATTTTAAAAATATTTATTTTAGCTGCCTCATCTGTATTAACTATTATTCGCCTATAGAATGATGTGATGTCATCTGGAACCCAGCAACTGTGAGCCATTGTTATAGTTTACTTTTATAATGTCTTAATTTGAGTACAATCAATCACTGTTTTATTTACAGCAAATCAAAAACCTATGGTGAAAAGGGACTAATAAGATGAAGGATTGTATTTGCTTCTTATATTTAAGGTATATTTAATGTAATGCTTTGAAATATTACCTGAAGAAACATATACTTAATGTTAGAAAAAATGTTATGGCTATGTAAACTTATAAATTGTGCTCTAAATGGTAACAGATAATGATCCAAATGGGAACATCATTCAAAGCTGTGTTATTTTTATGGCTGTCTGATGAGCTGTGTAATACATCAATTAGCAACACCTCATTTCATATTGACAATTGCAACTCCTATTTGGTCTGTTGTTGCTTTAAATTTTTAATCACTATCACCAGGCTACTGTTCACCATCTTTCTTTTGCATCACAATCTAAGCTGCATTTTTCACTCAAATGACCACAGATCTTTAATTTTGTGCCCAAGTCAGCACCACTACAAATTGATCGCCAAGTTGAGAGACATTTTCTGGGGCAGCCTTGTCAGTAAAGTCTGCGACCGTTTCTTAGCACTAGACTGGCGTTTCCCCAGCTCCCCTCTCTATATCGCTCCCTCTCTCTCTGTATCTCGCTGACAGGCTGCTCGCACTGGGCCAGATGACTAATCTAATGTAATCACATCAGCATAATTACACTGGGGAGGAGATAATGACAGACAGATGAGAGACTTGTGCGTGCGTTGGATATAGAAACACAGGAGAATTGTGTGTGTGTTTGTGTGTGCGCGCGCATGATGGACAGGGCTAAACCACTCCGTCATTAAGGCGCTATGAAGTCCTGCTCCATCCACTGTAATTACCCTCAAAGTGAGAAGGTTTAATATTCTTTGACACTGGCAACAGCCTTCAGATAGACATCTCATCTCTCGCTCTTTTGTCCGCGTGCGTTTTGGAGTGCTCCACAGTCCCAGTTCAGATTGTGATGAAGCCAAGTGCCTCTGGAGTGCCAACGCTCCAGGCCGAGTGCGCGTCGTCATGTCCTTGAGATTAAGGAGCAGCGCCACTTTTGAGAACTTGCTAATTTAGTGGCCCCAAAGTTGATGCATAAGTCATGTAAGTGCACATACACATGCTATGGTGGATAACAGGGCCAGTACAGTATGGATAAGTGTTTTAAATGCTTTAGCAGAACAAAAACATGTTTTATCATTAGTTAAAGGCGCAAAGCTACTGTATTTTCTTAATGTTGTAGGGTCTGCCAGCGGCTCCTCCATGGAGATATTACTACTTTTTAGTAATAGAATGTAGAATTCTAAGACCTCATGCTAAGATAAAGAAAGTACCGATAAAGCTCAAAATTAAACTAAAAATGTACGGGAAAGCTCAAATTTTTCTGTAAATTTTCCAATATCAGTGCCTACTCAAAGGAATATCTGGTTTTGATACAAATTTTAGTATCGATTAGTATCTGCTTTTTGATCTTTTTGACCACCCTACACCACACTCGCCCTGTTACTTGCCCCTGGGGTGTTACCATCTTGTTTTTATGGAGATAAGTTTAATGCTGTTCTTGTGAAAAATCCAACCAATGCAATAACATCTCTATAGAGACAATAATACAATAATTGTATAAGTTAAACAGAAGTTTTTACATTATACTAGTCTGATTCATCATAGTCACAATATTCTGTCCTTTCTCAGCTTTTTTTTTAAAAATTATTATTATTATTTTTTTTTACCATTTCAAAAGTTCACTGCACGGCTGGTCATCATTGGGCTCTTTCTTTTATATCTCCATTTTGTGCCTTCTGAGATTGAGGTTATTTGATGTGTAGATAAAACGGCCAAGCAGAGAGTGCCTACAGCAGGCTCCCAGCTATACGGACTTTGTATGTGGCTGGTTCTGTATAGTTGCTGCTCGTCGCCCGTGAGCCCATCCCTCATGTGAACCACTGCAGTTTATTTTCAACTCGGCCATTGGCATTGAACACCATCTGCCACTCCTGCTTTGGGAAATCAAAATGCAGGACTGTCCCACTGAATTATCTGTGTGTGGAATATCAACCAGTCATTGAAACTCTGAGTAACCTTCTATTCTGTCTGTAGTCTGGTTAGTGTGAGGTCAATGATTTTCTAATGCTGCAAGATAGTCGTTGCTAATATCCAGAGTGAGATTATTATGGATAGCAGTAGCAGTTGGTAGAGCGTTTGTCCACTGATCTGAAGGTTGGCAGTTCAAATCCCCCTCTAAACATAAAAACATCATTGGTTGAGCGGTCAGATCCACTGGCCCACAGGTTGGCAGTGCAATTCTAGCTCCCACAGATGCTGTTGTTGTGTCCTTGGGTAAGACACTTAACCCACCTTGCCCCTCGTGTCTGTGTACATTGGTGTGTGTGAATGGGTGTATGGTTCCTTGATGTAAAGCCCTTTGAATGCCCTGAAGATGGAAAAGCCCTATATAAAAATGTGACCATTTACCGTTTTATTAACTAGTACATCTCTTAGGTTGCATTTCCTCATCCATGAAAGTCAATTAATATTTTCTAGGTGAAGATCTTTGCTAACTATGTAGTTCTAGTTGTTAATATGTTACTTATATCTTTTCAGGTATACTATCCGGTACGCCACCATCTGGTCCAGCACATGATCAGTGCCATGCAGCGACTTGGATTCACTCCCAGTGTGACCATAGAGCAGAGGAAACTGGCTGTGGATCTAGCAGAGGTGATCATCAAGTGGGAACTGCAGAGGATCAAAGATCAACAGGTAAAGCATCAACTAATCAACCCCCAGTTATGACTTTGTTAATTATATCTAACTGAGTAAGCTAAAAAAAAATTAAACTATTGTTGTTTTTAATAAGAAGCTGCAAGGACTGTGAACTAATCTTTTTTCTTTTTTTTATTATAATGTTGGTTATTCTGTGTGCCAAACAGTATTTTCTTATCAACAGACTAATTGTTATGATTTTTAAGAATTATTAGTCTGGAAAAGTATGTGCCATCCAAACACCCCAAAATCTTCTTGGAACTTTGCTGGAGAACTGCAGAAGTTAGTTAGGGCTAAAAAGTCTCCAAAACTCCCACACAAAGTTAACTCTTTAACATAGATTTTATCAGAAGCGCCAATAGCAGATGGCACTGTAAATCTCTCCTTTTATGTGACAGCCGGAGACCGAGGCTGACACGGGTGCGGGCGGAGAGGGGACCAGCGGTGTCGGGGTGAAGAGGGCCCTTGACAGGGGACGCCGCGGCAACTGGACAAGACGTCAAAAGGTTCCGCACTGCCACTGGGGCTGCCTCCACGGTGAGCTCCATCAGCTGTCACTCAAAAAGCCGAGTGTGGTGCATAATGGTGTTCCACAAAAAGCCACATCACACATCATGCCTTCTCTGGTTAGAAAGTAGTGCTATTGTCAAAGTATGTGCCAGAGGTTCAGAAAAGAATGGTCCAATGAATAATATGAAGTAAAGAACTTTGTATTGGGGGTTGTGCAAACTCATCAAAAAAGAAGCAGTTCTTCCATCAATCAATATATATTTATAGAGCAAATTGCAACATACAGTCCCTGACAAAAGTCTTGTCGCTTATCCATTTTGTAGAAACAAAAGCTTATAACCTGACTTTAAATTAATCGATTGGTTTTAGAAATGTCTCATATGAAAGCTAAAACCCTGCCAAATTATGCTCAATATACTAAAATAAATTTGCTTCACTGAAGAAAGATTGATCATTTAATGAACACAGAAAGGTCAGATTTTGGCAAGACAAAAGTTTTGTCGCCTACAGAAAATTGAACAAATAATTTACTTCAAATACAAAAATATGTTGCATAACGTCAGTGAATTAAGTAGTGGTGCTGTGAGATCCATATTTAATATCTTGTATGACTTCCATGAGCTTGAAGGACTGCATCCATGCGGTTCGACAATGATTCATACAATTTGTTGATGAAGTCATCAGGAATAGCAAAGAAAGCAGTCTTACATGCCTCCCAGAGTTCATCAAGATTCTTTGGTTTCCTCTTTCATTCTACCCCAGACATGCTCAATGATGTTCATGTCTGGTGACTGGGCTGGCCAGTCCTGGAGCACCTTGATCTTCTTCGCCTTGAGAAACTTTGATGTAGAGATAGAAGTATGTGATGGAGCACCACCCTGCTGCAAAATTTGACCCCTTTTATGGTTGGGAATGTAAGAGGTAGCTGATACTTCTTGATATTTTAGGCTATTGATATTGCCTTCCACCCTGCAAATGTCTCGCACATCCCCATACTGGATGGAACCACAGACCATGATTTTTCTGCCACCAAACTTAACTGTTTTCTGGGTGAATCTTGGATCCATGTGGTCTCCAGTAGGTCTCCTGCAATATTTGCGGCGGCTGTGATGTAATTCAACCGAGGATTCATGTGAGAAATCCACCTTCTGCCACTTTTCCAGTGTCCATCCTTTTAGCAGGCTGTGGGCCTTGGCAAATGCCACACGGTTTTTTAATTGCCTTTTGTTTAGTGCTGGTTTCTGTGCACTGATTCGACCATGGAGGCCATTTCGAGACAGAATTCTACAAACTGTTGTGGTTGACACAGGGACTTGAGGTGACCAGGCCTGGGGGAGCTCTGTTGCAGTGGAAAAGGGGCTGGCCTTGGATTTTCGAATCAACAAACGGTCCTCCCGAGCAGTTGTCTTGCGGGGTCTGCCGGACCTGGGCTTGTCAAAAACATCTCCAGTCATTTCAGATCTTTTTCTTATTCTTTGTACTTGACGCTGAGACACATTGAAGGTGTCAGCCACCTCAGCAGTGGATCTGGTCTTCAGCCTCTTGATAATTAACACTTTGGTCTCAGGGTGGATCTTAGGCATGTTGTCAGAGGTCAAGTTGCAGTTGATGTGAAGGTCTGGTGTGCTGGGGTTCTTTTTATACACACCCACTAATTGACTTGATCAGTAACTGATCACAGGTGAGGCTGTAATCTAGGATTGGGTGCATCATATGACAAGGTGACAAAACTTTTGTCTTGCCAAAATCTGACCTTTCTGTGTTCATTAAATGATCAATCTTTCTTCAGTGAAGCAAATTTATTTTAGTATATTGAGCATAATTTGGCAGGGTTTTAGCTTTCATATGAGACATTTCTAAAACCAATCGATTAATTTAAAGTCAGGTTATAAGCTTTTGTTTCTACAAAATGGATAAGCGACAAGACTTTTGTCAGGGACTGTAGAGGCAACTAAATACGCTTAACAGTATGAGAATATCAAAAACACAGCAGATGATTTGTATATTTACACGTTTGTTTTTTCGGTGAAAAATTCATTGAAAAAGTTAGGATGTGTTACAGATGTGGTAGAAAGTAGTTTAATTTACTGCAGTCCACCTTTTTGCAATTGTCACAGTATATCCATAATATCTATTTGTATATTTTCATACTTCAGGTATTTGGTCGCAGTCAGTCCCTGCCTGGCACAGAGACCATGCTCACTAAACCTGTGGAAAAGCAACATACGGACACTGTGGTCAACTTCCTCATCAGGATTGCGTGCCAGGTAACAGTCATTATCACCCAGCTAATCCGTGCTTACACACATCAGCCCGCACACAGCTCTGCCATGCGTAGCGCCTGCCAGGTAGGACATCCCTGGCTCCTCGCTGAAGGTAGGACGCACCTGGTGGCTGTCCGGAACATATCACTGCACATGGCACGCTGCAGTCCCCTCTGTGTCTCCTCCACACATGTCTCCTGGTCCAGTGACAGGGCTAACCTTGGTCAGATGCCCCAAATAGACCAGGGAGGTTTAACTCACCTTGACTTTTCTGCTTATTTTTGGATGGGCTCCATTCTCACAGATCACCCAACCGTCCCTTCCCAATGAGCCAAGGGGATCAAACCAGGGAAATGTATCAGGAAAAATATCTAGGGAGTCTCTTATTTAAAATCTGTATTTCCCCCCCAAGCTTGTAACAATGTATGCCCATAGTTTCCAAATAGTTGGTTGCAAATAAATTGGATGACTTGCAGTTAGTGGTGAGCGATATGCCAAAAAATGTTTACATGATTTTCTTGGAATCACATCAGATTTTCAATTTGATTAAGTTTAATTTACACTTGTTAAGATATGCAAAAATGTCCAGCCCTACTTTCACTTTTGGATTCTCAAATATGAATTCTTGAGCCAGAGAACAAGACATTAGAAGTCATCCATGTTATTTGCCCTTCTCATCCACCCTCACTTGTGACACCTCTCCTCTCAGTGTCCATAAAGGGTACTTGACTCTGTACACCATAATGATATTAACCCTTCTCGCCCTGTCCAGGTGAATGACAGCACCAATGTGGCTGGGTCGCCGGGGGAGCTGCTGTCCCGCCGCTGTGTCAGCCTGATGAAGACTGCCCTCAGGCCCGACATGTGGCCCCGCGCCGAACTCAAGCTGCAGTGGTTTGACAAGCTGCTCATGACAGTGGTAAGATCCTGGCATATGCTCTCGGTAATGATTCCTCCATTCTCTGGCTGCATTGTTTGTTTTTCTCCATAATTATTTGTTCAGTATTTTTTTATTATGTGTAACAAACACTCAATTTAAAGTTATTATTAAATAGTCATGCAGACATGGATGGATATACATGTGGGGCAAAATGTAATATGAGAGTTTGCTAGAACTAAAATGTACAAATATTATGCTAAATTGATTGTTTTTTAGCATATATACAATAACTTGCTTTGTGCAGTAGTTTCATTAGTAGAAAGCACGCTGATTGTGTTGTGATAGTGCTCTGAAGGGGGAGTTAGTCAACATGGGAAGCAAAGGAAGGCAGGACTCACCAAAAACGAAAGTGAAACTTATAAAACCTCTTGATACGTTACTTTCGGGTAATATAGCATTTTCAAAATAATAAACGATAACATGATCATCTAAATATATTATGTGTCAGTAGATTTGGTAGTAATTTTCATCTTTCTTTTCCATCATCATGATTCTTTGCATAATCAAGCATAATTATTATGTGTTACCACAAAATACTACACAAAAATAATGCAAGTGAAACATCAATAAATGAGATGATCTAAGCACAATTGGAAGCTATAATTTTAAAGTAAGATTGCAACGAGTTTACTTACTTTACTATATTTTTATGTTGTTATTTTTGCTCCAACTTTACTCAGCCTGGATCTTACGATGTGCCTTTGTTTGAAAGAGTTTCCAGCCCTGCTTAAGCTCCGACTCAGTGTTTGCTCTTACGTGGCCGAGTCTTTTGTCTGTTATCGGAAATACATGAAGAGAGGCGCCAACTGCCATAATGACAAAATAATGACAGCGCTGCGATAACGCCGGTCTCTCTGCTCTGGCCCGTGCCTCCCTGCTCTGCCCCCACACCCCTCCATTCTGAACTCCTCATCCTTGGCTCCACTATCACCCCACTGCGCCTCCACATCTCCAACTGCCTCCTGCCTGCACTTCCGCCCCTCTCCCTCTCTCTCTCTTATCGCGGTCTCTTTTTCTTTTCTTTTTATCCGCTCTCACCCCCTCCTCGACCCTCCCCCGTCTCATCTCTCCGGTCTGAATCCGACGCCGCTGCGGAGACAAGGTTATCAGGGAGCGCTCGCAATTGTCACGTCCTTCCCTTGTTCTCTTTTGGGGATCGTTGCTTCTGCCCAAGCCTTCTCCCTCAGACATGTACGTGCACACCCCCAATCAACCTATGCAGATCTCGAGGGACTGCCTCGACTAGACTTTCCGTAGCTCTCGCGCCTATCCGAATATACAAGCAGCCTCACCCACCATCTCACTCAGGCTAATGAACAACGCTCCAAATCGGATTGAGTTTTATTATCTGGCGTGGCAGTGATTAGGAGCCAAGAGAGGCCGTGTCAAAGGGCCACAAAACATGTTGTAGGCATAGACACATCCATGGAGTTGACACGCTGCCATTGTGTTAATACCATACTGAATCAATATGACCTCATGTCTACCTTGGCCCTTATCACACAGAGTCACCTTGTTCATTAGGCAAGATTACTGGAACAAGTCTGGCCAAGATTATCCTCTTGGTCTTTCCATTGTCATAAACAGTAATTGCAATTGAGACAAAATTAGGGCCCCATGCACCTTTTTATTGATTTTTGGATTTACTGGTGATTTGATCAGCTTTATCTTTTCAATAGAAGCGTTTTTTTTGTGTGTGTGTGTGTGTGTGTGTAGATTGTGCGTGTGCATTTCTATATCCAAGATTTTATTTATTTTAGGGATGGTTGATATATTATTTATTTATTTATTTTAGGAATGGTTGATATATTCATCTAGGCAAATAACGAAATAACGATTACTTCCATATGTTTATCAATATTGTAAAATTTATGTTGTATTTGTTGTTACATTTATGAATTAATTTATAATACATTTTTTGAGAAAAACAACAAAATGACTAACAAAATATATTCTCGCTGATATTGTGTAATGTCTTGTTTTTATTATGGTAATTGCATAAACATACAGCCTTCGTTTTATTTCCATTAAAAATTGGCACAAAATATTGGTCATTTTTACAGATATTACATTTTATTAATTCTTCTCCAAGCTAGAAAAGACAACCATGCTGTGTTTTATGTCATTTTTGTCTTTAAAAGTAATTATCTAATTTCCATGATAGTTTAATCGGTAGTCTGTTATATTTCATCGAACAGACTTATTTCAAATGGTTTTCTCAAATATATCTTTCACTTTTGTGTGTAGGAACAGCCAGCCCAAGCCAATATTTCCAACATCTGCACTGGGCTGGAGATCCTGTGCTTCCTCCTGTCCGTGCTGCAGTCCCCCGCCATCTTGGCCCACTTCAAGCCTCTCCAGAGGGGCATCGCTGCGTGCATGACCTGTACCAATACTAAAGTGCTGCGGGCAGTCCACTCCCTCCTCTCTCGCCTCATGAGTATCTTCCCCACTGAGCCCAGTAAGTTTGGTGTTAATGGTGTGTCTGTGTTTATTTCTTACACCAATATGTCTGGTTCAGTCTCTGGGTGTGAATTTTTTTGTTGTTGTGTAATATATATAATTTAAAGTCTTATTTGTTGTACAGGCTCATCTACTGTAGCATCAAAGTATGAAGAACTGGAGTGCCTGTACGCTGCTGTGGGCAAAGTTATCTACGAGGGACTTACCAACTATGAAAAAGCCACAAGCAACACAAACCCCACACAACTTTTCGGTAAAATGTGCTCTATTTTTATCATGGGATTTCTCTTTTTTTTTTTCTCCACATTGGGCAATTAGCATATGTAGTTAAAAATCAAGCCAACAGGGTCTAGTGCTTGAGCTAACAGCTGGATGGTAAAAATGGCCAGAACCCAACGATTTGTGAAAGGATGTCTTTGGGAGTGTTTAACTTTACTTTATGCCCCTAAAATGTTATGGTTGTGTTCAAAATGAGCCCTATTTTCAATAACTGTGTGTCTTTGGAGAAACATTGTAAAGATAATAGAGTTGGATACAGCTCCCTGTTAAGCAGTTGTGGTCAGTAAAAAGCATTGGGTGCCCCTGTGTTAGAGGTCCTGCTGATGTTCTGCAACTGTCCGGCCAAAGCATGACATTTTAACATTTGCTCTCCCATGTGGACCCACTACAGGGAGAACCATTACTCATCCCTATCCGTTTCCTCGGTAACATTGTGAACCCTCTGTTTCCTGTAAAAGCTGCTCTTTAACACGCTGAGACTGTGTGTGTCCTCACTTTTGTCCTCTGTTCTGTGCCTCTATTTGAACAGGAACGCTTATGATTCTGAAGTCGGCCTGCAGTTACAATGCCAGCTACATCGACCGGCTCATCTCTGTGTTCATGCGCTCACTGCAGAAGATGGTACGGGAACACCTGAGCCCCCAGCAGGCCAATCCAGGGGTCACAGAGACCAGCACAGGTACAGGTCCAGGGGTACTGGCCAGTGTGCCAGGCATACACCATTATATTTGTTCTGTTCTTGTTTTAATAATCTGAGTAAAATAGAACTTTATATATTATATATTATATTATATTATAACATAACATATAGATACTGATATTTTTAAGCATATACTGTCATGGTGATGTGCCAATCGTATTTCTTTGTGCCAGTAAAATGCCTGGACAATGTCATATAATTTTTAGAAAAGGCAAAACTTGATAAAAATAATAAAAATCATATTTATTATACAGATGATTATAGATATTGCTTATTAGAGGCACTCTACCAGATTTTTAAGGTACAATGTTAAATGTAAAAATTGATTTATTTAATTGTTCAGCTGTATGCAATGATCCAAACGTTTTCCCATATTTGTTAACACTTTTCTAAATTCTGATTATTCTGATTATTACGATTTGTAAAGTTTATAAGGTCATTTCACAATTATCAGAGGTCAGGTTGGAGTTTTGCCATCACACCCCTAACAATATCTAGCATGCTAACAGCATTAATTACCTGGTTCTTGGCTGATAAAAACAGTTTATTATTATTACTGCACACAATAGTCTAATTTTGAGCTGTAGATATATTAATATATCTCTACTGGGACATGGCAGATTTTATTTTATCCCATGAAGAAAATGTCAAAACATAACATATGCACATACTTAAAATAATTTTCTTTCGATATTCCATATTATAGTATTGAAATGTATTGATGTTACTGCCAACTCCAGCTGAAGTTGACTTGCTGTGCTGCCTTGCCTAAGCTTTGTTTTATTCTGTCCCGGCAAACTCTTTGATTTATTGTAATGCTTACAACACACACTTGCTACATGATCTTCCTTTGATTCCTGATTACATTTGTGATATCTCTGCGATGCCAAGCTGCTTCAAAAGACTCAATCACATACTGTACTCAGGCCTTCATTCATGTTCACAAATGTTTCCAGTCTTGTGATAGATGCCCTCCTCTGATCGTCTGCTTTCACTGGGCGGGTGCTCTCTTCTAGTTCCAAGCTGAGAGATCAAGTTGTTTTGTTTCTCTTGTGAAAAACTCACAAAGATACACTGCCATCTATCTTCTATAATATGCTCCTACTAGCAAGCACAGTTATTTGTCATAGTGAAACACAAATAGTTTCTAACATTAGATTTTGATTGCTTCTTTCGCTCTTTCAGTGACAAGTGAGCTGGTTATGTTGAGCCTGGATCTGGTGAAGACTCGTCTCTCTGTGATGAGTATGGAAATGAGGAAGAACTTTATCCAGGTCATTCTAACCTCTCTCATCGAGAAGTCACCTGATCCTAAAATCCTCCGGGCTGTGGTCAAAATTGTTGAGGAGTGGGTGAAAAACAATTCGCCAATGGCTGCGAATCAGGTGAGATGAAGTTTTTTTATGTTAATCATGAGCTGTGTGTGTTAACATTTACAAAAATATTCTAAGCAACTGTATAAAACTGCACTATATAATTTTTATGGAAGGGCAGCCACATGCTTGTTTCCATGGAGATATGGCCTTCCAGGGAAGCTATCACCCTAGAGACAAGCATATATTTTAGAGAAATAATAACATTTGTAACTGAATAGATAGCCAGATATAAGTTTAATGCCAAACTGTGGAATGACCTCTCTTGGGTCAGACCCTCCTTCAGAATAGTTACACAGTGCACCTTTAAATAAACTAGACTTGTCAAATATTGTGCAAATGGTTTAACTTCTTTCTATTTACCAAATTACTCTCAGATGCCCAACCTGCGTGAGAAGTCCATCTTGCTGGTGAAGATGATGACCTACATAGAGAAGCGCTTCCCCGATGAGCTGGAGTTAAATGCTCAGTTCTTGGACCTCGTTAATTACGTCTACAGGTAATTACTCCCATTTATCACATGACCAAATGGCCGAACCGCGGATGCCATGCCGCCCTTGCTCCCACCCTAACGAGAAGGATGAAGGTTGAGGTGGGAAGAGATGTGGTAGGTTCAAGGAGCATTAGAATCTCTTTTGGATTTTAATTAATGGATTTTTTTTTTTTTGGCTTAGGGAAAAAATATGAATGTTAAATTGATGTATTATTTGTTTAAAGTGGGAATTTATCACTCCAAGTTATCTGTAGACAGGCATTGTAAATCAGAGGTCACAGTACAGCTGGAGGTAGTGGAGGGAGCGTGCCAGGCGGCTTTAGTGGTGTCAGGGCTCAGCTTACACCTGACAGAACCCCCAGTGGGCGCAGGGCAAAGGGCACAGACGCCTCCAATGCCCGCTATTCATCAAACGAAGCTCTTTGTCTTCCTGTCTCGCACACATACACATACAATCAGCCTAATGTACACTGCATCCCTCCGCCCCATCTGCTCTTCTCTTTTAATACAATACAGTAAAGCTGTGATAGACAGGCTGTAATGATAATGAAATGATAAAGCAGCTGTGCCTGGACAATGTGTCATTAAGAGAATTGGGCTAATGTTGGGCTGGAAGTACCGTTCCTTTGTTGTCCTCTCTCTGCCACCTCTCTCCTCTTTCCTCCTGTTACGTGAATCACACCCACGAGGGCCATTCATGCGGCTGGGTGGTGGAGAAAAGGATGGTTTAGCATATAATACATGGCTTTATTATCACAGCAGTCTCCACCTCTCACATTTTACAATACATTCTGTTATTCTGTGTCCCCTCATAACACATCAGTGGCATGGCTGTACCACACCATACTTTTCTCAAATTCTTAAGATGAGTGACTATGTAAGTAACTATAGTAGTAACTATTTTTTTTTACTGTAAAGCAGATCACTCATGTTTAGGATCTCTTCAACTAAGTAGATAGTGAATAACACTGAAAACAAGCCCACTAAATTTTATTTATTTTTTATTTCTTTAGGGATGAGAGTCTCTCAGGAAGTGACATCACATCCAAACTTGAGCCTGCCTTCCTCTCGGGACTGCGCTGCTCTCAGCCCATGATCAGGGCCAAGTTCTTTGAGGTCTTTGATGCGTCCATGAAGAGACGGGTCTATGAAAGACTACTGTACATCTGCTGCTCTCAGAACTGGGAGGCCATGGGCAGCCACTTCTGGATCAAACAGTGCATTGAGGTAAAGACTGAAGCTTTTTTTTTTTTTTTTTATCCACCATTATACAATTGAAAAAATCAAGTCAAAACAAAAATGTCTATTTTAGTCAGTTTGAGGTGGCCTCCTGTCAGCCCGTCAGTGTCACTCACAGTTTGTTTTGCATCTGTGTGACTTTGTTTGCTAGCTACTGTTGGCTGTGTGCGAGCGAAACACCATCATAGGCACCAGCTGTCAGGGATCAATGCTACCTTCTATCACGAATGTCATCAACCTGGCTGACAGCCATGACCGCGCCGCCTTTGCCATGGCAACACGCATCAAGCAGGAGCCACGTGAGCGAGAGAACAGCGAGACTAAGGAGGAGGTGAAGACGGATTTAACTTTCTGCTTTAATAACTGATACAGAAGAGGTATTTTTGACTGCACTATGTGATGAACTAATGTAATGTTATGATCTTATTTCAGGATGTAGAGATCGACATAGAGTTGGCACCAGGCGACCAGACGGCCATTCCAAAGACTAAGGAACAGGCCGAGAGAGACGCAGGCAACCAACTGCACATGCTCACCAACCGCCATGACAAGTTCCTCGACTCACTGCGTGAGGTGAAGGTACGGAAGTGAAAAACCTCAAGCTCAATAATTTATTTAATATCTCTCCTGTAGTTGCAGTTTAGCATTACCTGACACTTTACTTTATTGTAGACTGGGGCTCTGCTAAATGCTCTGGTCCAACTTTGCCACATCTCCACACCACTGGCTGAGAGGAGCTGGGTTCAACTCTTCCCTCGCCTCTGGAAGATCCTCTCTGACCGCCAGCAACATGTGAGTTTTACATAACGTCAGATATAGGAGCTAGTTGGCCTGAAATTCAGTATGGATTAAATGCTTGTATGCTTAGTCAGTCATTACATTTTTAATTGCTTTGATAAAGATTTTTTGTAAAAGTAGTGGTGTTGCAAGTAGATATTTGTGCAATATAATGAAAACAATTTGTATAACAGTTTACATGTAAAACAAAATACACTGGTAAGATTGCTTTTGTCTTAGAAAAAAATGTTATAAAGGTCAAAATTATTATGAAAAACACAATTTCCTTAGCATAATATTCTTTGTCTTTATGTGTTTATCTTATCTTCACATCTTATCAGTGACGTTGGTAGCACTGTAACTAAGACCCCTGGATACCTAATTTGTGCCAGCAAATATGCAATTTACACCTAATTAGACATTCATTTTTTTCCTCAATATGGAAATGAGAGGCAAACGCAGAAAAGCTGTGATGAGTGCAATGAACCAGATGCATATAGAGGATTTAGAGACCTTTTCAATGGTTTTGATTTGGAGCTGTTTGAAGCTGTGAAATGTCTGAAGTTCACTATTGAAAAACATTAAGAGTTGTGACTCTAATGTGACAGGCTCACAGGGCTGATTAAACTGACCATCAAATGTCAGTTTACAAGGCTGTCTGGCAGAGTGGCAAATTAGTTTCATTCTTCAACATGTTTTACATTTCTTTAGATTATTATTGAGTATGTGGCACAGTGGTTGAGGGAACGGCCTTGTTGTCAGAAACAGAGGGTTAGTTTTCTGTAACATGTTAGCAATCAGCGCTAAACTATAGGGTTAGCAGTATTTATGCAGAATAAGACAGGCAAATTTGTTTATGAGGGAAATTATGGTATTTTGCAGCCATTGTGATTTGCTAATTGTGTATTATGTTCAATTGCAACCCTAGTATATGCAAGAAGACACTCTAGTTTTTGTAGTTATTTAGATATACTTGCTTGTTTGCCTTCTTGTACCTAGGTTTTCAAACACTTGCCTGCACCATATTCATACTGTTTTTGTTGTCCAGGCGCTCTCGGGAGAGATGAGTCCGTTCCTGTGCAGTGGCAGTCACCAGGCTCAGAGGGACTGTCAGCCCAGTGCCCTCAACTGTTTTGTGGAGGCCATGTCTCAGTGCGTGCCCCCCATCCCTATCCGGCCCTGTGTGCTCAAATACCTGGGCAAGACTCACAACCTGTGGCTCCGCTCCACTCTGATGCTGGAGCAACAAGCCTTTGAGAAGGGCCTGAGCATTCACAGCAAGCCCAAACAGAGCACTGAGTTCTATGAGCAGGAGAGCATCACTCCTCCACAACAGGTAAGATAGTTTATGGAGAGAAAGACTGTTTTTTGTTATATTCTTCTATAAACTTACCTTTTAACTGTTTTGTGTCTCAAGGAGATTTTGGACTCCTTGGCAGAACTCTACTCCCTGCTTCAGGAGGAGGACATGTGGGCTGGTCTGTGGCAAAAAAGATGCAAGTTTCCTGAGACAGCCACTGCCATTGCCTATGAGCAACATGGCTTCTTTGAACAGGTAGGGTAGTAATAGTTTGTTGTTCATTATTAAGTTTTAAGCATTAACAACTCAGATTTCATCTCCTATTACATTTAAAAGCAATTGTTTATTTGATTATAAAATAATGTTTGAATAATTGTAGGATGTGTGATCCTTTCTAGCCTAATTTTCTTCTAAAAATATTTCTTTTAGGCCCAAGAAAGCTATGAAAAAGCAATGGAGAAGGCTAGAAAAGAGCACGAGAGGAGCAACGTGTCCCCTGCCATCTTCCCTGAGTACCAGCTCTGGGAGGACCACTGGATACGGTAATTTCTATCATAAAAAAGACAAAATTCTAATTTAATAACATACTGCATGCACAGTATACCACACACTGCTTTTAAAGTCATCCAAGCATTTTATCTCTCTGCTTTTTATGTTTAGCTGTTCTAAGGAATTGAACCAGTGGGAGCCATTGACAGAATATGGACAATCTAAAGGACACTCCAACCCTTATCTAGTGCTGGAGTGTGCCTGGAGAGTTTCCAATTGGACTGCCATGAAGGAAGCTCTGGTACAGGTGAGCAGTGCCCAGTCATCAGATATGGATGTACGGATGTCTGATCACCATTTACTCTTGAGGAAGCTATAACTCTTAATTGTAAAAAATATATAGGCACAAGTTCTCAGACTCTGTGGAGCCTGGCGAGGTAAAGGATGGACTATATATTAAATCGCGTGTTCCAGTACAGTGCTGTATATTAAGCCTTGGTCCCAAGTCATTATAAAGTATAGTAACTTGATATGGGCATTATATTCATAGTCTTCTGTGGTACTTCAACCAGGAGAATAAGACAAGGGACCATAAAACTGAGGAAATGCAGTTCAGCTGTTTGCTCTGTTAATTTATTGGCCTCATGTTTCTTAAAACAAAGTGTGGACGGGTGGGCGGCCTGTGATAGCACCTGACGTATAACAAATAACTCCTGCTTTGCTCTTTCAAGGAGACTTGGAACCAATCCATTGAGCCGTTGAGTCCTAAGGTGACACCTAATTAAATTGTCTGGACGGCCACACCACAAGTCCCTTTATCCCAGCTTCAGTCCTCCACTCCTCTAACCGACCATTTCTCTTCTTTTGTCGAATACTTCCACAACTTCAGAAAGACTTTACTTTGTTCGAACCACCATTGTCATTTTCATCAAGACAGCTTAATATTACACATTTGACTACTAGAAAAAGTTTAGTACTTAAAGCCCCATTGTGCAACCTTTTAAGTCAAAAAAAGACTGGAAAAAAAAGCATGTTTTTATTGTACTAAAAAAAGTACTGACCTAAAAACTGACTTTTATTTGGCCTGGAGGAGGGCCTCCACCTGCTTTTTTCATGGAAATATAATTCCTTTGGATATAATTTGACATATATATGACATATAATCTATTCGCCTCAACAGAGAATGTTCCAGATTGTTATATTTTTTATGTCCACGGAACGTGATGTGCCACCTCCCAAATGTTACAGTACTGCTTTAAGTTTTCCTGTTAACTCAGTTTTGACTATTAAGGTGAAATGGTGCTGATTCCAACTCAGTTTTGGGGGAAATCTTCCCCAATTCTGGTCATTCTTAAAAATTTGCTCTTAAAAAATGTAATCATACCTTTTCTTGCCCTTAAACTTTTTCATAATGTGCATAATTCCGTCAGATTTTCTCAATAGTGTGTAGTACCCCCTCTCCTACCCTGGCCCCCACATTTCCAGTTTTAGCCACTAATATTTACGACAGCTGCGCGCGTGAGTAATTACCAGGCATCTGCTGCAGGGTGATTTGTTTTATGGTGAGGAGAAGAGCGAGGCTTTTTGTTTGCCCGAATGCACGCCGCCTGCCCCCTCCCCATACACATACACACATACACACACACACACACACAGTCCCAGTCTTGTGCCGAAGTCCAAATGTCCCCCGCTTTCAATTAAAGCTGCCTCTTGATAAGGGCGGTTCTGTCTTGGGGATATTCATCAAGTGTCAGGTCTGATAAATGTGCTCTGACCGATCACTGTAATTTTCTTCAACATCGGGCAGCACAAATACACACCTGTGCGTTTGCTCTCACATGCTATTTTCATTCTCATTTCTTTCTCCCTTTTCCATAACTGTATGAAACAAACAAGAGAAAAGTTACAGCAATTTTAACACCTCATTTAGTTAATTTGGAGTATAAAGTGATCTTTCTGTACTTTTCTGGTTAAGGGTTTTTGTCCATTCACTTTTGCATTTGATTGTCCTAATGATGAAAGTCAGATTGTTTTTAAGCAGTCTTTTGGAATTTTATTATAAACATACTCAAAATTTAAGAGCGACAGTCTCACAAATGTTTATTCCTTTTCCTCAATATCTCCTTGAGCTCCTTATATTTGAAAAAACATTAGTTTTTACCTTGTTCTTAAATAATTTCAGATTATTTTTTTTTGGATTAAGATCTGCTGTATTATGTGTGTACTGTATGTTTTGTGAGTGGGCAGCACGTGGTGATATGACTGCTCCCCAGGCTATTGTTTGTGTGGTGTTAATGCACTCTGAGTTTTAATCAATAGCTGGGCCTTTTCCACTTTCCGCTTCTGTGTCAGACTCGTCAGCCTGATTAGTCATTAGCACAAAAGTCCTGTTGAAGCCATTCACAAAATGAGCAGGGAAAGCATTCTGCACTGTATTTATCTGGGTACTAAATTATGCACAGTGTCATAGTCTTTCTCCCCTTGGATGTTTTAATTTAATTAGAACAGCACCACCCAAGATGATAATAAAGAGTATTTGTTGTTGTGCTGGGCATTTGATCATCTAAGACAAACACTGTACAATAAAATTAGATACAGGGAGGATTGGGCAAACTAAAATTGAACATCACAAAACACATTTTCTCATCATAAATTAATCACAACATTGAGGATATTGATGAAGCAGGGGTGCACCTCTTTTTCTCCTAAATTTGTAAATTTTTAAACTTTTTTCCCACAGATAGTATTCTGTAAAAGCCTCACTTTGTGACAGTCAAACTGTTGTAGTACACTATTTGCATCTAATACTGATAGGGTATATAATCTTTGGTAAACCCTTAAGTGTCATAAGCTATACACTGGTTGCGTAGTCCACCCCAGGAACTAGTTTTAAAAACATACGTCCTTGTTTAAAATTGAGGTACCCCAGGTTTAAAAGGTGAATTTGGTCTGCAAAAAATGTGTAACTAAGTAAATTCCCTCATTGTCTGACTTCTAACTGATTTCCTTATTGTGTTTCAGGTGGAGCTGAGCTGTCCCAAAGAGATGGCCTGGAAGGTGAACATGCACCGTGGGTACCTGGCCATCTGTCACCCAGAGGAGCAGCAGCTCAATTACATCGAGCGCCTGGTGGAAATGGCTTCTAGCCTGGCCATCCGCGAGTGGAGAAGACTACCTCACATCGTGTCACACGTGCACACCCCCCTGCTGCAGGTGAGTTCGCATTAGGCCTGAAATTAACCCTTCCAAAACAACAATTTTGTTTTTGGCAATACTTTTCTGACTGAAATCATTACTAAAATCTGATAGAATATAGCTTCTTACAGTGCATTTTAAATTCTTGTAAGCATTTTATAGAAGTCCCTAGGGGTAGGTGATGTGTCAAATTGATATATACACACACACACACTTTTTTTTTTTTTGGTCCACCCCTTCAAGTCCTTGCAATTTACATACAGTTCAATAAAGCTTGTTTATAACTATACAAGAGAATACCAGTTTACAGTGCAACTAGCCTTTCTGTGATAAACTCTGTATTGTGATATCCATGTCAAAAGATCATCAACCACCCAGGGACACTGCCTTGTTGAGTCCTCTAGATAACTGCCTTTATCTCCTCTCCCTCCGAAACCCATTTTGTAAAATTTAGATAGATTATAAAAAAGAAAAATCTAAAATATTTTAAGCCTCTTTGGTTCCACAATGAGAGATTACATTGGACTGGGACAATGATTAAAAGTGCATAAAAAAGAAGACAGGTGATGGGAATTAAAAAGGTGATGAGTTAACACAATGGGGAAGAGTACAAGGGGAGACGAAGAGGAGAAGAAGAGAATACGGAGTTAGTTTAGAAAGGCTGTAATTACTTTGCCGCCATCAGATACCATTTGATTAAATACCTGGCGCCGAATTACATTTACATGATGAATGGGACTCTCTGAATGAAGGTTAGAAATGGGCTATCAGCTGATATGAACAGATAATTGTGAAAAATATTGCATTGTCTAATTTATTTTGTTTCGGGTGTCTTCCATATACTGAGCATTTGCCACATTTATCTTTCCATTTAAATTGTGTTCCCTTATTTTCGTGTTTCGCTCTTACATATGTGCTGTCCAATTATTTACCCTAGTTGAGGGAAAACAAGCTATTTATTCCTCTGTCTAGCCAAGCGCCCAGTTGTAAATCTCTATTCCAGACTTTATAACTGCCATTCACAACTCCATAAGCCAAAGTGAATGGGAATTTTTGCCAGTACAGTAAGGTTTAGATACACTTGAAAAAAAAATTCTAGTTATTATAAGGTCCTAGCTCCCAAGTCTCCAAATGACTATCTATGGATTATCAGCCCCAGTATTGATCAGTGGGGCGGAGATTAATATTGATTGATGGGCAGTCATAATGGAATGATTGATTCTATGTGCGCAGAAAGGCTTTAGAACAATCGATAAGTCGTCTTTTCGCACAATGAGACTGAGCCCTCACTTATCAATTTCAAATTTTCACCTCGTTCCTGGGACATTTATAGTGACAGATCTAGGGTGGATTTTGATTACCTATAGAAGCAGTCTTGAAAGACTTGATAGATTTTTGAGCTAATATTTGGATGGGCCTAAAATAAAAAGCTTTTCCACAGCATTTGCAGTTCAAAATCATTTAGATTAGTCACATGTGTAGCAAGTTTGGATAAAAAGAAAGGGCAGAAAATGCATGCAAAAAAGAAGAAAATTACTTAACATTACGGAAAATATCGATCAGATTAAGAATACTTTGAAAATTATTTGATTGTTTGGACGCTCAAGGGTGTTCATTTTACTATTCTGCGCATTATCATTCTCTCTACATCTGGTGATGGTAAAGGTCTACTGGAATAAGGTACTAGAAAGCTTTTTTTTGAACCTTCATGTCAGAGTAGTCCTGGTATACTGTTCTTTTGAGCTACATTTCTTTGGGCACTTTGATCTATATAATCTGTGGAGATTGTCAGCTTTTTAGGATACTGAGTTTAAACCTGAAGTCACTGACCTGCAGATTCTGTTTTTCTGTCTTCAACCCATCTGCAACTGCACCTTTCTTTTTCATTGACACACTCTCTCTTTGTTCTGTTTCAACAGAGGTGACAATTCCTAAACCTTTCTGCTGTGATCTTATGGTTACTGTTCTACTTAATTTCAATTGATCTTATGCAGTATTGAACTGTCTTAAAATTCCGAGGCCAGTGAAAGTTGGAATCATTTTAACTGGTATAATACAAAACAGATTTGGCACATGACATACCTTTTGTTGTTATTTTCTAACAAAACTCTAGCAAGATTAAGTGCAGCTGCCGTACCATGTCTGGACCAAGATTTTGAAGCGGGCTGCCAGCCATTCCAAACAATTCCAAAAAAAACCCCACAATTCTAACTGTAAACACAAATGCTGCTTTTGGCTATGCGAGATTGGCTAATATTGTCTTTGGATACTAAATCTTGTGTGAGGATGATGAATTATTGCCAGTCTACGTTTGGCAGTGGCTTCCTTCCAACAACCACTGTGAACCAACCTGTTTCAACCCCAAAGTGGCAAATTACAAAATATTTTAAAAAGTTAATTCAATCCAGAAATGCTAAGAGAATATTTGCATTTGTAATTCCCTCTAGGCTGCACAACAAATCATTGAGCTCCAGGAAGCTGCCCAAATCAATGCCGGACTTCAGCCAGCCAACTTGGGCCGCAACACCAGCCTCCACGACATGAAAACTGTGGTGAAAACCTGGAGGAACCGCCTGCCCATAGTGTCTGATGACCTGTCCCACTGGAGCAGTATCTTCATGTGGCGCCAGCATCACTACCAAGGTAATGCTTCCCACGCCCCTACTGCACCTGAAGCACCTTTGGACGTTGTATTGTGGTTGTATTGTATCGGGGTCAAAAGTCTCAAATTATATTCTACTAAACTGGATACTCATTTGAGGAGGTATACTAAAAAAGTCAGTCACAAGCCAGAAATTAACCTTTCAAGAATAGCTTTAGAACAATCTTGAGCTGTCAGAACAAGTATAAGACCATATAGACTAGTATACATCCATTGACCACTATGGAACATACCTTGACTGAGTGATTACACAGATAAAATAAAGCTTTGTAATAATATAAAAGAAAGTATTATTATTATTATTTAATGCTGAAAATCACATTCTATAGTCTACATAAAGCATGTTTTTTATTATCATTGCTGAGTAGGTATGGAGTCTATTCTAGGCCATGATAATCACGATTATTACTATATCGACTTATCATTCAATATGAGAGAGCTGGAACAATATTATTTAGTGCTCAAAATGTTTTGTAGTTTGTCTTAATATGATGAGATTTGAGCTTGAGAGAGTTAAAAAAAAATCTTCTGTGGCTAATTATTGCTTCAGTCTTCTATTTATTTGCCTTTTAATGATACTGTCAAGGAATATCTTACATTATTGTTTTGTCAGTGACATATGGTAGTTTCAATATAATTGTTTATCACAGTATATAGCAATATATCATGCTTCAAAATTTGTTATCATGGCAGGCAGGCCTAGTCTATTCCTTAGTATCGTAATCAAGTTTGAGATTTTAGTACCGTGACAACACTACTTTGTATCGACTTTTTCATGGGCTTTTGACATGGCAGTTGTACAATGCCCTGTCATATAGCATTGTCATAGCATCTCGCGCTCAGTGGCGCTAGTTCCAGGAAGACATCTTGTTTTCAAAGGCCAGAACACCCACCGGGTCTCTGCATTTTCAAATGTCAACTCTATCTCCCTGTAGAATAAGCCACACATATTCACACACACGAACAAACTTTTTCTCTTTTTACCTTGGTTCTCTATTCTTTCCCACTGTGACTTTGAAGCTATTCCGAATGACCAGCATTGCAAAATGTGTTGTTTTGAGTTCGTAGCACATGCTGTGAACCCCAGATATAATGATAGCTGGATAAAGTTGAGTTCATTCGTACATGGCAGCCCTTCAAACTTAAAGTGAAGTTTTCTTGATGGAAATTATTGCCATGGTCCATTTACTGTTCAATACCTGCTGCCCTCCCCTGTGTTTAATGGCAGGGCTGTCACAGAGGTAGAGGATTGACAAATTAATCTCGTTATGCTCTATTTGTCAGATTGAGTCATTTTTGTCTCCCCTTTCTCTACAGCGATCGTGACAGCATATGAAACCAACACACAGCATGATCCCAATAACAACAATGCAATGCTGGGAGTACATGCGTCAGCCTCTGCCATCATTCAGTATGGCAAAATTGGACGTAAACAGGTACAGAGATCAGTTTGCATTCTCATTGTAAATCAATCTAATTAATTGTTACTGGCTATACTTAATTTATATACTTTTTATTTTAAAAACAGGGGTTGGTGAATGTAGCGCTGGACATCCTCAGCCGTATTCACACCATCCCTACAGTGCCCATTGTGGACTGCTTCCAGAAGATCAGACAGCAAGTCAAATGTTACTTGCAGCTAGCGGGTGTCATGGGAAAGAATGAATGTATGCAGGTAAGGCCATGGAGGGTATATTGTTAATGCCATTGTTGATTTGTCTATTGTCTAATTGACTATCTGTTGTGTAATTGTCCGTAACTGCTACTAAAACAGTTCAATTTAAAGCCTGGACCATAGAGTTATAATACTATATTGAAGGTTGATTCAGTGTTTTCTGAACTTTTCACACCAAGTAGAGCAGAGTACATCCCAATATTTGGTCTTTCATGTGCCACCAGATCTAAACTAAACCCAAAAGAGGACAAAAAATACTAATGTTAAATTCAGCAAATATTTGAACAGGAGAGGGACCACCTCTCTAGGTACAGGTGGTACAGTGGTACAGATACCACAGTTTGAAAACCACTGGCATTCTGTCCTCTTGGTGGTTCTTTCTTCTAGAAATTATACATGTTCATAAACTTTCTGTGGCACTCCCTAGATGCAAAATCAATACAAAAAGGGTGACTGGTTGACCATGATTGTTAAAACCTAACCACAAACAGTGTCATAGTAATTAAAATATGCTTACTTAACATGAATACAATTGACCAAGGAAAGTACTGAAAGTGTCCAAAGTGGCTTTAGGAGATAGCAGTAAGACTTAGTGAGCAGTGTAACTCTGGAGTTGCTCCTTAAGCCTATGAAGTGTTCTGATTAATAGAAGTGGTTCAACACACCACAAGTCATTAAAAGTGCCAGTAGACACTCCTCTCTCTCCCTCTCTCTTTCCCTCTCTCACTTTCTCGCACTTTCTCACCTCTATCTCATCTCCTCTGGCTCTCTCTGCCCCCCCCCAGCCCTCCCTTCCACATACTCACCCCTCCTCACACCCTCTTCTCCTTTCCTCACCCCTCCTCTCCCTCTGCACATCGTTTGTCACAGCCGCACATGGGGGACACCTAATCAGAGCCTCACCATAATGGAAGTCTAGTTCCCTTAACGCCTCTTTTTCTTATTTCTTAATGAACACCGCGCCATTTGTTTGTTTTTCACCTGTGATTATTGCCCTGTCTCAAAACAAAATGTCTCCCAAATTATTTTCAAAGTTTATTTGTTAGTAATTAAGTTCAAAATTGACTGTTGCCTTTGTAGGGGCTGGAAGTGATTGAGTCGACTAATTTGAAGTATTTCACCAAAGAGATGACAGCTGAGTTCTACGCACTCAAGGGCATGTTTCTAGCTCAGATCAACAAGTAAGTCTTTGCACAGCAATTTGTTAACACAATGTCACCATTTAACTTATTATTTATAAAAACATTTTTGACAAAGTTTGTCCCATTTCTTTTCATTATCACTTTGTCTTTTATGCACGTGGGTGTATTGTTTTGTCAGGATATTGCATTTAAAATCTTGCCACTAGCACTAGCAGAGGTTCCACAGAGATTTTGTTGACATGTCTTTAGAAGTGCATACTCTTGTAGAGTATGTCAACAGTTTGTTAGGCATTTGACTGCAGGGGTTGCCCATAGAGCAGATAGCTTTAACCTCACAGCTTGACTAGGCTGTGCACATCCACTCTGTCCCCGTCTCGTCATATCCAACATGACAACGTGTCCTCAGGGTGGGAAGACGAATAGCGGGTGCCTTATTAAATGTATATGCAGCTCAATTATTAACTCCAGGCAATTTGCAGGGAATCTCCCGGATCAGCAGAAGTTGCCTCCACCTCGGCAAGCTTTTTATTGCTGTCATTAAAGTTCTCCTGTATGTCGGGGGGAGAATTAACAGCAGAGCAGGGGGCCAGAGAGGGGCCTATAACTGCACGAGCTTGTGCTGGGGATTTTTGGGATCATTCAATTAAACGTCTGTCGAAGGTTTTGACAGTCTACCGGGTCCCGCCGTCGCTACTGCTCCTGTCGGCCTGACTGGTAGCAAAAGTAACCGAGGCAACCCTGTTGAGTATTACTGAGGGGTCCATGCCTCTTGCTCCCATAGCAATCAAGCTCCCATTTCTTCATCACATGCCAAAATGCCTTTTATAATAGCACATTTTAATTGATTGGCTTGGTATGGGAGAGCAGTCTTGGCAAAGCTCCTAAGAAGGAAGTATATAAAAGCCCCTAGTATGTTTTTTCACTGACACAACTGTCTTTTTGTTTTGCATATGAGGTGAACATTTCAGGGTGCCTCTCATAGTGTATCTTATTTTCTGTTCAAAAAAATAAAAAATCTTCATGTGAAAATAGCTGATGGTTCAGAATTTCTTGCTTTGTCAGCGTAAATGAGGCGAAGAAACCAGTGTCTCCTGCCACCACTTACCTGTCTATTTCCTCCCGCTATGTTACAATTTCTAAATCCGAAAGTGTAAGAATTGCTTTGCCGGGGTTAGAAAATATCCCAAAGATTTTCAAGTTTATCCCCTCCAAGGTTTCTTTAAGCTCCTGCAGTGCTCTTCACGCTCAGAGTATTTGTGTACAGATAAATATAGCTATTCCCAATTTTTTTAACCTTGCTGTGGTGCTGTCAGTTCAGATGAAATGGCGAGATGTTAAGCTCATACACTATGTCAGATGGTATTAAATGAATTGATCTGCGCACTATGATAGGGCGGGTTCAAATCATATTACTTTACAACAAAATGGCTGATCCCTGGGTGACATTTATTCATAGTGGATTAAATGCTTTCTCCAGGGCCTTGAACACCAATGTAATGAAATATGGTGCTTATCGATGTGTAGTGCATAATTCACAAAATTATCATCATCATCTGTTTCTTGCGCTCGTAATCCCTCTTCTCTCCATTGCCCTCTACTGTAATGTCTCCCCCTATTATATCATCTAGTCTCACATCTATTATTGTGGCTACAGGTCAGAGGAGGCAAACAAGGCTTTCTCCGCCGCTGTGCAGATGCATGACGTCCTGGTGAAGGCTTGGGCCATGTGGGGGGATTACCTGGAGAACATTTTTGTCAAAGATCGGCAGCTCCACCTGGGCGTGTCTGCCATCACCTGTTACCTCCACGCCTGTCGACACCAGAATGAGAGCAAGTCACGCAAATACTTGGCCAAGGTGAGGTTAAGATTAAAGGGTTAATTATGGTGTGTGTGTTTTGGCAAAACTTTAATTGGTCCAATAAAACTATATCATCATAACGATACTAATCTGAGTCTTACATCACATCATCAAATATATGACATAATATATGGTTCATGGAAAATGATGGTTTAGGCTTCAATTAATCTTTTTAAATCTTTTAATTGTCTTTATTTTTTTTTTTAAAAAGGCTGTCCAATTTCACATAATCACTGGATTAAGAAAATGTATCTTTTATCTAGATGAATAATTGCATTAAACAATACTACAATTACCATCATTTTAAAATCCGTGCCAAGGTATGACATGACATCTGGGCACTCCAACCACACATGATCATTAAAAAAAACAAATTATTGTAAAGGTATTTATTTGTCACTCACCCAACCCAAGATCAATTGTTTTAATTGTTATTTTACCATTTACATGACGGTTGTGTAATACTGTGTCCTAAGAGGCAGTAAAGTATCGAAAAGCCACCTTCTCACCATCAGACAATAAACCTGTATTTTTGGTACAATCCACTAGCTCCTTCTTAGAGGAAACCTCTTCCTCCCAAGGTCACTGTTGATTCTTCAGTGCCTTGCCCCCATTCACTTCATACATTATTGGTGCTGAGGAGAAGGGAAGGCCATCTTTTCTCCCTCTCCCTGTCTGCTGGGTCCAAACACACAGTTGTAATTTGATCGATTACTGTGCGGCGGTGGTCTGTGGACGGATTCCCACGCCAGATCAATGGTGGAGTGAAGGCTATCCACTGGCAGTGAGGTTAACAGACTAATGGCTTCCCTTGACGCTGCTATCTCACGACCCTTCGCGTGCCCTGACCTTTCTGCTGCAGTCACTGTGATGCAACCATACCTCCCATTTCAGTAAGACTGCTGGGGGTAAAGGAGTGCTGTGTCCTAACAAGCACTCCACCATTTTACAGAGACACTTCTATTAATAGGATTTTCATCTGTGGCCTTGAGAGCATCTGAAAAGCCAGCACCAGTGTTTTATAATTGAAGATCAGTATTCACCAGAGCTACTGTTCTATTCTATCTGTTCTATTTCAGTTCACGGTCCTCGGCCCCTTTCCTAACAGTAGGACAGGCAACAGTGCTGTGTTTTATTTAAGCATATATTGACTAATACTAATGCACTGCAAATCCATGTTTAAAGCTCTTAGAATTCACACTTTATAGTTGGTGTTAAAGGCGCATTGTGTAACTTTTCTGGTAGAGCGTCCATGAAATGCTTTTATTGCTTTGTCTGGAATGTTTCACAGTATGGTATTAAATCTTTCTATCTTCATGGAGACCAAATCTGACCAAGTTACATGTCAGATCCATGGAGAGGCAACTTGACTCATTCAGCATACCTCTTTTTCTAGGTATATTTGAGCACTAAATCCACCTGTAATTGAGCAGATGTAAGGTAGAGTTTTTACTGTCATGCTGTGGAACATTACAGGCAAAGCCTGTAAGACCAATCCATAGAAACAAGCAGGTGATGAATGCCCAACCAAAAGTTACATAGTTCACCTTTAAATTGGTCTTCACTTATTTTAAATACAGAGTCGTTTTCTGAAGTGATTGTTATGTTAATTTGCTAGTAGATTATTTTTTTAAATTACATGTTTCCAGTACAGGTCACAACTGCTTCATGCCAATGTTCTAATAATACAAAGTGTTTGGAATACAATTGAATGGGTGCTAAAATGTTTGTACATTGTTTTTCTTGTAGCTACTGAGTGATATAGAATATAGGATCATATAATAAATTATACAGGTGTTGACATGAGCCATAGTCTGTTCTAATATCCACTGTTACTGGTACTACATCCCAATTAGATGTTTTGGTGTACCATGTTTCACTGTGCTGCCAAGCTGGTTTGGCACAGCAGTATCCTGATGGATGAAATGAGATGACCAGTCATTATCAGTAATTATACACAATCTGTGTAGCCTGGTTTGGCCCACTGCTAGAAACCTGTGGTGTTGAATTGGGTTAATGTCTTCTTCATAATGGAGAGACACAGATAAGAGGAACCTTCCTGCTAAGATTGCCAAGATGCGCCTTGTTTTATATTTAATCTTTCTTAAAATCATTGTAGTATATGTGTATTCTCTATTTTTTTTTTTTGGTCTAACCATTCTTTTTGCACTCCACAGGTGTTATGGCTATTAAGCTTCGATGACAAGAACACCCTGGCAGATGCTGTGGATAAATACTGCATTGGAGTACCGCCCATTCAGTGGCTGGCCTGGATCCCACAGCTCCTCACCTGTTTAGTGGGTTCAGAAGGCAAACCTCTACTCAATCTGATCAGTCAGGTATGGTTATTAAAACTTTTTGTGTCCAATTTTATCCCACAGCTCCTCACCTGTTTAGTGGGTTCAGAAGACAAACCTCTGCTCAATCTGATCAGTCAGGTATGGTTATTAAAACTTTTTGTGTCCAATTTTATACTCTATAAGTCTAATTGCATTAACCACTCATATTTTATTAGACTATAATTTCAGTAAAGCGCACCTGTCTGGCATGCGTCGCTAATCAGCATAAATGAATAGCCTTCTTCCTGCCTTCTATTTACCAAATGAAACACACTGATTCTTCCCTGTCCCCTTTCCAGCTCTTTATTGGCATTTTCACAAGTCTCAGCCGAATTGGTTTTTAAATTATTTGTTCAAGAAATGATTATAAAGTTAATATTGTATGCATCCGCACTGCAGGAACCAAGCTAGTAATTAAACCAAGGACTAATTTGCTTTGCCTAATGGAGTATTATTTCCACACAATTTGAAGAGGGTGATCTTCAAAGAGTAGTCTGCTGTGACAAACCGCCTTCCTCTCTGTAAAGACCACTATTGTACTGAGGCTGTGCAGAGCTGGATAAAGGAGAGAGTGGAACTCTTTTAACATAAGGAGGCAATACAAGGAAAGAATACAGTACCTCATACAGAAATGACTTGAGGCACCACTACCCAATGTTATTAAATTAAAAACAGACATCGCATTCCATGTGAGCAATAATATTATTTGGCATATTACATAATCAAATTAAAGACATTTTAAGATGACATTAAAGGTGCACTGTAACTTTTCTGAGATCTTAAAGCTTTGCATGGAATGTTGCACAATATGGCTTTAAACCAATCTAGCATTTATTCAATTATGAGTGTTTTAATTGCAAAATTACAAAATTATTACCCTGAGCAGGCTCGCTTCTTCACAGATATGACCTAAAACTTGTCCTGGTGGTGTTAACTGCTTGCCTTCAAGGAGATGGACAAGTTATATTGCTTCCCACCAAAGCAATAACATTTCCAGGGAGACAAACAGGCTGACTGACCCTCCACTGGAAGAGTTACATAGTGCATCTTTTTAAAAGACACAAAAAGGAAAAAAATTATATATGTTCTATGTACACAAGCACTAAAATATAGAACAACAGTTCTATATCTGTTTAAATTTGATGACACAGTTAGTTAAGAAAAACAACATTTTAATAATCAACTTACGCATACGAAAAGGTGAGACAGAGTCAGATTTTATAGACAGACCACCTTGAGCAGTTTTGTGGTTTATCTACCCTTATCTCCCTGTATATTTCTAATTGGAACATGCTTGCATTTCTAAATATGAACCTAACATAGAAGCCAGCAATGAAACTAAACTAAGTGACATTTTCAGGCCATCCATCTTCTCCCCTTCATTTTTGTGCTAATTAAGCCATACTTGTTTCACAGCACTTGCGCGCACTTGCTTAGCTGTGCGGCTTGTATTAATGTACCCCAAAAAGCAGCCAGGATATTTGGAATCACTTTGTACTTCTTGCACTAATATTTCCAAATCCACTACTTCTTTTAAAATGGAGTCTTTTTATTCCATACCAACCCTTTTTACGTAAAGGGTAGAGCCACATTTCGATGCATGGCAGGGTTCTTCTCCTTTTCTGGCCTTGAATTATTTAGTGCTTCTCTGTGGCGGCGGGATGTTTAAAAAACGTACACTGAAATATTGATGAAGGTGCACAGAAGAGCGCCTGGGGAACGACGGCAAGATGAATCAGAAGTTAACACACAATCTTCTCCACCTCCATGTTGACGTTCGGACACCTCTCTCCTCTCTCCTTGTCTAGCACTTGCCCTGTCCCTCTGCTCTCTCCCTCTCTCTCTCTCTCTCTCCCTCTCTCTATCGCGTTTTATATCTCTCTGTCTCGTTCTCTGAAGACACTTCTCGTCTTCCCATTACCATGTTGATCTGTGGTGAATCCTCACTTCCTTTTATTCCTCTTTCATCTTTAATGTAGCTTTTAGTTTTCACTTAAGATTCCAATTTCCAGTTCCCCCTGAATCCAGTGACTTTCTATTGCATAAGGCTTTTTAAATATACAAGCTATTCAATAAAGGATTGGTTTATTTTGGGTCAATTTTAATTTGAAAGATTTTTGTCATCTATTGATACAACTTTTGTACAGTATCAGATTCATCCTTTTATCAGAGTCTGTGGACTTTTTGGGTAACTTCAAATCTGACTTCAACTGTTAAGCCCCCCCCCCCCCGTGATCCCTGTGACTTCTGGTGAAAAGTCTTGAGGGCACTTTCATCATCAGTCACATTCAGTAAAGTAATTCAGCCATGACATGTTTTAAACTCACCTCAGTCCCTGGACTCAAAGCTTCAAACATGGAGTCTGTTTGAACCCTGGTCTTTGGCTGTATCACAGGAATCTCTCTCACTTTCTGTCTCTGTCTCTTTCTCTCCACCTTTCTCTCCGTCTCTTGCCTCTCCTCTCTCCCTTTTGCACTCCTGAGGGGAAGTCTTTGAAATGTAATCGGTGACCCTCTTTTATCTGCTAGGTGGGACGAGTGTACCCCCAGGCGGTGTACTTCCCCATACGCACTCTGTACCTGACACTGAAGATCGAGCAGAGGGAGCGCTACAAAAGTGGTGAGTAAATATGAGGGCACGGATGGGTTGATTCTTGACCACTCTCTAAAATAACAAATCTTTTCTTTGCTCTTTAAGGGTTGAAATGTTTAAAACCAACTAAACTAGAATCCATGTACTTTCTTTTATTTTCCCCAGAACACATAAACTGCTGGTGCCAACAGACATCAGTGATTTAGGGCCTATTTTGTATGTGTTTTACCTCTACAATATGGTTTATATTTTAGTATTGTGGTGTATTTAACCTTGGTGCTGAAAAAGTTAGCCTAGTTTAATTTTTGTAAATGGAGAATGTCTTGCTGGATGTGAGAATTATTTAAAACAAAAAGCTTCAATATTTGATTCATTGTGCAGTTGGGATTTGGGGAACTTTTGTGCACATTACTCCCTCTACACTCAATTAGTTTGATTTTCGTGAATATCCATCTATTCGAAGCTACTTTAAATATATTCCAATTTAAATGTATTCAGTGCATATTTATGTGAAGCATTCAAAGTGTTCTCCTTAGCATACTCCCCATGTGCTAATGCTCTGTCCTTATCCGCTCTTTACCCAGATGCCTCTGGGCAGCAGCAACCCAGTTCGGTGGGAGCCCAGCCCCACTCCGGAGGCTCTGACCCTGGCCCCATCAGAGCCACAGCTCCCATGTGGCGCTGCAGCCGCATCATGCACATGCAGAGGGAGCTGCACCCCACCCTGCTCTCCTCTCTGGAGGGCATCGTGGACCAGATGGTGTGGTTCAGGGAGAACTGGCATGAAGAGGTGAGGGGACACGGAGCCTTTGTCCTGGTGTGTGCGCTTCACATGGAGAGACAATAATACACTGGCCGCGTGGCATCTGTGTGTGTCTGAAAGCTAGTCAGAGCACAGAGGTGTGTGTGAGGCCACCTCCTGCCCAGATGACCAGCGCTAGCACAGCCTGTCTGCCCTGCACATTTGTGCAAGTTAAAGTTCTTTGTCTGTGAATAGCATTATTTAGTCCATGTGAATACAAGCGATCATAGTCTTATTCTGAGAGTGAACCAGGTATCTGAATTTGAATTTGCGCCTGAATAGGAGAGGATGTTGGTGAAACTAAATCTGAACTGAATTAGCTCCATTGTATTTGACAGCTCTTGTTTCATCTTGGCGAGAATTAAGCCTGACATTCTCATTTAGGCAGGTGCTTCAGATAGTTTTTAGCCAGGCTCTGCAGTCTCTCACAGTGTAACTCTGAGACTGTGGGTGGAAGGAAACTGGCTGAAATGGAGGCAGCGTGAGGCGAAAGCCCGACAGGTGATGGATGGGTGCGGTGAGCGTGTAGGATGGGCCCAGGGATTAAGCTCCTGGAGTTTGTTGGTGTGTGTGTGAGACTCTGTGATTATCTGTGATAGTTTGGGCCACTCGGCAGCAGCTGCAGGCTCTATGCTCCGTTCCACTGGACGGACAGAGCCAGGCGCATGCTGGGTCTTCATCTTTTTCTATTTCTCCTCAAGCACAAGACACACTATAGGTAGTACTGACAATATGTTACCTTTGCACTAATGGGCCTTATATTTAAAGCTGTTTTTTTTTTTCAAAGCAATGTTATGACACTTTCACTGTATTTTTGTCTGCCTTTGATATGTTATTATGTGATGTAAACAAACATCATCCAAACAAGCAATAGACCTTGCTACAATATTTGTTGTCATCCACCCTTAAAGGTCTCATATTACGCTATTTTCTGATCTATCTTATAATGTTGTTTCCTCCTCACATAAATCAAGGTTATTCAAAAATGTGTAGATGAAACACAACAAAACTCTGTTTATGTTTTTGATAAGGTAACAACCTTATAACATGGCTGAGAGCACACAAGTTTCTTTAATTTCCATTATTTAATACCACCACAACTAATACAAGCACCCATCACCGAAGTTCAACAGTTGAACAAATCTTACCCCTTTTTTTTCTACAGGTATTGAGGCAGCTTCAGCAGGGCCTGGCTAAATGCTACTCAGTTGCCTTTGAGAAAAGTGGAGCGGTGTCTGATGCTAAGATCACGCCGCACACACTGAACTTTGTGAAGAAGCTGGTGAGCACTTTCGGTGTGGGCCTGGAAAACGTGTCCAACGTGTCCACTATGTTCTCCAGCGCCGCCTCAGAGTCCCTGGCACGACGTGCCCAGGCCACTGCACAGGACCCTGTTTTCCAGAAAATGAAAGGACAATTCACTACAGGTTAGTTACTTTTGTTTATGATAGTGTAGGCATGATAATAAATATCCTGTATCCTATATAAATTTTAATTTTGGACATATGTAGTGGTAATTCCAGAACTGTCACCCAGCAGCCTACTGTAAACAAGGGCCAAAACATGCAAAACAATACTTATGATTAGACTAATAAAAATAAATAACAACATCTTTATTCTGTTAAAGGAAGATTTTTCAGAAAAAAGGTTACTTGTATGCAAATTGTCCCTCCATTTTGGAGAGAATTTTTGGTGCTGAACTGGGACCAAAAATGGCCCTGGACTTTTCCCCCACAAATCATCCCACGAAAAAAAAAAATTGTTGAGAGAGAATTTAACTTTAAGAGATTTAAAACCAAAAACATAACTACCAATGGATACAGTATGTGGTTTTGTCAAATGTAACTTCTTTACTCTGCAAATGAAAACTGGCTCCAAGTTTGAGTATTAGACAAAGTGTGAAGGTGACACTGGTGTAAAAACAAGCAACACCTCCAGCTGTAGACATTTAGCTAGCGACACATTTTAAACTTTCAGTCTATAAAGTCTCAAGTGAGATTATTATTATTAACAACTGTTTTAATACCAGAAACATTATGTTAGCAGAAACCCATTTACTGAACTCACTATACTCTGAAGCAGTTATGTTGTGCAATGTAATTAAGGTTTGAAACAAATGATTTAATTTGGTGTGGCATGTCTGTGCAGTTTACTGGGCAGATACAATAGTTTTTCTCACCTCTTCTCTATTGGGTTCTCTTTCTGTGTGATTGGTATATTAACAAATTAGATATGTTGCTTGGGTGGGATATTATGTGCTGCTGACATCTGGCCCAAGGCCCCATTGTGTTGAATATGATGACTTGAATGTTGTCCAGGACATTACATGAGGGACTTCCCTTAGTGGTCACTGCCTCGCTCCACAGGCTGCACATGCATGTTCTCTAAATTACAATCACAGTTAACAGCCTGGTTTGTCCTGTTCATTGCTTTTCTACATAGCACTTCCTCGTCCCTGCCATCGCCCCTCCGTCTCGCCTGTGCTTTTCCTCTTCATTGGTTTTGAAAGTGGTCTATAGAGCTAATGTGTTTGGCCCTGGGATAGAGAAGGACAAGGAGAGGGAATGAAAAGCAGCTAGGGAGAAAATGATCCTCTCACTTACAGAGAAAATATAGACAATAATGAACAGTCAGAACTGAAAAGCATAAAATCATACAAGCAGATGAAGGAATGTGCACATTTAGTACTGCAAAACTAAAGACTGGAGACAGGTGTTATGGTATTAGTAATCAAAGCCCAGCCGTGGCACACGGCCTGGCTGAGTTAACAACACAAACAACAGTTTGTGAGACTTGGAGCTCTGCACTGATGAATTTCCCCAGATGTGGATGAGCCAGCTGTGTGCCACAGCCGGGTGGTCCCGGGCGGGTGTTGTGGGTGCCGTGGGTGCCCTGGCCCACCACTGTCCCACCACTGTCCCCTCTGCGACACTGGACTGTGCAGACAGAGACCAAACCACACAGGCTCCAAGAGCGGAACAAACAGGGTTTACAGAGCTGCTGAGCAGCCAGCTCCACTCGAGCTCCACGTTAGAGCTCACTTGCTTTCACGGGGTTTGTGGGCCGGAAAATATGGGTTTATGTGTGCACATATAACATTTGGCAGCAGGGAGGCATTCAAATCCAATTACAGCCAATGCTATTTGCATGAGTTACTGTTTTAGCAATGGATCTCTTCCAGACACTTTTGTCACAAGTGTGTCTTTGACTTTCAGTAATATGTATCAATTTAAATGCCATTTCTCATTTCAGTGCATTTACTTTGACATATTTCCTATCATAACCTTTAAATGTGAAGCTTCACAGTAGAAGCCATTATGCCCTGTGTCCTATTCATTCTGCTAAAGTAACCCTGGAAAGTCAGACCGTGCTCATACTCACAAACATAGTTCCGGGACAGTCCATGGGGGAATAGTGGTCCTCTAAAGTGCCCCACTGGCTGAAGCATCATTTAGAGCTGCAGTGCCCCCTCCCCTCTTCCTCTGTCAGTGGGGCAGGTAGGCCACAGGAATAACTCTGAGTTTCACACAGGTCATAGAGCAGCCAAATTATTTTCCACACATTTTCTCTCTCTATCCTCATTCCTCTGCTAGTTACAGAGCAGGGGTCAGAGATGAGAACTTCAGAGCAACTCCAAATAACTCTGGCTCCACAGCAGTCACTTTACAAGGCTGTTAGACTCTGCTACTATAAACACCACAGGCACAAATCAATAGTTTCTGATGCTGTCTCTTTTTTTGTCCTCCTGACAGTACAAAAGATGGAGAGAAGCCAATTTGTACATGTATTGCAATTCATGTATGTAAGTGATAAGTGAATATTACCACATTCCTTTATGACGTGTGCCACTCTTTCTATTTGGAGGCATTATAAACTTTAATGTTGTTGAATAGTTGTTTGGTTGCAATTCCCCCGCAGTTTCAATTTCCACCCCCTGCTACCGGGTCAGGGGAACTGCAGACGGACTGACAGCAAAATAGGACCACTCGGCAAAGAACATTGGCTGTTTTAAAGGGCTTATTTAAAGTATTAGGAGGTCTCACGCTGGAAGAAATTGAACAGCTTTGAAATGGCAGGACCTCGCAGCTTCCTGGATTCATTCTTAGAGGTGGTACAATAGAGCACACCGTAGTAGGGGAGGCAGGTATTTACAGATGAAGCCCAGGGGCAGAAAAGGGTCTCAGTTTTGCCCTCCTTCCTCATCATTATTATTGCTCTGCTCATAACAGTATGTTCGCTGCAATATTAGTTTTGACTTGGAACTGGGATTTAATACTTCACAGCGTCCTGCTGTACCACTAATTGAATCAGTTCACCCTGGGAGTTTAACGTCCAAAAGTTTTCTAATTGTGCACCGAATTGCTTTATTGAAATTATGAATGTCTTGCTCATGGACAAACTTAAATAAAATTTATTTTCATATAAAATTAAGTGCATGGTGAGTGAGGTTTCATGACCAATAGCACAATGACTGTTTAAGATGGATTGTAACTGCCAACCAATTGCTGGGTGTGGGATGACTTCTCAACATTTTAAAGGCCTTTAATATTTAATACAGCTAAAATGAATACTGTTAAAATGCAGGCATAAGTTTAAATTTAAGTCAAATTAGGCCTAGTCTCTAAATACATTTGATCAGCTTCACGCAAATGCACATATTGTGCAAAATTGACTTTTTTAATGTTGTTTCCTCACCAAAAACATATGTGGAATTTTATTTGTTCCATTTACACATCTTTCATTAATCCTGTTTACAAGGTCCTCTTAGTCTGAACTCTGGAAATCACTCAATTCGTCTAAAGTCCATGATTTATGGCTGCCAGCATTTCTGCCATCAAACTTGGCCCATTACAACTGCAGGCTTATATTAGCATGCCGGCCGAGTTGCTTAAATTGCTAGTTTTACTTTTTTAGGTAAAAAAGTTCATTTGACTTATGTGACCATTCATACCACATTTATTTATATCTCTGACGCAGTTTTTTTTTTTTGCTACTACTCACACGGTCATGACCGTACAAACAAGCTACTCTTTGTATCTCCTGGTGTGTACATAAAGCAAAAGCAAATACCCAAACCTCTCTTTAATTAATCATACCTGTTAGTGGCTTCAGGTTTCTTAGGCATTGGTCCTAAAAATACCCTAAACTAATATTAATTCACAAATGCTGATTCTTTAAATAGCCTTTCAGTTATTTTTGAGTCTTGCTTTTGGCTGCATTCTTCATATTTACTGACTGCCTGTCTTTTTGCCCCTATGGCAGATTTCATTTGTCAAGGTTGGTAAGAGTCCGTATTTATAGCTCTTGGGGAGGTGAGACATTGCACTCTTAAACACACCTGGGAGCCGCCCCCTGTGTTATGGTCTTGTACTTGCTGGATGCCTTGCTCAAGGGCATTTCGAGGGCAGGGGGAAAAAAATAACACATCGACCCACTGTAGATTTCTGTTTTTACTACTTGCATCTGTTTTTGCTATGAGGCAGTGAGCATGGGTTGTAAAATAAGAAAGAGAGAGGAAAGGATACAATCATAACAAAGATTGAATTGCTGCAATAACAATATGCCAAAGGATGATTTTATAGTGATAATATTGTCAAGCGTCTCTACCTATCGATTTTGCTTGAACCATGGATGGTCTAATGGCTTAATACTACTTTCCCTTCACTGTGTTTTAAAAATTATGCATATTGTGTAGTTTTGAACATTTACGTTTCTTCATCCAAAGTTTGCCAGTTTTGGTTCATTTTCTTCTATTGCTAGAGCTGAGCTTGAAGTGCTTTTCAAACTCTATCTCAAGACCAATGATTGGGCTCGATGCTAGATACAGAATTCGATATACAGTGATAAAAACAAGTCATCTTTGTCATCTTCAACACAACACCAGTTCTTTAGTTTTGGCATAGATATATGCTCAAATTAGTATCTAGTTTCGATACTAGTTTAGAGGTCCTATATTGCGCAAATATTATAATGTTGTTGCCTCATCCAAAACATGCCTGGCATTCTCTTGCGTTTCAATCACACATTTTTAACAATTCTTTATTAGTCTGCAGAAGTGGGACCAAGTCATTGGTTTGCAAGTCTCAAGTAATTCTCAAGTCTTTGACCTCAAGTCTGAGTCAAGTCAAAGTCGAGTCTCAAGTCACTGGCTCGTAAGTCCAAGTCAAGTCCAAGTCATTTGCTTTGAACTTCAATTCATTTTAAGTCTTTAAGCCAAAGATTTAAAGACTACCAAATATACCAAATATAGCTTAGATTTTTGCTATTTAAATTATTTTTAAATTAAATTGTACTTAAAAAGCCATGCACTGAAATGAAAGGATCATGTTCTATGTAGTTCCCTCTGTTTTACTGTATTGTACTGTATATTACTGTATGTAGTACATTTGAGGATACTGTATCACAGTACTTAAGTTACATCCAAAGTATGAAACAGAGAAGTGGGAGGGACGTGTTCCAGTTTAATCCTAAAAAATTCAGTGCCGCATTTATCAACTGTAAAGAGAAAAATATTTTATAAAAACAGGTATTGTCACAGGCCTCAAGTCCGAGTCAAGTCCCATGTCACTCCATTTTATCAAGTCAGTTCTCAAGTCCTAAAAATAGTGACTCGAGTCCAAGTCACGACTCGCAAGTCTCCACCTCTTACTAGGGTTCCAAATGGATGACCCAGCATCACGATGGCACGATGGAGAGCCACCATCGTGATGCCACCTCCCCTCATGTCAGAAACACGCACTGAGATGATGAACATTTTGAAGGGATTGCTCTGTAAATCAAATTACAAATATAACTATTATGCATGCTAGTTTAAGTAGCCTGCCAGAGACATGATGCGTTGAGCCAACACATTCACTGCATCAATTTATCAGCGGTGCAGGTGTTCACGTGTCACGACTGCGCTCTGCGCAAATATATTGCACAAACACCGCTCATGTTTAACAAGTTCAACACGATATTATTCAGTCCATCCAAACAAAGCGCAGTATGTCATCTTACCGGTTAAGAAAAGAAGACCTGAAGAAACAGCGAGTCGCGTGCGGGGCGTGTCTCAAAGCCAAATGCGTAATAATAAATCCACATTTAGTTACAGCCTGTAGTGTACGCGTAAAATTTAAAACAAACGGATAATATGAACCAAAATACTACCAAAATCGCTCCTCTTTGGTAAATATATCCAGCGTGGAGCGCGTGTGCGTAAAGCTGTATCCTAACGACTCTGCGTAAAGTTCTTCATATAATTCTCCTCTGTTCAGGTAACCGCGGAAAGTGTCGAATACGAGAAACAAAAGTTAAACTTCGTTTCCTTCGTAACCCTCACGATCTCCTCGGGGTCACATAGACCCGAAGAATTGTTTTTTCCCTTCCCGCTCTCTTGGGGCGGGTCAGTCGGACCCAAAAATTTTTTTTCAAATAAATTCTTGCCAGACGAGAAAATCATTTTTTGGGTGCGGGAAAATAAAAATAAAAAATTCTTCGAGTCAATTTGACCCCGAGGAGAGCGTGAGGGTTAACAACCAACTCTTCTTAAATGCAAGCTTTTTTCCCTGATGAGTAATTAGGTTAGTAAAATGACGAAATTATACATTTTAAGTAGAAAAGGGTATATAATATTTAACAATTTAATGAGTTACATTTAAAGAGATAATAATGGGTGGCTGAGTGTCTAGCACTCATGCCTCACAGCAAGAAGGTTCCAGGTTTGATCCCTGGGTCTCCCGGGCCTTTCTCTGTGGAGTTTGCATGTTTCTCCCTGTGTCTGGATGGGTTTCCTCCAGGTGCTCCGGTTTCCCCCATCAACCCAAAACATGCTACACAGGTCTCCAAGAACAGTTGATAGTCAAGGTCATTTAAAATACAATCAATCAATGAACCTGCCCAGGGACTACAGGTGGAAATTAGCACTGGTGCTAGTGGCTAGACACTTCACCCACATTGCCTAGTATGAAAGTGGTGTGTGCGTGAGTGATGGTGGTGGTCGGAGGGACCATTGGCGCCGATTGGCATGGCAGCCGCGCTTCTATCAGTCTGCCCCAGGGCAGCTGTGGCTACAACAGTAGCTTACCATCACCAGATATAAAATGAATGAATAATGCTGAATGTAATGCTCTGTAAAGTGTCTTTGTGACAAAAATGTCTGTGAAAAGTGCTATATAAATAAAGACTTACTTATAATATCATCGTCCATCACGATGATTCACTGTGAACATCGTCAACTGCTAATTAAGGGTACATCCCCAACCCTACTATCTACTATCTACATCTCCAAAGATCAAAATGCTCTGTTCCACATTGATGTCATAAAGCGTGAAATTCCAGGGCTGAATTATCTGACTATTGATACTTTTGCCAACCATATTTTACAACTTTATTAGCATCTACTCTAAACCATTTTATCGTAATAACATCATCATCCAGACTATTTCTGTGCATGTATTTCTTCCTTTAGGCTTATGCACACTAGATTGAGAGCACAAATAAAATAAAATAAATTAAATGTTGATGACTGAATACTAGCCCTCTTTGTTGTCAGACTTTGACTTCAGCGTGCCCGGCTCCATGAAGCTTCACAACCTCATCTCCAAACTGAAGAAGTGGATCAAAATCTTGGAGGCCAAGACCAAGCAGCTGCCCAAGTTTTTCCTCATTGAAGAGAAATGCCGCTTCCTCAGCAACTTCTCTGCGCAGACAGCTGAGGTGGAGATCCCCGGGGAGTTCCTCATGCCCAAACCTACGCACTACTACATCAAAATTGCCAGGTATGGTCTTTGCACACACTGCCTTAGTAAGCAGAATGAGAAACTAGAGCATGCTATGATCTGCAAACTGCCAGGCTGTCAAGACTTTCAAGAACATCAGGTCTTAAGGCAGAAAACAGTTTTACCCAAGTAGGTTTTACTTATCTCTAAACACAATTTTAGCTTTAATACATTTACTTTGGCCTTTAATGTTGAAGGCAAGCCATTATGGATATTCATAGATAGCTATATGTTCAGTTTAGTTAATATTCTTTATTTGAGTCATTTATTTGTAAGGAAACAGAAGTTTAACTGCGAAAACATCTTTTTGAAAACATATTTTTTCCCTTATTTCCATCTTCTACACAAATGATGAATAACATAACATAGTTGATAGGATTTGCTCAAAACAGAATTACATTATATTTTGAACGCACTAAAAATTTGGATTTTGAAAACACTGCTAGACAATTTTTAAGACATTTAAGACATTTTTTTTCCCCCAAATTGCATCGGTTTTAAAATGTGTTTTTGCAAATAAATTTTCATATATTCATTGCCATGGGAGTGCTTATCCCTCTATAATGTGAGTGTGTGAGAATTTATGGTCTGCTCCATGCCACATAAAGTCTACAGTTTGAAGCTGAGATAAAAGCTGAGGTAAAAAACAAAATACAATTTAACAACTATCAAATCAAGCTGATCCATTTTGTTCTGCTTATCCGGGGCCAGTTTGTGGGGGCAGCAATCTAAGCAGGGACTCCCACATTTCCTACACCCCGGACCCTTCCGCTAGCTCTTCCGGGGGGATACCAAGAAGTTCCCAGGCCAGCCGAGAGACATAGTCCCTCCTGCATGTCCTCGATCCTCCTTCTGGTGGGACATGCCCAGAACCCCTCCCGATAGAGGCATCCAGGAGACATCCGGAATAGATGCCAAGCCTCAGCTGGCTCCTCTCGAGATGGAGGAGCAGCGGCTCTACGAGCTTCTCCGGTGTGACTGACCTCCTCACCCCATCTCTAAGAGAGGGCCCAGCCCCTCTCTGGAGGAAACTCACTTTGGCCGCTTGTATCCACGATCTTGTCCTTTTGGTCATTACCCAAAGCACATGACCATAGGCGAGGGTAGGAACGTAGATTGACCGGTAAATCGAGAGCTTTGCCTTTCGACTCAGCTCCTTCTTCACCACAACGGTCCAATACAGTGACCACATCACTGCAGACACTGCACCGGACCATCTATCAATCTCACAGTCCATCCTTCCCTTACTTGTAAACAAGACCCCAAGATACTTGAACTCCTCCAGGGAGAGGCAGGGACTTGATCTGTGTTGTTAAAAAACAGATTGCATGAATAAATCGCCCCTTATAATTTCACCTTTATGTGTTTCCAGATTCATGCCCAGAGTTGAAATCGTGCAGAAGCACAACACCGCTGCGCGTCGCCTCTACATCCGTGGACACAATGGAAAGATCTACCCATATCTGGTGATGAATGATGCCTGCCTCACCGAGTCCCGCAGAGAGGAGAGGGTTCTCCAGCTCCTCCGCCTCCTCAACCCATGTCTGGAGAAGAGGAAGGAAACCACCAAGAGACACCTGTTCTTCACTGGTGAGAGAATAAGAATTTGGTATCTCTATATTAATTACACTTGAACTGGTCTCAATAAAGCATGAACCAAGACTTAATTCATAATGAACAAAGTAGCTGATTTAGGTTTAGTAACTACTTCATTAATATCCTAACTCCTAATCTTGACCTCTTAATCAAGTAATTACAAAGACGGAATCATTCTTAATTCATAATAAACTAATTGTTTATAAAAGTACTTATGTTATGCTATTTTCTGATCTGTTATAATGTTTCCTCATCACAAACTTACCTGGAGTTGTGTTTTATTTCATTGTTTCATTAATTTGTTTCATTCCACCTTGTGATCTCATGTGGTATTACTGAAATGCTCCACTGTGTTTTTAAACTCCATAACACTATTTGAAATTGCCAATCTCTACTAAACTAAATATTAATGGTAGCTGTTAACTTGAAAACTTCTGCTACATGACATCATAGCATGGAGCAGTGTTTAGAGCTTTGGAGCTATAGACATATTAATAATAAAGGAATACTTAAATGTGTTTCAAAAAAGAACTCTAGGTGTTTTTGATGAGATAACAGCATTATAACATTGCTCAAAGCGTACAAGGGTCAGTTTTGTGTAATATCTTTAAGTCTTTGTTCATCCGTTATTACGGCTAATTAAAGTGTACATTCAGTGTTACTAAGATTTGAGATTCAAAAATTGAAAAAAAAAAAAAATAAATGTGTGTGTGTATGTATGTATATATATATATATATATATATATATATTTTTTTTTTTTTTCTAGGTACAGTTCATTATTTTTTTTGTCTTTCTGGTTTTAGAGCTGGCCCGCCGACTGCAGATAGACTGTCTTATGACTATAAGACATTATTTATTTAAAATTTTGTTTGTCTATTATTAAACATTTATGTCAATAAGAAAAAGGTTTAACATTACATATTTCGAAAGAAAAGAAAACATGCAGATGATGTTGAAATTTTTCAATAAATATTTAGTTTGGCCCACAATTTAGTTTTTAATTTTGGCTCTCTGTGAATTTGAGTTTGACACCCCTGGTTTAGACAATGTTCTTTTTCATACCTGTTAATGCATATATAGGGATAATTAGCTTCACTGGAATCGTTGTCATTGAGGTATATGAGCAGAGTTATGGCACATTTTGACAACTCATTGGGGTGGACAATTGGCCACCAACACCTCCTTTTATTCCCACACTATGTCCCTAATGCCCACTGTAAATTTCTATTGGCTTTCAAGCACAGTTTCCTCTCTTGTCATCCCCCTGTGTTCAGCTTCACCCAGATGTTTTCCCACTCTACATTTACACACTTGATTGGTTTGTTTAAAAGGAAATTCGGACAGGGAATTCCACAGTCCCCTCCATCTCATTACCACCCTACTGGAATAGCTGTGTTACAATTGCCACCTGAAATCCAATCTATGCATGTATGTGGGTTTATCTTCAGGACCAATGTATAGTAGATTTTTGTGTGTGTGATACAACTCTGGTTAGCACTGAGTGAAGACTTTTGAGTCTTCAGAGATTGAAGCTCTGTAACAAAATCTTCCATATATTGTCTTGCATTTTACTGGTAGATGCAGTTGAATATATAACCATTCTGTGTAGTATTATGACCACCCAATTTTGTCACAGCAGCCTCAGTATTTCAGTGCTGTGAGTTGGATTCCTGGCTCTGACAGTTTGCTGAATGTTCCCCCATCTCTTCATGTCCATTTTAAGAAAGGCTTGAAAATCATATAAAATTAATTAAATCCAAATTTTAAAAAGAAAAGAGCTTTGCAATGACTTTTAACTTTTGTGGTTGATTGCTTTATTTCATTGTTGTTTGAGTTCCTGACACCTTTCTTATCTTCTCTCCTCCATCTCCTGCCTGCAGTGCCCCGTGTGGTGGCAGTGTCACCTCAGATGCGGCTGGTGGAGGACAACCCTTCGTCTTTGTCACTGGTGGAAATCTACAAACAGCGCTGTGCCAAAAAGGGGATCGAGCATGACAACCCCATTTCAAGATATTATGACCGCCTGGCTACTGTGCAAGCCAGGGGCACCCAAGCAAGCCACCAGGTACATGTCACCATACAAGCATTATAAGGCTTTGATGTAATTTTATTGTAACATATCCAACTATGAAAGATTTTTAAATGCAACTGAATATAATATTTTTTTACTCCAGGTCTTGAGGGACATCCTAAAAGAGGTCCAAGGAAACATGGTACCACGGAGCATGCTGAAGGAGTGGGCTCTTCACACTTTCCCCAACGCCACAGATTACTGGACATTCCGTAAGATGTTCACCATCCAGCTGGCTCTCATCGGTCTGGCCGAGTTCATGCTCCACCTTAACAGGCTGAACCCCGAGATGCTGCAGATAGCACAGGTAACACCCACCAACATGCTGGTGCCAAGGTCAAGTGGGAGCTCTGAGGCAATGGCTGATCCAATAGATATCCACACTCATAGATGCATTAAGAGATCAGCATTACCCCTCCATATCTCTTCATATGAATTACCATTCTCCCCCATGACATTCACGCATGGCCTATCAGTCAGCAGCCCCTGTCAATGCCAAGGATGTTTTGACAGAACATTATATTCAGTGCCGCCACTCAACAGCTATCAAAGACGTTTCAATTTGAAGACTGCACATTTGTGTGAGCTCCTCTGCCTCTCTGTCTGGAGCCCGGGGTCTGGAGACGGCTTTCTCAAAGTCATTATTAAAGATGATTGTGTCAGTTGGGCACCCCTCCCCTCTGATCCTAATCGGCCTTTGCTGACAGGCGTTCCTCTGGGCAGCTAAGCGCTAGTATTAAGCCCCCTTTCTGCCTGTTCCACACTGCAGATCCCATTAGACACAGGAGGATTATGGAGCGAGATGTGTACACACTAAACCACACTCACAAATATGGTGCAAGGACAGGACATCACAGCTGGAATACCATAACCCACCTTCTTTTTCTTGAAGAACAAATCTAACCATGAATAGTTGGAAACCTAAGAAGCACTACTTTGTTTCTATACCCTTGCACACATGTTGGATTTGTTGCTCACCTCACTCTTGACATCTCAGACATATTTTTTATATATGAAATTTCCTCTGTATCTTTAACATGTTGCTTGGCACTAGTTCAGAAAATTGTGACAGTTTGTGACATTTCTCACTGTGTGCTGTCACTTAAATGTGACACCATAATGTAGCAGATGTATACTAGCTCACAAAATAAGATCCTGGTTGGTCACTAGCCCATTAGCATTCAGAGTGCTGCCTCTGCAGCCTACTGTCTGCAGACTTATCACAGCCTCTAGGGGCTGCCAGTGTCCCAGCCCGCTGCCTAGCAGCCCTCCTCTGGGGCCTGAGGAGCAAACGACAGCAGAGAGCCTGGGGAGAAGAGCAGAAGGAGGAAGAGGAGAAGAGAGGAGGCAAGACTGAGAAGAAGAGGCAGCTCTTACAAGATTGAAATTCTCAGCTATAAAGCTGTCACAGCCACTCACCTTTTCATATAGGGAAGCTTATCTCACTGGATTGGCTACTCGTCCTCACACACATAAATGCAAGCTTAAAGATGAAAACTTGGCGGTATATATTTGAGTCAGTGGGGAGCGTGGGCCCAGAGAGCAGTGCATTGAGGATTATAGATGTTCTGCTGCTGATAGTTTGATGTGTTACTGTGTCTGACCAGGCAGATCAATAACAGCAGCTATTTCTTTGGTCTTGGCATGGTTTAGTAACTCCTTTTATATCATTGAATGTGTTAAAGGGAATGCAAAATAAACGTACATATTTCTACAAAAGCTCATGAGAAGATTTTGAATAATGTGACTGCTGTATTTACTTTTTGTCCTCATTTACATTTCTCTTATTTCTGTCTGCTGCTTCTAGGACACGGGCAAGCTCAATGTCTCCTACTTTCGCTTTGACATAAATGATGCCACTGGGGACCTGGATGCTAATCGGCCTGTTCCTTTCCGCTTGACTCCCAACATCTCAGAGTTCTTGACCACTATCGGAGTCTCCGGTCCCCTCACCGCGTCCATGATCGCTGTGGCACGCTGCTTTGCACAACCAAATTTCAAGGTATTTTGTTTGTTTATTTCCCAATTATTTTTTTTTATCATTTTCATCTCATCTCGTAAACCTTTGGGCTCAAATAATTCCTAGAATATAAGTGCAGAGAAGCAGCCAAACAATACAGTGAATATAAAAGGAAAACAAATCTGCAGCAAAGCCATAATGACAGGTGTGTGGTATGTCCATGTATAGGTTCAGTAGATAGTCGCACAGATGTGGAGCAAAAATGCAGTTCTTAAGAGGCAAATAAACAAAGTTTACTGTGTGAACTAATTAAGGCCAAAAACCCACAAGCCAGATTTTTTTCTTGTGGTCCAAAGGAAATGGACGTTTCCAGGGAACGAAAACAACACAACAAACACCTAACAATCATCCACTCAAAATATAGTGAAACCCTTGACCATAAAACGTTTAGTGCTGTCTCAAATTCCAGCTCTTAAGGTAAGCCTGGGAACAGTTTGTACCTAGTTAGGTGATGATTGCTAGTGTTGATCCCATCCTGTTTTTTCATGGTCGTCCATTTAAGTTCTCTGTTGCCATAATGAGCTGCTAACAACATGGCAACATTCCCCTAAAGAGAACTGACCCACCCTGAATTTTGAGTTAACAGCTCAGCCTTAAGTATACATTAAACCTAAGATTGCCAATGACCTTTGTATAAACTGAGGTGTTTGTTTGCCGTCATTCCCAGGATGCCAGTTTGACAAGTATTCCTGGAAGGCAGTTGTTTTCTCGACTCACTGACAAATTCTCCAAGTTCTATATAGTGCGAGTATTTTATATTTTATGAACCATATTTGTGAAAGGTCCTACATTACACAAAATGGGCTCTTGTGAGGTTTAAGCCATGTTAGAATGTTATTACTTCATCAGAAACATACCCAAGTTGTTTTGTTTCATTCATATATGTTTGAGTAATCCTTTATTATTAGTCTGTCCACATCTCCAAAGCTCACAATTCTCGGTTGCACCTTGTGATGTCATGAAGTGGTAGTTTTCAAGTTAACATCTACCTTTTGTTCAGTAGATATTTGCCATTCCAGGGCTGAAATCATCCAAATGATTCTAGTGAAATTATATTGAGTTTAAAAACACAGTGAAGCACTTCCTGTTTTATCATGTGGAAGAAATTGTTTTCCATTTGAGAGAAAAACCTAGCCTAAAAAAAGGTTTTGTGTGTTAAACATGTGTAAATGAAACAAAACACAACTCCAGGTATGTTGTTGAGTAATTTACATTATATACGTATAATGTTATATAGGCCATTTAAACTGCTACAAATTATTGTGAAACAATTACTCTTGACAAAAGGACCTAGATTAAGAATTGTATGTTTTATTCAGATTTTATATTTTTTCAGGTATTTGCCATCTTCAAATATCTTTATATTTTTCCTCAATTCACTGACCTTTTAATCTCATTTCTTTTCTGCATCTTACAGGTTGATGGTATTCTGAAAGCAGTCCTTCGAGACGAGATCATCGCTTGGCACAAAAAAACACAGGAAGACACCTCTATGCCCCTGTCTCCAGCCGGCCAGCCAGAGAACATGGACTCACAGCAGCTCGTCTCATTGGTCCAGAAGGCTGTCACCGCCATCATGACCCGTCTCCACAACCTGGCGCAGTTTGAGGGGGGCGAGAGTAAAGTCAACACCCTGGTTGCCGCAGCCAACAGCCTGGACAACCTGTGCCGCATGGACCCCGCATGGCACCCGTGGCTATAGGTAGAACACAAGTGTTGATGTGAAGATTTGTAGAAAGATCAGATTACATACTGCGGGTAGGCCTTTCTGTAGATATAAGGCCCTGACATGTTTAATGGTCTGAAACTGAAGCTTGGGCATTAGGAAAACATGATCTAGATTCAAGTTGAAAGCCTTTTACTGTCATGATATGAATTGACAAATTAGAAGGCAATTTACCAGGATGCTGAATACAATGTAATACAAAGGATATTTTATTGAATGTTTTGTTTTTCAACTTGTATTTATTTTTCTACATTAATGGGGTGATTCAGTAATGTGAATAAGGCAAAAATTTTCTGTCTGATTGTAACGTTAAAATGTTAATCTTATTTTTTTATTATTATTATTATTCTTTTTTTTTTTTTTTTACAAGAAACAGCCGTATGTATATTGCCCAACTGGTGGAAAAACTTGTTGAAATGTGAATGGATGGTACTCTTTTTTTACACAATGCAAACCTAAAATTAAAACTTATCCAGTATTAAAAACATTGCATCTTCATGTCTTTTTCCCTCTTGATTTGTTGGTGAGAAATCAAAAGAAGTCAAGCCTTTAGGGCAGGTTTGGCACTGTAATATAACAGCTGTGATGCAAATTGTCATTCCCAAGTTAGTTATGTAAGCATTACCCCTTTTGTAATGTACAACGCTTTTGTGCAGGTGTTGTCTATTCTCCTTTGTAAATAGGCATTTTGTTTTAATAAAATGCTCTTTTTTACACTGCGTCATTGTGCTTTTATATTGTAACCTGTGGACTTCCTTGCACAACAATGCATATAAAAATACTGGTTTCCCCTGAAATTTCCATAGAAAAAAGCTTATAACAATAAAACAACATCTGTGCTCACATCTACTGCATCAATGCCATACTGCTAAAGATTTGTCTACATTTTTTCCAGTGATGCAGTGATCTATCTCTGTTTCTCAAAATGTATTCAACAAAAGAAAAAGCATGGCATGAATTTGTTCCGGTTTGGTGGTAACAATTATGGTCAACCTTGGCACAGAAAAAGCTGCATCACTTGATTAAAGCATACCAGTAGATCTCTGAGTGGGATGGGCTCCACTGACTTAAACGCACTGTCAGCTGGCTCTCTTCTGCTCATAAACAAAGGTTGTATCTCTGTTGGCCCAGAGTTCACACACATCATGGCCTTAGCTCTTCAACATGTTACCACACCTTTTCCGTCATTTCACTTTCTCATGTAGTCTAATCTTTATAAAGCAGTGGCTGAGTTTTGCCATGTGTTATTAAACCCAATGAGTTTGAATGTGGCCATTTGAGATTTATTTACACTGGGGTGGACATGTTTTATTAGCCTATAATGCCACAGAATAACATCATTCGAGGATACTAAATTTTATACATCCACATTCACATCCCAATACGTTTTCTAACACTCAGAGGGCGCTGGCTCTCTTCCCAAATTTTTGACCTGATGTTGACTAGTGATCAGCTTTTTAGCTTTTTTATGGCATCCAAATCTTTTTTTTTTTTTCTTCTTCTTTTCTTCTGTTCAATATACATAATTTAGAATATAGTCAGTCTAACAGAAGCCACTCTGGCAACTCATTTTAATAACAAACTAATCACAAATAGAAATGACCAAGGCTAAGAAATGGTTCGAACAAAGAGTGGGACTGTGTTTACCCTTTGAAATTATGTTTGATCTGTTATGATTTGCACTACGTTAATTATTATAATAATGTTGCCTACTCTGTTTTTGCTGATTTTGTGTTGGTGCAGGGTTGATCAATATAAATACATGAAAACTAGAAAGGAATAGTTTTGGCTCTTTTCAAATATGAGATCCGATCACATTATCACTCGCTGACAAAGGAGCCGTGGATCTGGAAGAAGCTCATGACAAGTCAAAACAAGAATGGTGAGAATGTGCTGACATAAGAGGTATGATCATAGATTAGACCAAAACACAATAGTAATAATACATTGTAATTATAAGTTAGAAAGGTCAGAAATAATTATATAACGCTATGTGTTTTTTATGTAATTTAGCTCTTGCTAATTAGCTACTTAGCATACCCTAAAGGGTGCAATTAAAATGTTGTTTTCAATAAAGCCTGCTAGTGTAATTAAATTGTAACCACATAACAACTAGTTAAATAGCACAGATAATGCTAAATTCCACATTTGCCATAATAATATTACATTTGAAGTCTAAATTTAATACACCCTGCTCAATGTCAGTGCTATGCTACCAGCACATGTGTAAAGTGCTCATCTGCCTTCAATTCCAGTTTCCAGAGCAAATTATGCATTGAGACTCTAGCTAATACAAATGTGGTTTAAAGAAATTGTCGAAAAATTATAGTACAGTTTTTACTAATAAGAATGAACTAATTTTATGTACTTAGGTAAGTGCTTTATTAATCTCTGTCTATTGTGTCTTTTACATTGATGTGTCTCTTCTCCTCTTCAGAAACATGACACTGTTCATTCAAGACAGGAGCCAGACACAGAGGGACCCCACATGTGTGCTAATGAAAGCAGACAAACACAGCTCCAGTTTTTTAGATTGTGTTTGACGTCCTGGGTGCCCTCCACCGGGACATCCATCCATTTCACGCCTCAGGTGCCTTTTCTGATTCCACAGAGATTGTCTGAAATATCAAATCCACAACAGCAAAACACATGTGCACAAACACCCACACCCACCCACACTCAGCACACACAAAACAAAAACATTTGACATGCCCCAAAGATGTGACAGCAACTGCCTGTCATATGGGGTCTTCACTGCACCGTAACACCAGCATTGACCTTACCTTGGTTGTTTTTGTTTTTGTTTTAGATTTAAGAAAAAACTCCATCCCTCTCCTGCAGCCGGTGAGGTGTGCAAAGGTGATTGATGTGCTCCAATGGGAGAGGGAGGAGCAGAGCTGGGATCATCATCAGCTCTGGCACCGCTCACCAATCTCCGAGGGACCCACCAAAGCAAGAATAGATCCTGGCAGAAACGAATGATGAAATCTCCCCCTTCACTGATCCAGGTGGTCCCCCATGGAGATGTGGTAAGAGAGACAAACGTAAGAGACAGCCAGAGGAGGAGGATAGCCTTGTTTTAGTGTGATTTATGCGTGATATCTCTTGACAAGAAGACAAACAGTAGGCCTGTGAGTGGGAAGCTCTGAAAGTTGTGTAGTGAAGTCAGGAATAAAGCTGTTGTGTAAAGAAAACAAGAAGGCCAAAAAGTGCTTTATCAACTCCCTAATCCACTCGTCTCCCTGCGTTCCCATTTATCATTCAAGCCGAGCTCTCTTCTTTTGTTTCCTACAGCCAGCATCCAATTATACATCACATTGTATCAAGGCTTTTGGCGCAGCGGGGAGAGGCTTTTTAGTATGTTCATGTAAACAAACAGTATTAATCAAATAAGCATTGTGTTGATCTCTAGTCAGGGAGGCACATCTCATCTGGAGCAGCTCAACATTTGTTTTGTGATGGAGAGAAGGGGGGCCATTAGGACTTCTAATGGCATTTGTGCTCAGAGGAGTTGAGCTCATTAGTTTAGTGCTTGAAATCTGCCATTATGATTTTAATTGCCCAGGCTTTACATGGCGGTATGGTGTATCAAAGTAACTTCTTGAAGAGACATTATTGTATTGGCATGTCACTTAGAGGTGCAAAAATAAAGCACTTAGGGTACAATGTGACTGGATAGGAATGACCTTGATGGTAAAAATTATTTATTTTTTTTTTTTGTTGAATTATTGACAAGGAACTGTATGTGGCCTGCGCTCCTACAATGTTTTAAAAAAGGGTAATACAAATACAACTGAACCTTGGTTACCAGTGTCTTAACCTGCATATAGAGAACATGTTTAAGTTTTTACAATTCTCAGTATGGACAGGCCATAGCTGAGGTGAAAGGTTAGAACCTTCAGAACTCATTCAGTGAGCTGCACTAGCACTGATTACTGATTTGTTGCAGTGTAAATTTTAAATTGCAATTACTCACATCTACAACATAACTTAAGCAACTATATGTTTAATGTGAGCATATTAAAATAGTCTAAAGTTACAAAATAGTTTTTACCCAGGTTGATATTTAACTGGGCATGATCAGTTTCTCACCACCTCACCGGCCACTTTACTTCAGAGAGACATTTCCCCAGTTTAGTCTTGTCAAAGTCAAAGTTAGAAACACACCTGCATAATGAGCTCCATTAATAGCTGGCACAGCTTTTGTTTTAGGACTCTGGCTCTCATAAACACCTCACTGGAAACAGGCACCATTGATTTGAATAGAGCCATTGTTAACGTTATTTCTAACACCTGTGCTTTTGTTACTGAATAAACGTGCTAAAACCTCAGCTGTGTTTTACTATCCCATATGAGCCATTTCTTATTGGCTCACCTCTCACAATGTCAGTACAAAAGCCACTATATTTGTGTAGGAAGAGATTATTGTTTCTTGCATGAAATACTTACAGAACTTCAGATGTTCAATCTGGATAAATGCATTATAGGGTTTGAGGTAAAAGATATTCCGAACAACATAGCAATTACCTGAGTTGACCAGAAACTTGCCAGTTGGATATCCCTTTGTTTTCTAAGATGATCTTCTCACAAGCCATCATTTTATCTCTCTTTTTTATAGCTAGCAAAGACTCATCACAGCTTAGCCATATTTAAGTACACTAAGTAAGATACCTATTATTTGTTTGGTTTTGGTGTTGTTGTTGTTTCTGTTGAGGTTTATAACTTTACCTCCTGGTTCGACATGCCCAGCAGATGTGACATACATAAAGGTAATTCAATTTCAACCTGGAGAGAAAGAGAAGAGAAAGACACAAATCGAAAAGTATTAGTATGATTTGTTGAATGTGTTATTTTATTTTTAAAGACATTGCAATGAAGGGTGTGGCCAGTTAGATGACGTTTACAAGATGCCTTCCACCCGGGCCCTGGACACTGGAAGTATTAGAGGGGGGACGATGAGATCATGAGGAGACTGAAGGGAACAATGAGAAGTTGAGGTGGTGCTGGAGAGAACCGAAACACTGGGGGTTTAAACTGGGCTAGGGGCTGATTGGACGAGGAGGAGGTGTGACCAGCGGTGGGGAGGAGTAATTGGAGTGAGGTGATGAAGGCTGAGGAGCAGGTAAACTCTAGAGAGTAGAGACATGCTGAGATAGATGGGAGTGCAGTTAGTTCTTTCAGGCTAAAATTACACTAGCTCCTTAACTGCTACCTAGTGTCATGACTGTAAACAAGACCAAAAATCAAAGTCTAAATTGCACAACCGTAATGATTTTACAAAAAACATAAATGATCTACATCTTTATATTGTTAAATAAATGCCATAAAAATGCTGTCCTTGTGCATAAATTTTCTCTGGATTTTGGATGGAATGATTGATGTGTTGATGACATAGGTAGAGGTATTTCATTTTAAAATGCACTGCTATTTCTTCTAAGGATGGCTTTTTTGTAAATACTCACCAAATATAAGATTGATGTGCTGTGCTGTGATTTGATGTTACAAAGCAATAACCGTATGGAATGTCCACGGGAACTGGATGCTACACCAGAGGCAATGTGCAAAGTTGCAATGGCCTGGTAATATCTCTGTGCTGTGGCCAATAACGCTGTAGGTCTGTCCCAGCAGTGCCATGCCGAGAGCTGGCCACTCTCCACATCTGTGGGCTAAGTCTATATTACTCCAAAAGATTTATAGACTCGAGGTGCCCTGCTCTCTG